TATTGCTAACATATTATTGCTTTTTATATTAAAGAAAATCCATAAGTATTCCTACTTTTAAATAATTAAAAAAGTTTTCTTTAAGTATTTATCTTTTTATTAAAATACCTTATTAATAATATTTTAAAGAAAGAAAGAATTTTTATTTATATCTTAAATATAAAGAAGAAAGAAAGTAAGCTTATTTATAATATAAAATGTTAATAACCTTATTAAAGTATTAACTTATATTATATTAAGTAACTTAATAAGTAAGCTTAAGCTAAATTATACTTATACTTTGCTAACTTATATAATATTTAAATATATAAAAAATATTTAATATTATAAAGCTTAAAATTACTTATATTTAATTATTAAAAATATTATTATACCTATATTTAATATAATGCCTTAATATTATTAATAAAAATATTAATCTTAAATAATAAATATCTTTATTAATAAATAATCTTTAAAGTTAATATAAATATTAAAGCTATTTATGCTATTAAAAAAGTTATAAAAAAAGAATTAATTTATAAAAAAAATATAATAAGTATATTCCTTTTTATTATTATTAATAACTAAAGTTATTATAATGCTAATAGCTTTAAAATTAAGATCTTTAAAGTTAATAAAGAATATATTAAACTTATTATTATTAACTTATTATTTAATATCCTTATATATATAAATATATATAGCTTTAATACATTATTAATTTTTAAGTAAGTAATTTATTAATTAACATTTCTCTTTATAATATATAAAATACTTTTTCTTTTTACATTATATATTACTATTATTATCTTTATTAAGCTAATATTTATTATTATAACTATCTTTATAAAGTTCTTTATTATAGTTACTGCTTTTAAATTAATAGGATTAGCTTAAGCGAAAGTTTAATTAAAAGTTATTACCCTTAAAAAAAGGTTAAAAATACCTTAAGCATTAATTATTATTATTATATTACTTATTAAGATAATATTGCTTTTTAATATTTATAATAGCTAAATTATTATTATTTTAATTATTATAATTATTAATATAGCCTTATTTATAAGCTTATTAATTATTTTTTATAATTATATATTATAATATAAAGTTTTAAGCCTTTAATGCTTTAATATATTATTATAAAATAAAGTAAAGCTGCTTAATATTTATTAGTATTATTAAGATAGCATAGTGAAACTTAGGAATACCTTATATTACTTATAAAATTATATCTTATAAAAAGCTATTCTTATAAGTAATATACTTAAGTACTTTATAATAAAGCTATATCTTATTAATAAGTATTTAAAGAATATTTATATAACTCTTATTTAAATTCCTTTATTAAAAAGTAAAGAAAGTTAAAATATTTTAATTTATAAAATAGTTATAATAATTATTATTTATATTAAATTAATTCTTAAATTTTTTATATATTTAAGTAAATAAGTTTTTTTAATTAATAACTTAAATATAATATATTTTTGCTAATCCCTTAAGTATATATAAAAAAGCTGCCTTAAATTATTAAGGCTAAATTTATAAGTTGCTATAAGCCTTATAAAAAAGAAAGATTTTATTATTAAGAATATTATATAATTTTTTAATAAATATCTTATCTTTATAATAATATTTGCTTAAGTTAGCTGCTATATTTAAGTTAAGTAAAAAGTTTTTTATCTTTATTAAAGGCAAAAGGGTATAATAATTATATATTATATAAAAGTTATTAGCTAAAGGAAAATTATTGCTTTCTCTTAATAAATTAAGAGGTCTTAAAGGGCTATCATTACCTTCGCCGCTATTATTAAGTAGGCTAAGTAGTTTAAATAATTTAAAATTAAAAGAATTATTATTATTAAGTAATTCCTTATTTTTTATTAAGATATAATTAAAGTAAAAAATAATATAAATATTTAAATTATAGTTTTAAATTTAATTAATCTTAAATATAATATAGTATTTTTGCTTTTAATTTATTAGCTATTTAAAATAATTTAATGCTTTAAGGATATATATTAATCCTCTTAAAGTATTTACTTTTTAAATATAAATACTTTTAATTTAAAAAGTTTTCTTAATAATATATAATAAGTTTTTATTAACTTATATAAATATTAGCTTAATTTAATTATAAAAGTTCTTAATAAACGCTTTATATGCCTTATTACTTAATATATATGCTATAGCTTAAATTTAGCCTTAAATATAAGTATTTAAGTATTATTTACTGCTAAAAAATCCTAGGAAATTTATTTATACTAAAGAATTAAGTATTTTAATAATGCTTTTAGGTATAAGAGTATAATCCATTATAATTAATATTAATAAACCATTTTAACCAGCAATATTACTTATTATATTTACTATATTATCATTATTTCTTATTATTTTAATAAAATAATAATAAGGGTATGTTTAATTTAAAAAAGGGAGTAGTAAAAAGGGGAAATAAGTAGTGTTAGGGGAAAAATAAGGAAGTTAAGGGTTACTTTTATAACTTAGCTATTAAAAGGCAAATTAATTCCTTTCTTTAAGTTTATTTATATAATAAAACATAAGTAAATATATTATTAATAAAAATAAACGTTAATTTAATTCTTTTAGTTATGATTATTAAATTTAAAAGTTATTATTAATATTATTTAAGGCGTAATAAATATATATATATTAAGGATAGGGGAGTTTACCATGGTTTTTTATTATAATAACTATTTCTTTATATATTAAGTATTATTATTATTATAAACTATGCTATATAGATTTATAATGTTAATAATGCTAATTAGCATAATTAAAAGATTATTTCTTTAAGCCTTATTAATTTATAATTACCCTTGCAATTATTAATTAATATTAGCTAAGTTATATATTGCAATATAATATTTAATTAATATAATGATTAATTAATATTAATTATAAAAGGAAGGAAGGCAAAAGGCTTAATTATATTAGCTATTTTATATATAGCGCCAGGGCTGCTGCCTGCCGGGCATCTTAATGGGCCAAAGCTGCCTAGTTTCAAACAGTCCTCCATACAAACAACACCCATTATTCCTACAAAATCCCTTATTTTATTTATAAATATAATATTTGCATTACTTTATTTTATAGTTTTATTAATTATATATATAATATTAAAAAGGTATATATCTTTAAAACTTATTATATTTATAATAATATTTACGGCTATTTTTATAAAATTTATATATTATTAATTTCTTATAAATTTATTATTATTAGCTATTATTATTATTATATATATATATAGGGTATATATAGGGTTATTTACTTTAATTTCCATTAAGTTATTAAAAAAGAGTTATAAGAAATTTAATAAATTCTTATTATATTTAATATTTTCTATTAAATTATTTATAGCTATATAGGCTATAGGTTCTTCCTAAGCGCTTTTTAAAGCCATAGAAAACTTTATGCTAGCTAATAAAGCTAGGAGTTGCTTTTGCATTTTCTTTTATTTCTCTTAGCTTATATTCTTCCTTAAAAAAATAGTTTTTTCCTTTTCTTTTCTTTATTTATTTATTTTCCAGCTAATAAGTGCCTTATTTAAATAAAGGAAATAGCAATTCTCTTAAATATGGCCCTTTATTTTGCAATTAAGGTATATAATAATCTTTTTTTCATTTTTCTTATTCTTTATATATAAAGCTTTTATAAATAATTTAAAGGATTTATCTTTATTTTTATTTAATAAGCTAAAAAAGAGAAATTTAATTATATAAGCGTTTAAATCTTTTTTAAAACTTTAAGTTATATTTTAAATAAAGTTAATATATTTATTATTTAAGCTATAAAGAATTTAATTAATTATAATTTATTTAAGAAAAATTATATTATTAGCCTTTAAATCCTTTAAAAAAAGCTTTAGCTTATTAATATATTTTTTTATAGTTTTAAAATTATTAAAACTAATATTAAAGAACTTTTTATAAAGTAAATATTAGCTTATAAACCTAAAGAGTTTATAATAAAATTTAAATATATTTCATGCTTTTTAAGCATTATTTATATCTTTTATAAATATAATAAGCCCTTGCTTATATATAAGTTTAATATTAATAAAAGCTCTTTTATTTTAAGCTAAAAATAAGCCTTAAAAAAGATTTTTAAAATCATTCTTAATAGCATTTTCTTTCTTAAGCTAAGCTTAAATTTTAATACTTTAATATATATAATTTTTTATTTTATTAAGAAATAAAATACTATACTTATTAAAAAATGTTATTTTAAGGTAAATAAGTAAAATATTTATTAAGATAATTAAAATAATAAAGAAAAAGATATAGTAAATTTTAAATAAGTTTAATAAATTAAAAAATAAAAATATAAGTATTAAAGTAATATAATTATAAAAAAAAGCTTTTAAATAATATATTTTAAGGTATTATAAATTAAAGATAATTAAAATATAGTTAAGTATTTTTAAGAGAGTTTAAGGATTATTATAAATCCATTAAAATTTATGTTTTTAATATTAATTTAATATAGTTTTTAAAATTTAAAGAAATGCTCTTATTATTTTTAATAAAAGCTTTTAAATAATATATAAATTATATAAATAAATTAAATATTAATAAAGAAATAATTAAGTATTTAGGTAAAGAAGGTATGGTTTTTATATATAAGCTTTAAGTTAAGAGATAAGGTTAATTTATAACGTTAAATAAGGCGATTTAATTAATTAAGGGCTTATTAATTAGCTTAATTAAGTAATTAATTAGAAAGTTTATCTTAAAGTATAAAGCTTATTTATTTAAAAGGTTTAAGAAATGATAGTAATTAGGGGTGTTATGTAATATATGTTTTCCATATTAAGTTAGCGTTACCGTTTTAGATTAGCTTTAAAGCTTATAACCTTTGAAATAATAGCGTTAAATGCTTAGTTTATTAAACTAGCTAACATTTATTTAATAAGAGGGAAGGCCCCTATTTATAATTATTATCCTTCATATAGTGGCAAACATATGGGGAAAAGGATATCCCGTATTAATAATAGCCTAGATATCTAGAATATTCCAACAACCGTTGTACCACTGTCTGGTTCCACTATCTTCTTTGGGACCACCGTACGTCGCAATAAACCACAAAAGTTTGTCCCTGCAAGCCTTGTCAGAGTTTTCGTCTCCTTTACCGTCCCACTTGATGATCGCCTTATTGTTTCTGTCACTCAGGTTGTAAATCAACTCAAGTTGTCTCATGTCCAGCCTAAGGTCCCATTTGACCATGCCGTAATAGCTGGCGATGCCAGTTGTCTCATCGAAATGTCTGAAATGTCGTATCAGTTAAATGGAAAGCACCACCTGCTAGCAGGGCACGTAAAGAGGGCAACATCGTACCGGAATAGACAGAGAATGTTGTTGTATCGCTTATCTTGGGCGATTTCGCGCAAGCACGTGGTCATGCACAGGTCCGGGGATATCGGCCCAAAATCCGCAGATGTTTTCTAGTCCTCAAGATTTGTAAGTTTGCGTCCCTTAGTAGTATAAGCGGTGTTCATTCGAAATGAGCCACTTACACGCCTGTTGCCTCTTTCGACTAGGAACTTGGACTCTCCTTTGAGAAACCTCCACTGCTGATCGTCCTCCGCATCTAAACTCGTCCAGGGCCCTTCATCCAATACAAACGCCCCCCTCTTAGACGAAGAGTCAATCAGAACGCCCGTTTTCTCGCAACGAGCAACGCGGTGACCCTTTAGGTCGTAGAACTTGAAGTCCCAGTAGCCCTCACCTGCTGGACCCACTGGTTTGAGGCGCTCCAGGTCCCGCACGCAGTTGAGCGCGAATGAGGTGCAGCGGCCGGTGTACGTATTAGACAGGTTGTCGAAGAGGGTGCGGCTGTCGCCTACGATCCGCCCATCGCTTATGCCCTGGAGGAGCTTAGGGTTCTCGAGGAACTTTTTCCATGTCGACTTTGCCGTCACAGTGATGAGGTAGTCAATCATGCGGAAGGATGTGTACGGGCCTTGTTGAAGTTGAACGCCCAGATATCTGCGGCTCGATTGGCTGGACCTATGTCGAGAACAGGGACCATGGTTTTCTCCAAGGGTTGGTTATTCCAAGTTGCCATCGTTGAACCAAGTCGGCGTGTGAAAGATGTTGAGGTTATGCTGTAGTACAATTCTCGAAAGCGATTGAGAATGAACTGGTGTTTAGAAGAGAAGGAGGAATGGACAACAACAGCCTTCAATCTTTCCTTCGATCCAACCTTCATTTATAGATAACCCCCCACCCTTGTGTAACCCCGGGGCTGAAACACTTATTGACTTTACCCAGTAATGAAAACGCAGGTACGCCAAAAACCACACTCTGAGTTAGTCTGCTGACGTGTAGTGTATTCATAGAGGCTGGACTCGGAATCAGGACCCGGCTGATGGGGCGGAAACCACAATCTCCAAGCTGCAAGAGCTTCCGGAAAGTGGCGCAGGGCTTGGATCAGAGAACTTCTGGATCGAAAGGCTACGTAGTAATGAATTCGCAAATAAGCAGTCAGTCACCCTAATAGGATGTACTTCCTCATGGACTTTTCCCGCGGCAATTTACACACAACCAGCAATTACAAGCTCTGGTATGCTACGCTTACATTTTTCGTTACACAGGTCGCTTCAAGCACTACGCATGTTCTGCGGAATTACCCGATCTACCACAATCGTTTTTGCACGGTGTGATGCCTTTTAGGCATGCTTGTGCTAGATTGTAACTACTTAACTTGGTACCCTTCAGAGTGAATGCTGCCGTGTAGGAGGATATCCCATAGGAGGATATCCCACAGGAGGTTGTCCCACAGGAGGTTGTCCCACAGGAAGCTCCCACATCTAGTTAACAGAAGCTTCTAGTGTCCATTACCTGACCGCACCTTTCGTTTTCATCAAAGTCTTCCATCTGAAATTAGTGCCTCAACGGCTTCCTCACATTTAGATTGGTTCATTTAGATGTCTTTGAAGAGGTCACTTGTCTAGCCAACCAAAAGTTCAGATGAAAACTTCCCAATGGCAAATTTTCTGATTGTGGCAGTTCTGAATGTGCGGCCAGAACGGTGGCCCAAAAATTATTTAAACCCCCAGGCCCTCGTCTTTTCAACACTTCTTCCTTCCTTCAAACTCCCTTCAACAGAGCTCGCCAGCAGGCAACCAAAACAACTTCAAATAGTCCCTCCCCACTACGAAGCTTCACTTCTTCCTCCCTTCCTCCGTCCGAGTCCTTTCAACATAAGCCTCGAGCCGCTACAAAGTCGCCCTAATCTGGTTCAACAACCCTACCAAAATCACGCTTAGCACGTTCAGAGGAGCTGTTTTGGAGCTTCGTGTGTAAAATGTCTCCACCGTTTGAAGGTACATACGAAACCCACCTAAGTGAGAATTTCCAAGAGCCAGAAAGCTGATACATCTCTCAAAAGCAGCCTGACAGCCCGTCGTCACTCGATGAAGCACACTTGTCTTGGACCAATGGCAGGCTTCTCTAATTTGCCAAGAGGCTTGACAACCTGCACGAGTTGTCAGCCAAGCTCAGGCATCCAGCTCATAGCTCAGAGGAGCTATGCCCCGTTGCCTCCCGATGCAACTCGACAGCGACAAAGCGAGGTCTTAACTCCGTGAGCACCGTTCAGGCTCGTTTGGCTGTTGACTACGCGGCGCGCATTCACCAATCCCAGATTCCTGGTTCTGACGGAATCTCTCGGCCGCGTATCTGTATCATCACGCCGTACAGCGCTCAGGTCGACGAAATCAAAGCTCGACTGCGTGAAGCCTCGGACAAGGAGCTGTGCCGTGACCTGATTGAGGTGCGTACCCAGGCTGCTGCCACCGGCGGAGAGTGGGACGTCGTAATCCTGTGCGTCGTCCGCGACGAGAAAATGGGCTTCCTCTCTGAGACAAACCGCATCAACGTCATGTTGACAAGGTCAAAGTTCCTGTCTATCGACATATTCGCCGCAGAGTTCTTAGAAAGGCCCAGGGGTCATCGTTCCAAGGTCATTCGACATTACAAGGACTACCAAGCCCGCAACGGGGCTGTCTGTCGAGACCGCCGCAACTGGGGAAACGTCTGCAGACGCTGCTGCAAGCCTCACGACAAAGACTGCCGTGATGAGCCGAGGTGTTTCTTCTGTTACGAAGGTCACCACGTCCGCAACTGCAGAGACACTGGAAGTCTGCAGTCCACTATCAACCCGGACGTCATGAATGTGCCCCCGCTGACGTACGAGGACGGACGAGGACGCACTGGACAGGCCGGACAGGCCGGACGTGCCAGAGGCCGATCGCGCTGACTTCATCGACGCAGCGATTCACAACCAGCCTGAGGACAACCAGCCTGAAGAAGTCATCCAAGGCGCCGGTGCACCTCAGACCCGCAAGCCCGCCAAGGCCTTGTATCCTGACGTCAAGTTCATGCTCGACGCATACCTTGAGGACGACTCACAGCCTCTAGTCATTGATGCACCCATGCCGTCAATTCCTGGCTACGACGAAGACGGCGATGAGGAAGACGAGGAAGAGGAACAGGACCAGGAACAGGATGACGGCAGACTTTGATCTCGACAGAATTCTCGCTGGACGGGAGGGAAAGGCTCACCGTGGCTTGGAGGAGCCAGCAGCGGGAATCTGGACCAAGGTCATGGCTGCGGACAATGAGAAGGCGCGCAAGGAGCCGAAGACGGGCGCCTGGGCAGACCCGAAGGTCGAGAACCGTACTCAGGGTTGGAACGATGGCGACAACAAGCCCACCACCTCTGCTAGGCCTGAGGAGCTTGCCTCCACCGAAGAGGCTGAGAAGCTTGCGTCCAACAACAAGGCTGCGGCAAAGGTAGCGCCCAAGGAGTCCATCGGGGACCCAGTCAGCAGCTCGATTTTCGACAGTCATCAGCTTCTCCGCGCAGGTGTTCGTTCTTATCACCCCGATGAGCGCCTTGACTTTGTTAACACACACACACACACACACACACACACACACACACACACACACGGTCCGGCATTTGGCCACCCGTACAGTCTCAATCGTGTACAGTGTCAATCGCGAAGGCGGTGCCCCAAATCTCAGCCTGCCATCCCCGACAAGCTTCGTCCCGGCGCCGGCGCCTGTCTTTAACCAGCCATCCCACATCATCGTCAACAAGCACAGAAGACGCAATGATGCTTCTGGCTCGCCTTCGATTGCGCTTCCTCGCCTCCAGCGCACGTCCTCAGCCGACATGCAGTCAATGCTCCCTAGTCCTGACGACTCCCAGTTTGGCAGCAAACCCAGAACAACTCCGCCCCTCATGGACAGCAGCGCTTCTCGTTATCCCACGAGACTATGATTTACATGGAACGGATGCGCTCAACCCTGGAGGAATTCATGAAGACCATGTTCAAGAGCGATTTTGAGTCCTCGGACCTCCGTGCGATCAATACCAAAGCCTTCAAGGGCCGGTGCTTCGCTGCCATCGAGCGCCAGTCGGTGGCAGTCAGCTCATACCAAGCCTTCTTGCAGGTGCCTGGAAACTTTCATCCGATCTGCCAGATTGCATCCCACCTTAGCAGGCAACCAACCTTTTCGAAAGAAAAGATAAGACTTGCGTCCACCTCTTCATCTTCAACTTGCCCTGGAACTACCAGCCTTCTCTCCACGTCTCCCTTTGCCTTTCACCACCACACACACACTCTGGCCTGCTCTGCCTTTCTTTACCCCGACCACCATCCCTTTGAAATTCTCCGTCATCTCTACAATCAGGCAGAGACTGCTTGCCTGCCTCATTCAGGAAGCTAGCAACGTCACTTTCGGTGAGTCCACAGACCTGTTCCCCACTCTTAGTCCAGCCATTTGCCTTTCCAAAAAGATAAACTGTCCCTAACTCCTGAAGTTTCCTCTCAGGCTTTGAGGCCTTATCTGCGACACCGCCTCCCACTCTTTAGGTCTTGCATACTGGACCCTCATTCAATGTCAAGCACCTCGATTTCTTGAGTACTTGCTCCAGGTCTGTCGACAGCTCCGTTGAGAGATCTCGTGACTGGAACTGACTTTTGCTGCTTACAGTTACCTCCTCGTCATCCCCTCACCGACTTCTTCTTCTACATCAACATCACTGCGATGATGAGCGCCAACGGTGGAGATGACCATGTACAGGCCGAGCACCAGCCGATCGGACAAATGCGAATGCTCAAGATGGTGAACCTCAGTGCTTGCGACCTCGCCCGTCGGAACCTGCAACGCACGATCGACCGCTGTATCGAGGATGTCCCAAACCTTCGCAATTGGATCAATGATCACAGAATACGAGTTGGGTCGGCTTCTCAGGAGCTTAGTGACGCTCTGGAGGACGGCGGTCGAGAGGTCTGCCAACAGCGCCTCGACGCAGTCAAAGAATTCGAGCGTGATCGAGGCACGGCCTTTGAGCGATACTTTCACCTCAAGCAGACACGCACCAACGCCGAGGCGGAACTCGCGGAGCTCGACCGAACCACTATCGGCCGCGCAGCTTGGCGGCGTGACCGTGGCAGCCTCGCGATACGCCTCCGTGGCGGCGAATGTACGCAAAGGGCCATACTTCTCCCGGCCTAAACGTTACGTTTACTCGGCCCAAGCTCTTTTCCCTGGATATCTGCGATGCTGATTTCTTCACCCCAAGCCAAAGGGACGAGGAGCATCTCACCTCTCTAACTACCGTGACGATCAGCGTTTGAATGGAGCTGTTATTGCAGACAAGCGCGATTGGTCTCGGGTATGTGGCGCGCAGAGCTTGCCTGCACCTTCTGTGGAGGAGCCCACCACGCTCGCCGGTGCAACTCAGACAACCAGATGCACGCGGACTCCGCCTGGAAACGGAGGCCATCGAGCCGCCGACCAGCCAACCCGAGCAGACAGCCACCGAGGATGTGGATGCCATTTCTACCGAAGGTGTTTCTGAGGATGGAGGCTTCGTGCCACCAGAGCCAGAGCCCAAGTCTGAGCCGGAGGGTGACAAGGACGAGGTTGTACCTGCCCGAGAATTAGACATGGAGACCCTGATGCGCCTCGAGGACATGCGTGGGGACGACCAAGTCGTCGTTCCTACTCGTGAAGCCGTCCCTTCCCTCTTGACCAATGTTGGTGTGGCAACACCCCCCATGGGGTCCTGCAGCCCTTACGGACGAGGAGTTGTGACTTACCAGTGGACGGGCGCCAACGATTATGCTTCCTTCGGCGAAATCCCTATCGAGGCTCTGGCTGGTATGGACAGGCTGACAGACAAGTCCCTCGATAGCGTATTCACTACGTGGAAGTTGGAAATCCGGGATGACGCCCAGGGTCGAAGGTCAGCGTGGGCTGCACCTGTCGTCTCGAAGACACTGGCGGATCTTTATGAGGAACGGCTCCATGATGCAGCCAGGGAACGCGGTCTCCTTGCAGACGACCAGTCTGGAGCCACGGACGGATCAGACAGCGACGATCCTGCCGACACCGTCAGGCTCATCTCAGCACCTCGATCTCAAGTGGCCATACTTCTCCCTGTTGGTCGAGTGTTGGAGTTCTTCAAGCGCTTCAAGCGCGTCTCAGACCATTGAAGCAAGCTGCAAATAATAGCCGCAAAGTTCACGGCCGGGTTGTCCCATTTCTCGAAGCTGCGGGTCCTGGCGCGAATTGCATACTATGACGACCTTGCCAAATTCAGAAGGAGGTCATTGGTGATAACGTGCTCAACGATCAGCAGCGCACGCTTGCCAGCCTCCGCCAGGGCATCAAAGCCAGAGTGAACCGCAAGCATGAAAGAGAGAGAACAGCTGATTGCCTGGGATATTGAGAACCGGATCGCTGTCTTCATGGTGGTTGTGGCCGAGGAGACAGGCGGTCTACCTAACGATTTCGACCACTGGGCCGAAGACGCCGGTGCCGAGAACACGTACAGTAACGGAGCCTGGGGTAGTGCGGGTGATGGCAAGGGCTGGGGAGGAGGTGAGCGCGCTCAAGGCAACAGTCAAGCCGTTCATGCAGGAAGTCCTCAGCCGTGCGCACGCGGTTGTCTGCACCTTCGTTGTGGCTCAAGCTCTGGTGAACCGCGACTATTTCCGTCCTGTCGCAGTCCTTACTGACGAGGCGTGCCGGGAGCACGAGGCTCTCATTCGATATGTTCAGCTCGGCATTGATCCGCTCTTCATCATCCTCACCGGTGATTATCGCCAGGACATGCCCTACGCCGCCAGCATGAATGTCAACGTCAAGGACAAGAATGAGATGTTGGCATCCCATTTCAACATCTTCCTGAACCAGTACCTGACCACTTTACCTCAACACATGATGGAGCAGGTACCAGAGCATGTAGTGTTGCTTTCGGACAACTTTCGCCAGCAAGGTGGCTTGCAGGAACTCGCCTCGCAGCTCTTCTACGATGGCAAGATGAGGACGTCTTTCGACCCTCTCGATGCGGACGCACTCACCCTGACATGGCACAAATTTGGTCAGGAGCTCGTCAATGAGAACCGGAAGCGCCGATGAGATGTCGGTGACCAGTCACAGTCATTCCGTGGAGTGAAGAGAAAGCGCGGAGACTTACGCTGCTGTAAGCAAGGTCCTGATGGCTGAGAACTAAGGGTCGAGCAATGTGAGTTACCTTGCAGTCATGTCACCAAATATCACCAAGACGGTTTTCTAATCCAACTTTCTTAGTCCTTCAAGCCCAGCAACATCAAGGGGATGACGACTCAGGGAAAGGTCATTTACAGCCTCTTGAAGCCTCACGGACGACACTGGCGCACTGTTCTGCCTCTTGCGGATTTCTGTAGGGAGGTCGACTCCTCAGCCCACAATAGCGTCCTCAAGGTCCAGCCCTACATTTGGAAGACCCTTCAAATCGTCCGTCAAATGGCTGATAACCTCAACGCCATGTTGAAGGACATCTGTCGCGACCCTGAGGCATGGAAGCAACGCCATTCTTCCGAAGTGGCTAATGCTCGAGCCGCGTACTATCAACCTGGAACTGAGGCAGCCTGGGGATTTGATGTCGACAATGGACGCCAACCATGCAACTGGTATGGCCAGCCAGGCGACAACGGTGGACTCAAGTTCGTCCACCAAGATGCCATCGCAGTCGTGCGGAGGATTGAGCCCGGTGAGGGTCTCAAGGCAAACTACGGTATCTGGACGTGGACCATGGCGATGAGGCTCGTTTACAACAAGCAAATCATGGCTCTGAGGATTAAGACGACTCCCCAACACCAGCAGAACGAGTACTGGGTGTTCGAGTGGCTCGAGACATGCCCCTCCACAAGCGACCTGTCTGCGGAGCAAAGGCTCTCAAACCAGCAGCGATGGGTCAATAGTGGCAACGTCAGCGTCGCTGTCATCGAGGATACGCCCAACGCGTGTCTCTCCCTTGCTGTTTTCGACAAAGGAGGCAAAGTGGACAACATCAACATGGTGCACGTCATTGCGCACTTCACTCCCCTGGCAATGGAGTATCCCGACCGAGCAAAGCACTGGGCAGCCATCATTAGCAGGCTCCCTGTCCTCGCCGCGGACGTGCAGGTGCACAGTTCCATCCCAGGCCGCATTCCTGCCAATGCGAGTCAACGTCGTCTGCACTCCGGCCTTATGGCAGTGATGGACTTTGTCCACCTGTCCCTCGCTGGTGAGCAGTACCCAATCAACGAGCGACCGGGATTTGGCTTGTGCCTTCGCACTTTGCTGTCGGAGGTGGCCTCGATGGCCTGGACAGCTCGCCGACACAAATTGGGAGCGAAGCAGTGGGATGACGGAGGGCGGCAGGCTGTCGAAGCAAGTGTGGTAGGCGAAGGAGCCTCTGCCGGGCTCTTTCAGTCGAGCGGTTGAAGTGACCTTGATGTGGGAAGCGATTTGTACTTTTAGTTTCTTTCCTCTCATTTGGGCGCCGCCTCAGCTTAACAAGTGCTGGTGATCGTGGCGCAGGCAAAGTTCGGGTTTCAGAAAATTGAAAAAGACTCAGTAGGACGTCAATAGCGGAGGTTTTCACATAGGTCTGGCTTGCCAATTTTTGGCCGTTGACAATCAAGACACAGTTCTGCTGGCACATAATTTCCATTGACGTGATTGAATGGTAGTCTCTAATCACCTCTGCCATGGTTAACGTTTACATACAAAGTCTTCATCTATTTTGCAGTCGGGCCTGGTCTAACATACATCATTCGCCTGCATCTCAATGCTGTACAGCGGTCGCTCGTAAGCCTTCTCAAATGCTTGTGGGTCTCCCTGAGCTGGCCCGTTACGACAAGCCGGACGTCGCTGTCCGCAGTTCTTTGGCATTTTGCTGTCATCAAGATTCTACTTCATTTGCAAAACATGAATTAAGGACTAATAAGATCTTCGGACTTCCTGGGTCAAGGCTTCAGCGTTAGAATGGGCTGCATAAGGGATCAAAAAATTCTGGATATGATGTGAGCAATTCATGATACACCATTTCGTATAGAGCAATGTCATGCAGTGTGAGACAACTATCCATGGGAAAATCTTCTATATGATAACCTCCTCCTGTAGGATAACTTCCTGTGGGAAAACCTCCCATGAGGTAACCTCCTACGGAATAACCTCCTATAAGATAACCTCCTATAGGATAGCCTCTTATAGGACAGCCTCCTATGGGATAGCCTCCTATGGGATAACCTCTTATGGGATAGCATCCTGTGGGATAATCTCATATCAGATGTGGTACAACGTTAATCTCCTGTGGCGATGACTTCCAACGGACAACCCTCTGAAAGCATCTGTCATGGGGTAAACTCTGTAGCTCCTGCAGATTGTATCACGACTTGCATGATCATTGATGGTATCCAGGGAGTTTTGTGTGTTTCTGTTCAAGAGCTTTGTGATTCGTGCAAGCAGTATGCATCGAGATAGAAAACCTCTACAGCAAAGCTTGCCAGACAGTAGATTTTACCCTCATCATTTTCATCATTTTCATCAATCGCCCAGCGTTTCTGTACAGGGAGAAGACCAAGGCGCCATCCTAGTTTTCAGACACAGGGTGTAAACAACACGCTCTCGGCTACTGGATCTCCGAGGCTTCCACCTGACTTACAGCCGTGATTGTCTACATGAAACATGCGGCTCTCTTGAATGACACCACGAGGAATACGCGGATTTCTTGACTTGGTGACCACGGGCGCTGTGAGATGATGCATCTTAAGCGACTGTGTGCACATTTCCAGTCCTTCTCGCCGGATTGATGGCCCCGATTTGAAAGGACTTAAAGTGCACCAAGAAAGTATCTCGAATCGTCTCGCCATGCGAGACTTCACATTACACGCGTTTTTGTTCCTTGGGCAACGAAAGAAGTAGTGATGTTGGAGTAAACATCTTAGCCCCTGGAAGGGGTAACCACCAAGCCTCCAGGGGCTAAGGGGTAGGATGCAAAGCGTCTTTAGGAGTGAGGGCAAATTTGTCGAGGCCGTGTCGCCTCCTTCCACGGTTTCAACGCAGGACAGCAGATCAAACACTCCACACTGAATCGGTGCTGCCGATCTCCAACAATTGCAGCCTTCATGGCGAGTGATTCTTTGGTGGAAGGCGGGTTGCAAGGATACCAGCAGCCTGCAGAGGCCGAAACATGCCCAGAGGAAGTGGTCATGGACTAACGAAAACCAGTGACATAATGGAAATGACCTCGCCACACACACACATGATGTCAAGCCTCAACTACAACACTGCATTGTTGAGAAAGGGTGCTAGGTAGTTATGGAACATGCTGCTGTTGCTCTCGGTGAGGTGTGAAGCCGGGCGCTCGAGACGGCGACAGCTTGCCATGGCGCCGGCAGAATGATCCCAGGCCTGGAAGACAACGACGACCACAATCGATAAAATTATCCTGCCCAGAAGCTCTGTATATCTAGTAGTGGCTCCTTTGTGTGGCGCTATTGATGAATTGGCCGAGTCAGTGGACGGAGTCCTGGCCGACAACATGGCAACCCTAGAAACACGTCACGTTCCAGGTCCGGAATACTCTGTTCTTAACCTTATTCGTTGGAGAACCCTAGATTCCCATCATTTGATCCCAGGTTTTCTGGAGCGTGCGCCGCATTACAAACATGTGAATGCAGTTTACAGACAATGATCGCTGCGTGATCGTGCGCTCTGATGCTGTCGAGGAAAGAAGTGCCCGGTCCAAGACTCTGTATTCTTGGACGCCGCCTCTTCCTCCCCGTTTTGCCGTCTAAGCCTCTAGTTCATCTGGACGGCGCATGTTTCGAGGTGGCCTTGAAATAGCTTCTGCAGTGCGTCCACCCGGGCCAGGCCAGATGATTCTCTAGGCGCGAGTTCGGATCTGCGAATCGCAACCAACCTTGGCTCTCTTGGCTTGTACCGCGATTCTGGACCGGGCTTGAGAACCAAGCCTGGAAAACAACGCACATCTGCAAATCTATGTTTGCAGCGGCAAGAAATGGCACCAGGTTGCCCCGGATGCTGTGCTTGATTGAGATGGACAGAAATAGAAGTCAGGATGAAAATCTGACGACCGGATTTGTTCATCCCGAAAGGCACGGTGTCTGAGGTGTCAGGTGTCAAGATGTCAACATTGGGGAAGAGGGCCTGCGTGCCCAGATTCTAAGCCTAACTGGATCGTCTGGAAGATGCACTAGGGACCTGTTAGCTGCTTGACTGCACGCTTGGCGTCCTATTGCTGTCATCATGACAGTCATGGGTGGCCAGGCCTTGGAAAGCTGCTGTCACAGCGCGAGGACGTGAAACCGCTGGGCATCCCGTCATGTCAGATCCCCAGGCTTTTGAGATGCCCAGACCATGTACGAGCGCCTCCTTTGCTACAACGTTGTGCTGAGCCTCCAGGCACCTCAAGCCCGCTGCGGCGGGTCCAGCGCCGATGGGCCCTGACTCTGGTTGTTTCTGGGCCCCTACTTGGCGGGCCTCTGCCCGTCTTATTGGCGCGCTGCGGCTCGGACTTGCTGATCCCACCCGACTGTGCTCCACGGGGTGCTCCAGCTTGGGATTCGACCACCCCCCTTTTCCTGTCTCTTCCTCCAGTCTGCCCTGCCCTGATGGCCAAGCTTCAAGCGGTGGGACACCCTTGGATTAACCTTAAATCCAAAGCCCCTGAAGTCTCCGCAGAGCCGCTGCTGACTGCCTGCCGCCTGCCCTGGGATCTCCCTGAGATCGTCCGCGGATCTTATTGGCGATGGCCTTCTCCCTCGCCCGCGCAGAATAGATCCTGAAGCAATGATCCGAGACAACGCCTCGGACCAAGCAACTGATCCCAGAATGATGAGCCCGGTCATGCCAACACGCCCCCTCCCCTTTCCAGCAACCACCGATGCCTATCCAACTTAATCAACATCTTACGTTGATCATCCCGCTGATGTTTAGCAAATCGCCAAACTCTCGGGTCTTAGCCATGTTTCGGGTCAGCTTCCGTAACAACGTTTCCAACGGGACAAGCGGTAGCAGGGCGGCAGCACAGCTACACCACACTCGACCTCGGTGACACCATAACTAGGCAGATAGGTGGCTCGAGCTTCCATAGTCGAGATATATCAAGAGAATTTCTGGCTTGCAGTTTCTCCATTATTTTCCCACCATCATCAAGCTTCTTCGTCCACAGGCTTGATTGTTAGTGATTCTCCCCAGTCTACCGGCTAGACGACGTTCCTTTTCTCCGCTTTCGTCTTTATTCACATCTTTCGATCTTTTGATAAGACTTCGCTTTTTTATCGACCAAACAATCCACACAGTCACTATGCTTGTCAACGCAAGACTCTCGTGGCAGCATGCCGTCCTGTCGGCTCTCGTCATGAGCTCTGCCGTCTCGGCCAACTACGGCTCCGTCCACGTCCGCCGCGGCGAGCATGCCATCCGCGACATCCCTCCCAACAGAGAGCATGCCCTGAAGGAGCGCGACCTTCTCTCCACTCTTTCGGGCTTGCTTGGAGGTGCCGGAGCAGGTGCCGGAAACAACGACGATGCTGCTGATGCGGCCGCCGGCCAGCAGCAGGGCGGAAAGGGCCAGGCCAAAGAGGGAGCTGCCGGCGCGGGTGAAGCCGCGGCTGGAGGCCAGGACGAGGAGGCCCAGGACGAGGAGGCCCAAGGAGAAGCCGCCCAGGGAGAAGCCGCCCAGGGAGAAGCCGCCCAGGGAGAAGCCGCCCAGGGAGAAGCCGCCCAGGGAGAAGCCGCCCAGGGTGAGGATGCCCAGGAAGCCGACGACGAGGAGGCCCAAGATGGCCAGGCACAAGGCCAAGAAAAGGGACAAGCCAGTAAGTCTTCTTTCCATTTTTGTTTTCTGATTTTCTCGTTTGCTTCCTCTCCTACACTCTCTCTCAGACCTTAGTGTTCGACTCTTGGTTGGGAGTGTGCCGCTGACATCATATTCAGAAGGAAAGGGCGCGCAGGGCGAGGCAGGCAGTAAGTTTTAAAACCCTACAGATCGCATGGACACAGGAACTAACCAAAGATACAGACGCTGCTGGAGCTGGAGGTATGACGAGCCTCAGTCTTGCTTTCATGCGGACAACTCACTGACATCTCTACTTTATAGCTGCTGCAGGCAACGCGACTGCTGAGGCCGGAGGTACGATGGCTATCTATCCACATTTTAGGAACAGTTTAACTAATACATCACAGCTGCCAAGGGCAAGGGAAAACAAAATGGAGACGCAGCTCAAGCAGGCTGCGCTGCCGCCGCCGCCAACGCAGGTTAGTAGCGAGCTTTTGACGCAGTCCACGCACGTTACAATTATTTTAGAGCAACAACACTAACGTTCCCTATAGGTGAGGCTGCTGCCGCCAAGGGCAAGGGCAAAAACGGAAACTCTGCTGCTGCTGGTAAGTTTTACGTACACCCCTTCGGCTTCGGACCAAACGCTGACATAGTCCAGGCGGAGCCGCAGCTGGAAACGCAACAGCAGACGCCGGAGCCGAGCAGCAGCAAGGCAAGGGCAAAGGACAAGCCAACAACGCCCAAGATGACGAGGAAGATGCGCAGGCCGGAAATGCCAACGCTGGTGATGAGGAGGCAGCTGCTGGCAACGAAAACGCTGACCAGGAGGACGCCCAGGCCGAGGACGCCCAGAACCAGAACCAGGATGCCGCAGCTGAGGACGCCCAGGCCGAGGACGCCCAGAACCAGAACCAGGATGCCGCAGCTGAGGACGCGCAAGCTGAGGATGCCCAGAACCAGAAGCAGGGCGCAGGAGCTGAAGACGCCCAGGCCGAGGACGCCCAGAACCAGAACCAGGACCAGGATGCAGCAGCTGAGGACGCCCAGAACCAGAACCAGGACCAGGGCGCCGCAGCTGGCCAGCAGGCCGGCGCTGGTACCGGGAACGCCGCTGTTGATGCTCTGATCGCGGCTGGCAAGGTCAAGCTGATGAAGACCCGCAACGTCATGGCCAACGCGGCGTGGTAAATTACCCGCTAGCACCGGATACCCGGAGCCGGATGGGTAAAGTTGAGTGATACATGCCTAGCATGGTCATCCACTTGCAATGTCCTGAGGAGGGATGTGTTGGAGACATATGGATTGTTTGGTATTGATTAGTGGACTTGATGGCAAGGAATGGAGTAGATCTCCATCCTATAGTTTTTAAAAGATATTTGCCACCCTAATAATCCTGAGTTTTTCAACAACACAGTTGCGAGATGATTCTATGTATTGGCACCAAAAGACCACCGTCCTCAAGAAAAGGTATTTTGAGTTGAGTGGCTGCTTTGCCATACCTTGTCAAATCATTCTTTTCAGGCCACAAAAGTAGCTGCGTTATGATCATGGAATGAATGTTGCATTGCATTGTTGAGAGTTAAGTTTTGGCTCCCTCAGAAGCATACAGAAATTTGAACATCAAACCAATTAACAGCGCTCCCCATCCTGCCCCTAGAAGCTGCATACGCTGACGCGGTTGGAGACTCAAATGCTCCAGCCATGGCGACACTCAAGAAAGCGGGCAAGAGTCTTGTGGCTTGCCCATATAGGATATCATTTGTATCGCGCAGATCATTTTGTGGTGGGTCTCGGTTTATCTCCATTCTTCTATCCTAAATCCACTATATGAGGTGTAAGTCGAGGATGTAGTTGTCGCTAAGTCTTGTTATCAGGCATACTTGAACCTAATTCCGAGAGTGCTTTGACCGCAGGCTCTGACGGAATGCTCCTCGCTTGCAACATTTGTCTATGAAATTAAGAAAAGAAATTACTAGAATACTTCCTTTGGGCTTGGAAATCTACAGAGAATGAATCCCCTTGAAATGGTATCATACGATAGACCATCGACATCTGACAAGATGGACAGGTTTTGTGACGTCGGAACAAACGAATACTTCAGGGCAGCGCTTTCATAAGGAGCATGTTAATTCATAAACTGGGCCGTCGAGACTCTGCTCTCATATAAATCAGTTGGATGGGATGGCCCTCGTTCATCAATTCTCTTCGCTTTTTAGAGTAGGGTGACCAACATCATCCTTCCTGTTTGAAGTACAGGGGTGCCAGACCCTAACCCCTCCACCATGTTTCCGTCACGGCCAAGTCTTGAGCAAGCAGTGTACAGTGCTCCAAGGAGCAAAGTATCAACAGCAGAGATACTGCATTCAAGTGGGTATAATCAAACAGGCTACTAACTAACTAGGTACAGCATATTATGAGCATGTACATAGGATTCGTAGTACAGGTGAGAGGCTCTAACGAGGCAGGGACATGTGCTCGCCCACGTGATGGCTGCCTGAAGCTGTGAGCGCGACACAGCAACGGCGGCCGTAACAATTTCCCGTCTCCCGTCCCGTCGCGCTCAGGCAGCCAGCACGTCGCACGCCGATCCTGGAACAGGTAGAGCGATCGTGAGGCTCAAAGGCACTCGGTGACACCAAGTTCCATCCACCGGCAATTAATCTGCACCAGAAAGGGGTCACAGCACGAACCACAACGGCCACCACGGCTCCCCTGCGTGTTGAGCACCGGGCGCGTCAGTACCCTCACGTCACCGCCCGTCACTCACCTCGCACCTCTCACCTCCGACCTTCCAGTTCACACTGTCCCACCCGAACGCCTCACGCAAAGGGTTCACACACTGACTTACACACGCACAGAGAGAGAGACACACACACGGACACACAGCCGTCGCCTGCGCGGCCCCAGCCACACAGAACCGACAGGGAGAAAAAGTGAGCAAGGCAAAACAAAGGCCCTTGCATAACTGTCACGGCAACTGTGCTTCCTGGATTTTATTTCCCGAAGCTACCATCTATTTTGGGACCCGCATGCTCACCACCCTGCCTTGTGTGTTCCTGCCCTGTCACCAACCGACACCGCTGCGCTGGCCAAGTTACGACGCACAGCATAGTGACAGCCATAGTGTCTCCGATGCGAGGTGACACGCCAGCCAACGCCTTGCTCGTCCTGATCTATCACGTCGCGGTGCCCCCCTCCCCTCTCAGCCCACCGAGCACGGTATCTCATCACACACGCAGTCTGAGGCGCCTCAGAAGGCCCACAGCCAGCCAGCCATGAAGCGTGACACAGAAAAGGACGACGAGACGACGGCGTCCGACGTAAGCGAGCCGGAAGAGACCGCCCGTCCCACGGCCAGCTCATCAGCAGCGCGCGCTGCCCAGGACAAGGCGAGGCAGAAGCAGAAGAAGAAGGCAACCGAAGAGGACGTGCCGACGGACTCGCCAACGCCTTCTCCAGAACCTTCGCCTCGCCTATCCAAGTCGGCAGCCAAGAAAAAGGCCGACACAGGTGACGCAAAGGGATCTTCGTCCCCAACGCCTTCTCCGGCATCTTCTCCACGCCCGTCCAAGTCGGCGCCAGATAAAAAGAAGGGCAGCACAGGTGACGCAAGGGAATCCGAGTCTCCCACACCGTCGCCGTCCCCACCAGCATCGCCCACACCATCACCGTCTCCATCACCATCCCCTTCGCCGGAGCCCGAAGAGGAAGACGCCTCAGCTAAGAAGAAGAAGAGGGGTAAGGCAAAGGCGGCCGGGGGTTCATCATCACCTGAGCCCGAGGCGGACAGCAGCCAGCACGGGCCGTCCAAAAAGGACAAGCTGGGCAAGCTGGGGGGTCTCAAAGGGACGAAGAAGGCGATGAGCGGCGTGGACGGCGCAGCAGAGGGGGAATCACCGCAAGCCGAGGGCAGCGGACGCAGCAGGAAACCCGACGCCGTCGAGGAGGTCAGGATCGAGACCCCGGACGAGAGGGCTGCTCGGAGACGGGCAGAGCTGGAGAGGGAGTTGGAAAGAAAGGCAGCTGCTGGGCCGGCCAAGAAGAAGCGGAAATTCTGAGACGGAGATTTTCAACTTCTCACAGACAGTCACGTTCGTCAAGAGTGCTTTGTATTTACAAGCTGGCCGCTCTAACATCTAAGATATATCCAAGAAAATTGTCCCTAGCAGTCCCTACTCTGGCAGCCTAGAGCATTGCCTGGCAGGTGACATCCAACACGCTCTCGTCGACGTTCAAGCAGGACGCCTCGTCACCCCCGGCGGGACTCACCACGTCGATGTTCTCGGCATAGATGTTCCCACAGACCTCCTTGCTGGAACAGGCGAAGAGGCCGATGTCGGGCGAATACTTCTTCGACGTGGTGCCCTTGAAGTTGCGGAAGTAGATGTTCTCGATCGTCAAGGGCGAGGGGTACTCCAAGCACAATGTGAGGTTCTTCTGGCCGTAGCACTGAGTGATCTCAATGGCATAGTCCACGTTGTCGATGGTCATGCCATCGTAGGTAATGTTGTCGACGCGGCCGCTGCCCCCGCCTCCCTGCAAATCACCAGACAGCTCGGAGGCGACGTTCGGCCAGACCTTGATGCGGGCACCGTCCGAGGCATTGTGCATCGAGATGTTGGTCACGAAAATGTTCTCCACAATGTCGAACTCGCCGGGGTACTGGCCCAGTGAGCCAACGCTGATTCCGTGGGAGCCGTTGCACCAGAGCGACTCCACAAGGATGTTGGTTGAGTTGGGCTTGAAGGACACGCAGTCTGTTGAAGGTGTCAGCAGAGTTACTCTTGTTCGACGCCGGCCTCGTGGTGACGTGGGATGATGGACTTCAGTCAGGCTTTCAGGGAGTCCAGAGGGAGCCAGACAGACTCGATAGGGTTCAGATGGCACGGGGCCACGGGTGTAAATACAATTGAAGAGGGGCCCCAGGAGCAGACGTACCATCGCCGTTGTTGATCACAGAGTTCATGATTGTGATATCGGATGACCTGTAGGTATCCCAGCCGTCCGTGTTCTTCGCCTCGTTGGAGCTCGATGAATACCCGGAGATATCAAAGTTGTTGAACACGACGTTGGTAGAGTTGGCAATGAACGCGTAGTATTGTGGCGAGTACCTCAGCACGAGGTCACTGATGATACTGTTGTGAAGACCGTCGACTCCAATGCTAAATGGAGAAGAGAGCCGTCAGCCTCGTGTAATCCGCGACAAGACACCAACAGGGGATAGGTGAGTAACTTACAGGACTGGGCGCAAGATGTACTTGTCCGCAGCATAAAGATCGTACCAAGTCTGCCCGTTGCCATCCAGAGTACCGCCTGTGAAACGTGTCAGCTTCGACGTATGCATAGAGACAATGTTGTACGACGGCAGTCATCGTCTGAAAACATGAATGAGAGGCCCAGCGCAAGGCAGCCAAGGTGGAGTGGGATCGGTGAATAAATGAGGGCATGTGTAATGAATGTATCGCCCGGCTTCCGTGAGGCAGAAAGAAACAATCCCGGCCTCGTGAGGTCAAATCGCACGAAGAGACCAAGGTGTAGCTTGCCCACTGCCGCCGTAGTTGCCTTGTATCGCTACAAAGCGGGCGAGAGCTGTGACGCTTCACAACAGCACTGCAGCACTGCAGGCTATTCGTCCACCAACCCGTCATCACGCCGTGTCTACGGCCGAGAGCTGCCTTGTGTGTCCTAAGACGCCTGACCAGGGCAAAGTAGACGAGGGTAAGGGACTGGGCAAGGTAGAACACGGATAAGCACACACCTCCGTAGATAAAGACGTCGTCTCCACCCAACTTGAAGAAGGTAGTGACGTTTTGGAAGCCGAACTTGAAGGAGTTGGCCTGCCAGTAGTCGGTGTCGTCGGTAAACTTGACATCACCCCGAATGTCTATTGGCTTCTCATTAGCGGGCCGTCTCCTTTCATGCACGGCTGTTGAAGGCGAGCAGCCTTGCGGCAGTGTCTTGAAACAATGACAGCAGGTACGCGCCGACTAAGATAGGCAGGGCTACACATCCATGCCGTCCTGGGAGACGCAATTCTTGTGCTCAGCTCCGGAGGGTGGGATGGTTGGACTCACCAATGTCGATGGACTTGAGGAAAGTCCAGTCCATGGCAGTACCGATGGTGTATGTGGCGTTCTCGCTGAACACGACATGGCCACCATTGTTGCAGTCCTCGAAAGCAGACAGGATGTGCTCCGAATCATCCGAGCCATCTCCATTTGTCTGGACGACACACTGCTTCGTCCTGACTGGTGGGTTTGGAACTGGCAGTCTGGGCTGAGCTGGGGAGGGCACAATCTGAGGACGTGCAGCCGCAACTCCAGCCACCGAGGCCAGCAAGGCCGCGCAAACCGAGGACTTCATGATGTTCTCGTGCTAGGGTTGTCGATGCGTGACTACACTGACGACTCCTTTCCTTAGACTGCTAGGTCAGTACATGTTTACGGGTCGACACAGACCATATGGGGGAACTCACTTGGACTAGGTACTCTTGGGGGTTGGCGGGCGAGAGAGTCCTTGGGCAGAGACAAGACAAGATCGCCAGAACTCGAGGGAAGAGGCCATTTTGTATCAAGTGCCCACTGACTGACTATCCGGTCGATATGCAAGGGTCTGTCTACTGGTAATCAATTAAGCCTTTGAGCATGTGGCCGTGGTGGCCTTCGCGCGAGGTGTAGTGCTGGCAGGGGTTGTTCCCCCAATTTCCGAAGACCTTCTCGGGGTGGAGCAGACGAGATTCAGGGGGCCATGGGGCGACGCGGATAGGAGGGTCAGTGAGGGTCGGCGACGGTCGGTGAAGATCACCAGACTCCATGACTCTGTCATTGGCTCTGGGCCGGGCCCAAGTCCGGCCGTGCGATCCGAGAGGGGGCCACTCTGGCTCCCGAGGGTCTGGATGTCGACGAAAATCGCCTGGATTGGGCTGTTGTCGACGTGATGATGCGTCACCCGGCGCAGAACCAGCGTCCAAAGCTGGGGCATGTCGAGCGACGCCTCGGGGGAGGATCCCCAGATCTGAGGGGAAATCTGGGGTAAGGCAGGGCCGGGATGGCCGCACTTGCTAACAGCTGGACGGGCAGTTCTGGCCTGGACCTGTTAAGCCCGTCGCTGCCTGGTGAGAGCTATTGGTGGAATTGCAGCGGTATTTCCTCCGTTCACGCTCAGGGTAACCTTGAGCTTCAGGACAGCCTTCCCCCTAGCCCTGCTAGCTTGAGAAGGCATGGGGTTCTGTTCGGAATCCTTCCTTCCCCAACTTCAAGCTGCCACTTCCACCTGCAGCTTCCCCTTGCAGGGCAGGGCAGTTACGGCGGGGCAGGCGCCTCCCCACAACATGTCTATACCACACAGTACTGTACTTCAAACGGGCGAGTTTATGTCCACCTTCATGTCAGTCTGTCTGTGCACGCACTTTCTCCATGGGTTCGCCAAGTCGGGACGGTATTGCCGCCTTGACAAGCACTTTTGAAGTCTGGGCAGTCAGGCATGGCATCGCACGGCATCACACGGCGTAGCATCTGACACCTCTGCATGCTCATCACCCGTCACTCAGGCCATTGCTCTTTTTCAGACTAGACGGTGATGGTGTCGACAGTCAAGTGTCGTGAGAACACCGTCAATAAGCCCTTCCACTGCGCCGGCCCCTACCTGAAGTACGATCATGGATCTCCTCTGTGGGCAGAGCTTGCCTCGCCGTCAACGAGCTCCAGACCTTTCGCCGTCGTCTGTGGAGGCTCCAAGTCCAAGCGCACGTTGGAGTGCGGTACTTCCCGCTTTTCTCACAGAGCCTCACCGCTGACACTAACCTCCTCTTCCATCCTCTGCCAAGGATGTTGTCACAGCTATCCCTCATGTCCAATGTCTCTGACAGCACTTCGAGATCACACTGGACTGGCTTGCTCTACTCTCTGGAACGGTCTCGATGAGCGCGGTTCCCAGCCACAGCTCATATTCGTGCGCGAGGTAGCAATCCGGCTTGTGCTGCTTGTGCTGCTGCTGCCACGAGGCAGGACGAGCCGAGTCTTGGCCGGCGGACCCCTCTTTGTTGCTCAAGCCCATTCATGCACCTCGCCAGCCCATACATGATGCAGCGTTTCAACCTCAGGACTTCCTCCCATCATCCGCACGTCTATGCAGTGTCGCCCTCAGATGGCGTGAAAGCTGCACTGGGGCCTTGTGCCGACCATCACTTGCTCATAGAACTACTCCAGGAGAAGCATTGGGTTTCTTGGACAGCGTCCCGCCCGGGCCCGATGTCTCCGGGTCCGTCTGCCTCGGGAATTTCATCTGCGCCCGCCCTTATCCGGTTGATGTTCCAGTACTGCTGAGAATGTTCATCCCAAGATGTGTTGCATGATGCATCCCGCCATCATCCGTCGACCTCGTACCGGCTCACAAAATGCGTATGACAGTGTTGCTGTATAGACTATTGGCGCACTGCACTCAGAACAGTCACGTTGATAACTCGTCACATCACAGGCACCATGATCGGCGTATCTGGCCCGATCTTCTCATTGACGCACCCCTCCATCGAGAGTCAAATGCTGCTTAGTGGACCAGATTCAACGTTGGGGGTCCCGGACACCGAGGGATACTGCTGGAGATGTAATTCCGTGGCATACAACGCAACAAGCAGCGCATCAGGCTAGAGTCTGCAGCGTGCAATGCCACTGTGGTCAGCTCAACGGATCGAGTCGCCGACTCACGATGCATGCTGCGGCCTCCCAATGGCCAATGTCAGGCCGTCAAGACTTGCCGGGGAGTGATTCAGCACGTGTCACCCCAGCGAGGGAGTGGATTTGACAGCTGACGTGGTTCATCGACTCAACATGCCACCTTCACTCTGTCGTTATGCCTGAATATCCGCAGAACGTGGTTTGCTCTCGTTGTTGAGGGTTGCAGATAGGCGTCGAATATCTCGGCCTAACAACGGATGACCGGTACCTGCTCGAGCGATCCCAAGACCACGCATGCAATCGAGGAACCGGTCGCTCACAATATCACAAGAGATAGCACCAACGTGGCAGAAGGGGGATTACGGCCTTTTGTACTCACCCACGAACGCCCCGACCTAAGCAGTCCTCGTCAGTCCTGCGCTAACATTTGTGGTCGTTGTGTATGGCCAACTGAGGCGCACCTTTTCCCAGGTTATTGACTGAGCAAATCGGCAGCCCTTCGCTTCTGGGCCATCAGCTTGGTAACCGGGTCCCTGGGTCTCTCGGCTATCTCGATTGTGCAGTGCTAGGAGAACATTGACCGAAACCTCGGTCGGGGAAGCTGCCTGTGTTCTTCGACTGCTGCGGCGTATGAGTGCTCATCTCGCTCCATTGACTTGTCACACCTGAGCAGCAAACAGAACCCGGTCAGGTCCACCTAGCATCCCTCACAATGGCATATATACCCATAGCGTCAAGTGCATGCGCCTTGCATGCAGAGCAAGCACGGTAGCGTTTGCCATCCCGAATGACTAGGCGGGAGACAAGGACGGTTTGTATTCGATATAGCCGTGATGGCTGCATCCTTCATCGATGCTCTACGACCTGGCCGTTTCGACGGGCTGAAGTACTTTCCACCGGTTTGCACCGTGATGCGGGGTATCTTTTAGCCATCCGGGTCATTTCTCAACTTCAGATTTGAGCTGATCGGCTGGCCGAAATGTGATGATGCAGAGACGAGAGTGAAGGAAATGGGAACCATTCGACACGCATCAAGTCAATCCATCTGTCGGCGCCTGCGACCCGGGAACTGCTGCAGGTGACAAGTGACGGCCGAAACGGACTCTCCTCGAGCCTCCGTGGTGTCTGACTACGTCTAGAAGGACGTGTTAGACTGACCTTCCACAGACCGTTGATTCGATGCGCTTTCGATTCCCCATGATCAGCATAATATGACACATCAGAGCCCGCATCGCAATATGGGCCAATAATTCATCGTCATACTCGCCTTCGAAGATAATACCACACCCCGACGGTCGTTACGCTGTACCACGAGACAGTTCATCATGTCACTGATACGTAACGCTGTAAGTATCCTCCGAGGCTTGGCCTTCTTGTCACTGTTGCACTGCTAATTCCATTTTGGCAACATGTAACTTCGACGGAATCTACTGTAGAATATGACGCAACTGACAGATGAACGCGAAGGGTCTCGAAAAAAATTCTAGCCAACGAGTTTGTGGCAGAGTTGAGAGATGGTGGGCACGCACTAGAGCACCTCCCAGCCCACGAGCGGCCCGGTCCATGAAAACCTTGGCCTGACCACCCATACGGCATCTGCTGTCACATCGCTCTCCATGCCGAGCTGGCTTTAGGTCGGCTCACCATGTGGTCCTCTCGCTCCATGGTCGTTATGAGCCTTGCCACGCGCCCACCTTGATATACTCCAGTCAACTAGTGTTGAACATGCAAGGCATTTAAGCTGCGTCACTTTATCTCTTTCTTCATTTCACTGAGGCTGCAGATAGGAAAAGTACGTGCGCACAGCGAAGTCTCAGCCTGTCAGGTATGAACAGATCCGTATCGCACAGCGTCCGTTTCATGTCTGCCTCGCGGCAGCTGGCAGCCCAGGAGGGACTTAATCATCTGTACCGTGACTGCCGCGGCCGGCGGGAATGGCCGAAACGCAGCCTTGGCCGACGTGGGGTGGTTCGTTCACACTACCTGTTCACAGCAGTGGCAGGGTTTCGGTGGGACAGAAGAATGCCGTGTATTCGATTTGGATTCCAAGTGGCATTGCTGAGTAAAGACAGCCTCTTCAAATGAAGGCAAGATAATGCCCAGGTGTGAACAGGCCAGGCCTAAGCCGTTGAGGTGGGCATAAGCAGGACGTAATGCAAGATGCTAGTGCTTCGATCTGTGTCACGAAGATCATACCCAGGGCCCTTCTACGGCGGCTTGAGCCCGGCCTGTTGTTGGGGTCTGAATGACAGAAACAATGCTAGTGGCTCATGGTCAATTGAGTTCTATTCATATCAACTCCTGAGCAGCGTGCTGTCTGGAGGCCACACCGCCAAGGCTACTGTTATCCTGCCTAGTGCCAGATCTTCACTGGATCTTGAAGCCAGTGGGCATCTGGATTGATTTGAAGGCCAAAACACTCACCAGCTCAGTTTCCACACCCACCACTGCGAGCAGGGGTACCAATACCCCCTGCCATCAACCAACAGCCAAATACAGAGTTCACTGGCCGGTCCTTGCCGCGACCCCAGACGGTGTGACCCGCTGCTATGGAACGCTAGAGGGTCATGTAAGCGCACAGACAAAAAGGGATCGACTGACAGGCAGCGGTATCCCTGCGAGAAAACCCACCGGATGGAACTCACGGCCTCAAAAAGTGAATCCCCCAAACGGCGGCCCTCGACGCCAATGGGATATGCTGTGGCGCCCGTGAGACGCGTGCGGAGCACCCAAAGTCCACCCGTCAATGGTTGAAGTGTCTATTGGCTGACCGTTGGCAGCGTGATCTTGGTTCTTGGTCGCTGACGGGAAATGCCGTCCTTGCAGTAGCTTCGAGACGGGAGTCCCGCCCGGTTGTCGTACCCTGTGTACAGCGGGATTTCAACGTTGTGCGGGAGCATGAGTATGAGAGAGAGGCCGCTTCCACGGTTGTTCTTGATTATTGTGTGCTTTTACCTGTGCAGAAAGAACAAATGGAAGATTGCTGGGGGGATGAAAGATGGTTTAGATCATACTTGCACAAGCTCGATACGAGACAGGCGAGAAATATGGCCGCACCGAGGAGAGTCTGCGACGAGAAGACACCCTTTCATATAACCAACATGCCACGGCCACGTTGGCAATGCTACCACACGAACAATAGCCCCATCACTTCTCCCAGGTTCCTGGAGGATTGACAGATCAGCGAATGACTGCCGCCATAATGTATCAGAAGGACTGGTCGAGGTCACAGAGGAGATTTCCGGCCACGACATGATCGATCTGAAGTAGTGCTTGTTGAGATGGCGTTTCAATGCATTATTTTCCAGGTGGTCCTCATTGCTTAAGCTTGCATTGTTCAGATCAATGCTACGTCCACGGATCGCACATGAGGCAGAAAGTCCGGTAGAGTATCGTAACGCAACACAGAATTTCGGCACAAAACTTTGAGTCAGCCCAGTGGAAGGGATGAGTTTGAATTTCGCACATGTACACCCCAACACGAAGTCGTTGAGGAGTTGCCAGCCGTTGGGCAGACATGCCAACCCCCCCCCCCGGCACAGCCTGGCAGCTGCTCCATCCAGTAGTGTTCTCGAGAAATTCGATTGGAAGCTCTCAGTGCTACTACACATACACCAAGAAAGGAACCGGAAACATGTAGGGGACCGGGGAGAAACAATACCCCGAATCTCCTCCTGTATTCTCGCAGACTAAGGCACAACAACATCCACCCACGCATCCCATTTTCCAATTTTTCTCCCTGAGCCCAAGACCGAAAGTTGCATATGATATTATGCACGGGGTACTGTACCCATTCGAGATGACGAGGTCCCTCCTCCACTGGCGTTGTGATAAATCGCATCCCTTGCCTTGCAATGGCCTGCCTGATGAGCGATGTCAGGGTGGGCCATCCGGGCGTCTTGGGTAGCATTTTGGGCTTTGATAAACCGGGCCCACATGCTGGCGGATGGGAAGGGCACAGTCTGGCCACTTCCAATGGAAGGCTGTGACGGACTGGATCGACTGCGCAGCAGCCGAGCCGTCATGTGCATAGATTATGTATTCTGCCAGTCGACGATCAGGAGCGGGGCGAAACTCCGCGACGTGAGAATTATATCATGCATCAATGTACACATGGTCCATGCACAGGGTAACAGGTTGTTTACAAAGCAAAGCAGACAGCTCGCAAGCAAGTAAAGACAGCGGACTTTGAGGGTCAGTAAAGCATGGGTATTAAATGTCATCATCATAGCAAAACGTTACAGTCTCTTTTCGTTCAAACGCCGCCGCCTCCTTGACCACGTTGAGATTCATGCCCCGGCCTATTCCCAAAACGATCCGCAGTGCAACCACCTCGAACGCACCAGACAGGCTGAGTGGCGCCCAATAGGAAACATTCCCGGCAAACGGAGTAACACATAGAACCATATCAGGCAAGGAGAAAACAAATCATCCGTCCAGAAAGAGAAAAGGAAAGAGAGAGAAAAGCCCCGATCTCATAGCCTATCCCCCCATGCCAACGCAGGACGCAGAAAGAGTCCCTACCCCCACACACACACCATCACTTTGAGCCCCTTGCCGGCAGCCAAGAAGAAAAAGCAAGAGCACCCCGCCGCACAACGCACAGACGTGACGGCCTAGACGGCCTCGAACCCTGAAGCCATGCACAGGATGATCGGCCGGAACGTCCGGTTGACAGCTGGGAGTACATCCCCGGGCTCTGACAGCTCACTAGTGACCGCAGTCTCTGCTTTTTCTACTCCTCCTCGTTTCTCCGGGACGAACTCCCGCAAGGGGCCTGCAGGAGCCCGCGTTGTCAAGAACCCCGCTGCTTGTTTCTTATAGGGCTGATCCACACACTGCGTTGCGGTGGCGTCAGCCTGCGTTTTGCGATCGATGGAACCGGGTACGGAAACCCTGGTCGAAGGTGCCCGAGCTGCACGGCAGCCACTAGTTTGCCTGAAAAAGTTGGACCGCTTACCTCGAATGCTGCCGCCTGTCACTTTCCTATCAGCCAGTTTCCGTGAGGCACGTTACAAAAAACGACAGGAGGTTGAACGACGAGAGAGAGAAAGATTGAGAGGGGTGGGGTGGCCGAAAAGCCCAGTGAAGAAAAAGTCCCATCCGCAGTCTCATCCGCAGTATGGCCCCGCGTTCGCCCAAGGGGGGTTTGCTGCCATCAAGGCCGCGGCCTCCTCGCCAGTCAGACTGCTGCCGCTGAGAAAGAGAGGAGTTTCGATCCCCGCGGGGGCCTCGAAGATTCCCTCCACCTGGTGGAGCGTGTAACCCGACTGCTGCGGGTAGACCGGGGGTGACAATGCCGCCGCCGCCACCGCCGCCGGGTGATGGTAGCTGCCGTCGGTATTGGCGAAGAACCCGGGCAGGTAAGGGTGGTGGTACTTATTGCCGTATGAGAGGTCGTCAACCTGCGGCTCGTGCTCCGAGCCCGGGGGCGTCGTTGGCTCGGCGGCGGGATCGACATCGCTCGATAGCCCTTTCTCATGCGTGCCGTGAGCATTTTCCACGAATTCGGACTGGAAGTAGTTAATGTTCAGGTGGGTTTGTCGGCTGGGAGGCATCCCGGCGTGTCTTTTCAGGCCCGGTGAAGCCTGGATCTGGTAGGGAGAGGACGTGTTCGGAGGCAACTGGCGGGGGTATTCAGGGTAGTAGCGGCCATCCTCATCTGGGTAGAAGTGAGGCCCGCATTGCTGCAGACGTTGGTTTCGCTGGCGAGCTGCTTCTTGTTGCTGTTCAGCTTTCGTTCTCTTCCTGTTGTGGGCGGCTTGGTAACCACCTTTTCTGCCTGACACGGCTTTGACGTTCCCATGAACCGCTCGATCACCCCTGTGGTGGGCCCGGACAGCACCCTTGCTGTTGCCCTTGCGGTACCTCGTCGTGCTCTCCACGCCACCATAGTACTTGGGCTCGAGATACCATTCAGTCGACTTCCTTCCATCCACGGCCGAGGCGTCCAGGGACAGGCTCCCATCGCTGTTCAGGGCTGGCTGGTTTGAGCACCGCTTGGTAAATGCCTGCCAAACAGCATCTTGTCAGTTGAACCTCCTTCGCCTCAACTCATCGGGAAAGAATCGCCTACCCCATTCATTGAAAGGTTGTGCCTGATGGAGTTTTGCCAGCCCTTGCCCGTACTCTTCGCCTTGTCTGTGTTCTCCCTGAACCACTGGTAGATCTCCTGCAGCGTCATTGACTTGTTGGGCCGCGACATGAACGCCCTGTAGATGAGCTGGGCGTACGGCTCGTCGTTCTTACCTCCCACAGGCTCAGTCGATGACCTTGACCCAATAACATCCTCAGCATCGTAGAGGCTGGGGTTGTAGACCATGTCGGCGTCCATGTCGATGTCAGGGTCGGAAAGGGGCGCAGTGTCCTCCCGACGGATACAGATGGCGTCGCTTCCCATGGCCAGAGTGCTGCTGCAGGGAGACAACCTTGTCATGGGAATAACATCTGCGGGACTTTGGTACCTGTAGGTTCCATGAGTTGGAGTTGGTGGAAAGGAAATGTCGTCTCCTCGGATGTTCTGGTAGGGTCGTCCTGGCCCGCTCGCCGCTGCAGTGTAGGGGAAGGAGGTAGTCTGTGCTCCTTCCGCGGACGATGCGAGACCAAAGTGACCTGCGGGGTGGAGTGACTGCTGGTAGGTGCCTTCCTGAGGAGGGGCGCAAGGCTCCCAGGCCGCCCATTCCTCCCCGGGCTGAGTCTGTACACCCAAATCACACAAGGGCAGCCCATCGATGCGGTTGTTGACACTGTAGGCGAGACTTGACCGAGAAGTCAAAACGCTTTCAGCCGGGGGCTTAGAGACTGTGTCAGGGCTGTAGCCGTCGAAGTCGGTCGAGTGGCTCTCCTGGAAATCTCGCATGCGTTGCGGGAGATCCTCCGGGCTGTATTCTTCATACTGAGAATGCAGACCCAGGCCAGGGTGCTGTGGTGTCGGAGATGAGCCGCCGCGCTCAGGTCTGTCTGTTCCGTCACTATGATCATGAGACGAGGTCGTGGCGGCTGCCGAGCGGCGTGTCTCATGAGCTTGGGGCGGGACAGTAGCAGGCGAGTAGGGACCGTTAAGGCTCGGGTTGATGTCTGTGATAGCTTCAAGAGATGCTTGTGTCGTGCAGAGGGAATACTCATGTTTCAGGTGGACGTTGCTACACGGTGAGTATGGTCCAGAGGCATCGGGGGAGGCGACTGGCGGGAGGCCATCCAGGCGTCCAGCGTCTTGAGCCATCTCGTATTCCTGATACCGGACCACAATGCTCAAGGCTGACGGCGATAGCAACTCGCGATGAATGTGGTGTCTGTCTCGGCTATGAAACAATAGATGTTGTTGAGTCATCCGGATTATTCCTGTTTGGCGACCACGGCTGGGATGGAGTGAAACAATGATGGCGACGAGTCAAGAGGAAACGAGAGACAACAGCTTCTAGGACGGATCTGGGTGTCAGGGCAGGTGCTTGCTTGTGGTGCTTGATACGACGAACTGGAGCACGGGGAAACAATCTAAAAGCTGACGGTGAGTGGGAGCCTGCAGGCTATGCTATGTGTAGGCAGGAAGCTCTGCTCGAACACTTGTAGTCCGGAGGATTCTGCCTTAACTAATATCTCCATTTCCCTCTCTCCTCTCTCTGTCTTTCAATCTCCCTCCTCCTCCGATAGGATGGAGACGATCTGGGCCACTAGGTGACCAAGATCGAATTTCTATGTCACTCAGAGCGCATGGGCCATGGAAGATCTGCCTGCGCCCAAATACAGACTCTCCTTGCAGATCAGGACAGACAAGGGTAGTAGGCTACGTCTTGTCGGCATATTGAGGCAGGTCAGGGGGGGCTTGTGAGAGGGGGGGGGGGTAACCTAAAGCTTCGAGGAGTGCTCCTAGCGAACGCAAGTGCAGTGATGCAAATGACAAGCTACTTGCCAGCTCAGACATGCTCCAGCAGAGCCCCGTATCGTGTACTTTCTACTTTGTACCTCCATACAGGGCATGCGGGGCTATTTGGACCTGTCTATGCACACGAACTCAGGCAGGTGTGTAAGGTAGTGTGCGTGCGTGTGTGCTTGTGTGCTGCCACGGGTTGCGCGTGCGTGTGCGGATAGGGTGTTAGCAAAATCTTTGTGCAAACGAGCAATGACTTGCTGCGATTACCGTCTGTCTCCTGACGCGGTCTCATCTGGGGCCAGATAGCATTCTGTCGCCTGGCAACAGAAGTCTGCAGCTGCATGTAAGGATCAATCTCCACTGCTCCAATATACAAAGGGATCTTTCTTGGGTGCCGAGCATCTAAAGCACTCACATACGTACCGAAGGAAGCAACCACAAAGCCGTTCAGGCCCACCCTACCCGCACGCAGGCACAAATATGTCAGCCCCATACGTGACAGGGGGCTCGCCCTGGGTAGCATGGGGGCCGAGCATGGGGGTCGCATCAGGTCAGTGGGCCTAGAGTGACACCAAGGCAAAGTGGAAAGAAACGTAAGGGGGAGGCGAGCATTGTGGAACAAGAGGCGAGCAGAAAGAGCCGTGTATACTGGTGAAGGGGAGGTGAAGCTTGACAGGGCTTCTGCCTGGCAGGTCAAAGAAAGGGGTACTTTATCGCGCCTTTTTTCGAATGGTCGGCCAGGTTGTATCTGTGGGCAGACTTCGCCCGGACGGTTGCCCGTTCCCCATGGTCTCTAGACCGTCAGGGCTTCTTGTGCCTAACAGAGCCGTGACGGCTGAGGCGCAGAGACGTGCGGAAGGCTGCATTCGATCCCGCGAGTTCTGCCAATGATTTCGTTTGAACAGAGGCTACGGGACAGGTCATGACCATGTACCCAAGGGTAACAAATGTAGACCGCCCCCGGGAGAAGGAAGATGCTTGCATGAGACGGGAGGGTGAAGCATCTGGAAGAGGCCAGAAAAGTCGATGCCAATCTATCGCTAATCAGTCCCAGTTGGGCCAGGTTGCATGCATCTCAAGGAATGGCCAGACGAAGAGGAAGCCGGCCTTGCGGGTACCTGAACCTCACCGCTGCCGCCAGGTCTCCTTGCGGATGGCTGTCGACGGTGGATTGCACAACATCCTTCGCCCAAAGGTTGAAACCACAAAGTCGTGCACCCTTTTCTTGGAGCCAGCGGTCAATCAGCGCAGTGTAAGGGCACCAAGACAGGGGAGCACAAGAGCAACTAGCGGTATCAGCCTTCCCAACAGGGAGCCGCAGGCAGCTGAAGGTTGTACAAGTCAGGTGCCGGGCGAGCGCGGCCAGACTCGATGGCTGGGGACATGACGATGGCGTGGTCAGGATCAGCGTGTCGGGACGCGGACAGCGGGCGAGGAGGCCGCGATAGTACCGGCGAGGTTTCACAGAAAGCCTATTGCCTGCCATTAGTCCCATGCGCCCTGCAGCAGAGGCAACGTATGATGCGATTACATAAGTATCAGAGGCTCCCAGAATGACCATCCTTCCAAAATCGTGTCGTTTTGTCCACCAGGTGATGTTGGCGATACAAATGTCAGGTCCACCCCTGTCCAATTGGTCTCGCAGCTGTCAAGAGACTAACCAAGATTCAAATCCCCACCGCCCACAACCTTGGCCTGAGAGGTATCGCATCACCTCAGGCACACGCCCAAGGTACTTTCGGGCTCCGGTGCTGGCATGCGTACGTCGAGTAGAAACCGCACATCGGCCGCATCACTTTCTGTAGTAAATCTGTACACAATTGTCAGTCTTCCGTTTGAATTTGAAGAAAATAATTAAAATCGAGTCGAGCATATTACGAACCTTTTTGAACTGGAAATGTAGCTGAAGAATGCCCTGTCGACGATGGTCAGCAACTGGGTGACAAAAGGTGTTGCACACCCCCCCCCCTCTGTATTCTTTCAATTTATAGCGCTCACAAAGAGAAACGTCTTTACCACATTTCTATTGGAATGGCCAGGTATCGAAATTCGCACACTTTATGGCAAGGCCAAATGGAACAATAGTGGGACGTACCTTGTCAAAACTGCTTCGGAAGCCCCGGTCCCTCTTCGCTGAGTAGTCCCATTCTCGGTCTACAATGCGAAATGCGATGTCTTCGTACGGCGGACCCGCTATGAATCGGAGTAGGCAAGTATCCTCCTCGCCTGCCGGGGCAAAAGACTCTCCTCTGCGTCGCCCGCCTTCCCGGATGATCTTGAACGTGGGCGCCTTGGTCTTGTCGATCAAGTCCGGGTAGAAGATGTTGAACTTGTAACCCTGAACCACCTTCGGGGGAGGATTGTCGTGGTCGTAGTGCGTCTGATTGTACTTATTCCATTCGTAGCCCATCTGGACACGATTGAAGTACTGGGGCTTTCGAGGCCGATACTTGTCGGCCCATTTCGGTTTCGCGGCGCTGGGGACAGCCTCCTCTGCCGTGAAAATCTCCTCGTTTTCGCTTATTCCGCGCGCCACCTCACGCTCGTAAAGGGCTCGAGTAGCCTGGGAGAAGTCCTGCGCTTCGCTCGGCGCAAATCGTGCGGTTCCAGGGGGCGCACTGCTGCCTTCGGAGGCGGCACCAGCAGCACCGGCACCAGCAGAAGAGGAAGCGGCGGGTGGAAGATTCGGCGCTCGTGAGGTGGCCCCTCCAGAGTTCACCGCAGCCCGAGAGCCATCAACATCGGCCGATGCAAGAGCGTCTGCTTTGGCTGGGTTCATGGACCTGAACTGCTCGATGCGGCTCTCCTTAATAGCCTCGCAAATCTTCCTGAGCTTCGCCTTTGCCTTGTAAACCAGCAGATTTCTCAGAAGCCCCTGCCAGTAGTCCGTATCGATCTGCTCGTCCGACTGTAATTTCGCCTTGATCTGCTTTTCCAAACTCTCGAGTTGCTCAAACGTCTTGGGACCAAGGATCCTGTCGACATCCGAGGACACGGAGCTGACGGCGCGGCCTTCGTGGTCATTTCCCTGTAGTTTCGTCCTCCGATCGTTGCAGAGAGTGAGAAGAGAGCTCCAGTAGTCGCGGTTTCTCTGGCTGGTCTCCAGTGTGTGGAACGAGGTGATATCTGACTCCAGCTCCTTAAGCTCTGCCAAGTTCGAGCTGTCCACTATTCTTTCAGGTGACGGTACCTCTATTTCGATATCCCCATCGTCATCGTCGAAGACGTCCCGATCGTTGTCAATATAACGGAGGTTGAAGGCCAGGTAGTCGACAGGTCTGGCTCGTCGCTCTCGGACTCTGATGTCGGCCTTTTTCTTGGACTGCTTGAGGACAAACTTGTCTTCGTCGGCTACAAATTTCCTGGATTGATCGTCTTGGCTGAGGAAGCGGGCAGTACTGGCTGCGGCGTTTGAAGGGCTTGGTTTCGAGGGCTTGGTGATTCGGTTATTGGGATCGCGTCGTGGGCCCGTGATGTCCCTGTCCTGCCGTTGCGGCGACCTCCCACTATCGATCATTGCCTGTCGACCGGGATCCATGGTTGTTGAAGAGGAGAAAGCAGGACGTCTCAGGGTGGGGTATGCGTGTACTTTGTAGGATTGCCGTGACGTGCTGCTGAGATTTAATGGTGACGAAGACGGGAATTATTTTAAGTCGTCGGTCGATCCAAGGCACGCCTCAGACAGGCTTGGCGCTGGCTTACATAAGCTGGCCAGCGCCTGGAGCCGCTCCCATTTGAAGGAGGGACTTAACGGATGTAGGTGCTCAGGCAGGCCAGGCAGCCATTAACAACTAACCGCGGGTGAACAAATAAATCATTTCGATCTGCCAAATCTTCATCTCCTGAAGGATGACTTGGTCTATCGTAAAAATCCCAGATCTTTCCAAATTACCTTCTTGCGTCCAACAAGGGCGGGTCACATCATTTGGAGCATCGGGGCATAAGTAGGCATGTCTTACAATAAGGGCGTAGGCTTGATCCAGCTTTCCTATAAAATGCTCCCAGTCAGTGATCAGTGCTGGCTGGAATTTCTGTACAGCTTCTTCAATACCTCTTGCCATCAGTACCATGGATTCCCGAATGCACTGAATACACTGACTGTAGGCCACTAACTTCGTAGCTGGGAATGTGTTTGGTACCTTGTGCGTTTATGACAAGCGACTGTTTGGATGCAGTTGGTCTGATTTCTTGCAATTGTGAGCGATTCCAGGTTTGCAAAGGGCATGACATGCGGCTGCAGCTACAAGTGAATTTCAGGCAAGGGATAATGATTGATCTCTCGCAGTCAACACAACCATCGAAATTGAATCACTTCTTGACAATTATTGCCAGGCTACCCAAAACAGAATCCATAGTTTCTCAGCTTTTCTTTGAGAATCTAATATGCGTGAATGTGACCCTTATGCAGTTTTGAGTTCTCACATGTGCAAACATTAGTCTCTTCACTTTCGGCGTCAAAGCGATTGAGTTGACCAACTCTTGACGGTGTCTTCATGCTTAAATCATAAGATATATCTTTCAGAAACTTTCAGTGCTAAGTGATCTCTCCTTTTCTTTCTCCTTCTCTTTCTCCTTCTCCTTCTCCTTCTCCTTTTAATTCTCCTTCTAATTCTCCTTCTAATTCTCCTTCTAATTCTCCTTCTAATTCTCCTTCTAATTCTCCTTCTAATTCTCCTTCTAATTCTCCTTCTAATTCTCCTTCTAATTCTCCTTCTAATTCTCCTTCTAATTCTCCTTCTAATTCTCCTTCTAATTCTCCTTCTAATTCTCCTTCTAATTCTCCTTCTAATTCTCCTTCTAATTCTCCTTTTAATTCTCTTTCTAATTCTTTAATGTTTCAACCAGGGATCTCTTGCACTCAAGTCTCCCTTTACATCGGGTAGGGAGCACTTGATGGACCAGGCTATTCTACAAACTGGGCATGACCTCTAGCCATCAACACGCAAATCGAGCCGGTTCCGAGATAAGCGTGAACATTGTTCATGTGGTTAGAAGACCAGGACGCTGCTTTTAGAGACTTCCAGCACGGCCGTCCTGAGCCTCATGCGTTGAGGTGGAGTTCACTCTTGATTTGGAATCTTGTTGGCCGATTACAGCGAATTACCTCTTTCAACAGGTGAAGAGGTCGCCATGGCGCCATCTTACCTGGCCAGCTGACAACGGCGCTCCACTTGAGACACGACGCTCGGTTGACCCTTCCGTTGCTTCAATCATACTGACAGATAATTTGGGTCTCGAACAGCGAGAAGGACCCAGGGGCCCATTAATACCTTGCCTTACTGCCCGTTTGCGCGCCCACACGAACATTGGGCTGCATGATCTCGAGAGGCGGGTTGAGATCCATATGAGCCGCACGACGAGCTGTGTGGCCGGCGCCCGTAAATCAGGTTCCGCGCAATTTTGAATGATTCAAGTCTGTAATTCTGATGGTCGAAATCAGCGTTCCACATGAATGTCGCTCAAAAGGTCATGCGTGAGTTTCTCGGAGTCTGTGATCTGCCTGACGTTTGTTCAGCCGTTGATTGTTCATGCATGTGTAAGCAGAAAACTGGAAGTATGCCAGAAAAAGGTGAGCGGAAAAGGTTCCTGTAGGGGGATCCGGACTTGTAGAAGACTCTGTTGCAGAACTTTCTACCTGTAAAAGAAGACTGGTATGTGAGCCAACTTGGCATGGTACCCATTTTGCACCTGTGTCAGTGATGTATCATATTCAGGTAGTTGACTCGATCCACTGTGCCTCAAATCAAATGGGGCACCGGTAGAGGACGTTGCCTCTGAAAAACACCCAGGTAGGAAAGGGGCCATCGGAACCTCGAGCCGATTCGGCCAATCCAGCAGCGTGGTCCATATTAACATTGTTGTTGGTGCCGGGGCCGAGGCACTCCAGGTCCAACGACCTATGGGACACTCGATTGAAGACCCCGGTTGTGGAAGGTAGTGCAAGCGTGCCGTGCCTGCGCATCGTAGCGAGGGCTCACCATCCGAGCCTTTTCGGTTTTTCTCTTCCTCTGCTCCCTTTCTCTTTCTTCAATTGGGGCTTTTTTGGATGCCGGTCTGGTCCCAGCACCGCGCCATACTGTTTACACTTCTCGCATGGTGTTCTATCACGAGCGCTACTGTCGCCTCTTGCCTTCTGGGAGATATTTCCTCCGGGAATCTTCCGCCGCCTGTTTACAATGCTCGACTCATTCATCCTCCGCTCTGGTTCCGAGGAGCTGGCCAAGGCGATACACTCACTCTCCGGGGCTGTGACGACCGTTTTCTCTTCACACGGCTCTGGGCAAGGACAAGATTGTACAAAGGGCTATGGTGGGACGATTATATCCGTAGGTCTCATACCCGGGCTATATTCTAAACCGGGACGGATATGTTGACAATGGGGACAACAAGTGATCGCCTCCTGGGCTCTGCTTCTGTGCGGTAATGGCTTGGCCGCCTCCGCGCCGTCATACGGCTTCAGGATCATTGAAGGTACCTCGCATGGCTGGGTACTGGCCTTCTCGTCTATCAGCTTCTTCTATATTGCGATGGCTCTAAGCAAGACCGCCTTTGCGGTGACCCTGATCCGGCTCTCCGGTGGCAGGACGCGAGTGATCCTGTGGGTCGTCGTCTTGTTTGTCTGTGCCGTGAACATCGCGGCGGCTGTGATCACATGGCTGGACCTCTGCGATGCGCTCGCGGACGTCAAGGGGATATCTGGCTTCTGCGTCCCTATGCAGACTGCAGTTTGGATACATGTGGCTAACGCTGCTGTCACAATACTTGCTGACGCGTATTTGGCTTATTTGCCTTGGAGGGTGCTGGCAAAGATATACATTCCGAGCAGAGAGAAATGGGGGGTGGGCATCATTATGAGTTTAGTTGGTCTGGCAGGCATAGTCTGCTTGGTCAGGTGAGTGACACTATGAAAGCCCAATACCGTGAGCCCTAGATGTCCGAGTTCAGCATCTAACAAGTATTATTTGGTGCAGGACGGTACTAGCCAGCCATAGCTCAAAAGCAACCGAGGAGCTGGGGACGCCAGACTGGACCTGTGAGTACCGATCTACGCCGCACAAAACATTGGGGAGGGCCTTCCACTGATGCCCAGCAGATGGTGGGTGGCTCTTGTTGGTCTCTTCCAAGCTGAGGTCGCAATCTACATCATTGCGCAGGCGATTCCCTTGCTCCGGGTTTTCTACCTCGGCCAAACAAAGCGATCAAGCCGGACAGCAGGCTTGGTCCAGGAGGCCCCGCCGCCATCATTTGTGGGAAAGAAGCTGACGACGCGAGTGACCGGTGGAGAGACCATACACGAGGCTGATGAGAGTATCGAGCTGGTGCAGCTTCCGAGCGGCAAAATTGTCCAGGCCAATTCGGAGGAGGGGAAGGCATTCAAGGCATCTCGGCCGACCGAGGGAACTGCTGTCCCTCAGACGCAGTTGCAGCAAACGACTGGCTTCAACATGTACGACGAGGTTCACCGGATCTGGGCTGATATGGGCCTTTCCAGGAGGGCTTGGTCACAGTCTCCCTCGCCGCTGCCCGCAAGTCGAGGGGTGCAACACCTGGGATGAAGGCGCAGGCTTAGATCAGCCAGGGGAGCCTGGTCCTGTTTGAATTGTACTGGAGCATTGGTTGGCAGGAACCAAACAGGCAGGACCCTCGGTGTGCCAGCATGCATCATATATGCCAGATACGGAGGTCTGTCGAGGAATCCGCAGCCTTCTCGTACGCACTTTGGTAGACCGAAGCGGGACGGAGGTTGCAAGGCTTAAGAACGGGTAAAATACCTCAGTAATCGCAGTGAAATCAATTAAACATCTGCATGCTCGCAGAGTCGATGTGGAAGGAGATAATCTGTTGCATAGTAGTAATGAGGTCTACGTTAATCAACGTCTTGCCGTCTCCATGGTCACTATCATTGCAGACGGCTCTGGTCCTCGGGGCTCACAGCTGGCCCAAGCTTCTCCAGCTGGGCAGGGGTCCAGGGTCCAGGAGCTGCCCCGCAGCGCAGCCGTTTTCTGAGCTCATGGTCAAGGTTGATGGAAGGGCCTAGAAATCTCCATGCTATCGAAGCCTGCCTGTCCGACCGGGATGAAAACGGAGGACCAGTACCAGTCTCAGCGACCAACCACCCACTGGTAACCACAACAATCATAGGCAGTAACACCACCCATTCTGACCTTCTCCTCCTCAGACATTTCTTTTCCCAAACCCTCAACAAATCCCAAGTAAACTTTGAACCCGCTCCATCTTTTACGGCTCTGTGCTTTGCGAGAATCAGCCAAGATCAATTTACTCCACCACCACTGTCGCATCCCCCACCATGTCGACCGCGGACGAGCTGAAAGCTCTGGGCAACAAGGCTATTGCCGCGAAGGACTTCGACGAGGCTATGTGAGTATATCCCTGCCCTGATTCTTGCTGTTTGCTCCTGCTTTTGCCTCACATTCTGACGGTCGCCCTCTGCAGTGACAAATTCACACAGGCAATTGCCTTGACACCAGACAACCACGTCCTCTACAGCAACCGCTCCGCAGCACATGCCTCCAAGAGGGACTACGAGAATGCCCTGAAAGATGCCGAGAAGACTACAGAGATCAAGCCCGACTGGCCCAAGGGCTGGAGCCGGAAAGGAGCCGCTCTTCACGGAAAGCGTGACCTTGCCGGCGCCCTCGACGCCTACAAGAAGTCCTCCGAGCTCGACCCGAACAATGCTGCCGTCAAGAAGGACATTGCGAACATTGAGCGGGCCCTGCAGACTCCGGAAGACCCTATGGGCGATCCCGCTGCCGGCCTCGGCCAGATGTTCAGCGACCCCAACCTCATTGCAAAGCTCGCCGCCAACCCCAAGACGAGCTCCTTCATCTCCGACCCCGTTTTCATGAACAAGATCCAACAGATCCAGCGGGACCCCAAGTCTCTGAACCCCCAGGAACTCACTGGCGACCCGAGGTTCCTGCAGGTTCTCGGTGTCTTGATGGGTGTCGACATGCAGATGGGCATGCCTGACGAGGCTGGCCCAGCTGGTGGCGCGCCCCATGAGGCTGAAGAGGAGGTGCCTGAGCCTAAGAGGCCCGAGCCTGCTAAGAAGGCACCTGAGCCCGAGCCCGAGCCAGAGCCCATGGAGGAGGACGAGGAGTCGATTGCCAAGAGGAAGGCAAAGGAGGAGGCCGACAAGCTGAAGGCTCAGGGTACCGCCGAATACAAGAAGAGGAACTTCGACGCAGCCATTGAGAACTACACCAAGGCATGGGAGACCCACAAGGACATCACCTACCTGACCAACCTGAGCGCCGCCTATTTCGAGAAGGGTGACTATGAGAAGTGCATCGAGGCCTGCAACAAGGCCGTCAACGAGGGCCGGGAGATCTACGCCGACTTCAAGCTGATAGCCAAGGCTCTCGCTCGCATTGGTAGTGCCTACGAGAAGCAGGGCGACCTGGCAAAGGCAATTGAGTACTACAACGAGTCTCTGCGTGAGCACCGTACTCCCGATATCTTGAACAAGCTCCGCGCCGCGGAGAAGCGGAAGCTTGACGACGCCAAGAAGGCGCTCATCGACCCGGAGAAGGCCGAGGAGGCCCGTCTCCAGGGCAATGAGTTCTTTAAGAAGGCTGAGTACACCGAGGCGTACAAGGCCTACGAGGACATGGCCAAGCGCGCCCCCGAGGACCCCCGAGGCTACTCGAACAAGGCCGCGGCTCTGATCAAGCTCGGCGAGCTGCCCAGTGCTTTGGATGAGTGCAACACCGCCATCAAGAAGGACAAGACCTTCATCCGCGCATACATCCGCAAGGCTCAGGCGCTGTTCATGATGAAGAGGTACTCGGACTGCCTGGACGCTTGCGAGGTGGCCGCCGAGGTTGACGCCCAGCACCACAACGGCGCCAGTGCCCGGGAGATCGAGCAGCAGCAGCAGAAGGCGCTAACGAAGATGTACGAGAGCCGGGAAGGTGAGACCGAGGAGCAGACGAGGGAGAGGATCATGCGTGACCCCGATGTAAGTGACACATGTACAGTCCCATTTGCGGTTGACACACCAAGCTGACCCCCTTCGCAGATCATGGCCGTCATGCAGGATCCAGTCATGCAGTCCATCCTGCAGCAGGCCCAGTCCGACCCTGCGGCTCTTCGCGAGCACATGAAGAACGCGGGTGTGCGCTCCAAGATCCAGAAGCTCATTGCAGCTGGTGTGATTCGCGTTGGTTAGGGACCGCACTCGGCTTTGTCGGCTAAGCATACTGCTTTGCGAGCATATTTCAGTCACCGCAGGCGCGGCGATGATGGAGATTAAAACGGGACAGGCACGGGAAGGAAGTCGGTTGCATCCGGTGGAGGAAATGTAATGTACGATGAAACGATCATACCCTGATTGAATTTGACGAGGTCGACCAAAGAGCAAGGCTTACATCTGACCACCAACACCGGGCAGTCCAAGCACTGAAAAGCTGGTCCAGACGGCCACTCCCGTCTTCTTCGCTGGCATCGGGCTGTCTTGGAGCAGTCGATGTGCAAGGGCAGCACACGGCTTATTTCTACAGCGTTCGTGGAGCAGGGTTGCACGGCGCTTTATGTATCTCTTGTGTCTCATCTGCTACAGGCTTTCGAAAATCCTAATCACTATCAAGCTGACTTCCTCATCATGGGAACAGTGTGAAGCCAACATTACATGTATGTACGCAAAGACTTGTGTGAAGTATTTACAGAGGCCCACTCATTATATCCGATTTCCCCAAGCCAACATCCCGACATGACCACCCTTCGTGACCGGCCCTCACGATGGCAGTATGACCATGGTCGTCGCAGCCGGGTCAGCCCCATCACCACCACGAACCGGCTCCGGCGCCGGCGCCGGCGGCGGCGGCGGGGCCGAGGGGGCAGGAGGGGGAGGAGGCGGAGGCGGAGGCGGTTGTACAGCAGGCGGTGGCGGTGGAGGAGGAGGCGCGGGCGACGAGGGCGGCACGATGACTGTCGTGAACACGGTCGCGGTCGCGGTCGCGGTACCGTTAGCCGCGGCCGACGGCTTGGGGAGGACCGCGTTCGCCAGCGGGATCGCGCCCGCGACGCCGCCGGCGACGGAGCGCGCGGGGACATTGGCCGGTGCGGCTGCGGCGGCGTTGAAGTAGTTAATTAGGTCCGTTGATTGGCTGTTTCGGGTTGTTTTTGTCAGCTAAGCCAGCCTCGGCGCATAAGGGGGAGCAGGGTAGGAAATACGCACGCGTTGACCGTCATGACCATGCCCTGCTGGCAGTGCATCGCCTGCGCGCAATACAGGAACATGGGCTGCGTGCTCATGACGGGGACGTTAAAGGTCCCCACCATGCCGCTCGCGCCGCCGTCGAAGGGTACGAAGCCGCTGTTGACGCCCGGGGCGACGCCGACGCCGCCGTCTATGGGCCGGCAGGGCGAGGTCGGCAGCGACTGCGTGACGGTGTGGTTGCGCGCCGCGAACTGGAACTGGAGCACGTCGCCCGGCCTGGCGGTGACGCTGTTCGGGGTGAAGGTCAGGGCGGTGCCGCCGACGAGGACCGGGATGATCTTGTTGTTTGGCGTGGAGGACGGTGCGAGTGGCCAGGGCTGGCTGTTGACTAAGTGCAGAGAAAGAGGTCAACATGGTTTCTCCGGGATGGGGGGGGGGATCACGAGTGTGTCCTGAATCAACATCTACATGTGCATGTGTAAGGCGGGTTGAACTTACTGACGAAGTCAACAGCCTGTGACAGCCTCGCTGCCGTCAGGGCAAGGCATATCGTGAAGACGAGTTGCCTCATTCTCTTCCAGATAACAGTAATAATGACATGGGAAAAAAAGAAGAGAGCGTGTATCTTATTATTATTGCCGCATCACCATGTTCATAACAAGAAATTATTGATCAGGACTCGCTCGGGGTCAACCCAAGTAAACGCAACAGGAAGAGTCTGAGGAGGGCAAGAACAAAGAGAGAGGCTCGCCACCGGCAGCTGGACAAGACCAGGCTTCTTTTGCTCGTTCGACACGTCCACATACAACGCCAGCCAAGACTCTGCCCACATCGTCTGCCTCTTGACACTCCCAGAACCCCCCCCCCCCCCTCTTCCGTCCGCTCGGCGCGCGACCACCGCCCAGCCCTGCATCATCGTAGGGCTCGCCCTATGGGCCCTACCGGGTACGTACACGTCCGTCCCGGGAGCAGAAAGAGAGAGCGAGCGTGAGCGTGCGCGTGTACGTGTGACACGGATGTCAGGAACATGAAGAAGCATCTCATGCGTTTCTGAGCTTGATGTTTAAAAGCTCTTAGTTCGGATGAGACGACTCCACGAGCGAGTGCATATTGGTTAGCGAGTATACATACGGGCCTGGTATGCCTACCACTACACTCTGCCCACCCCGCACCAAGATCGAATTGCCTTTGGATTCGGGGGGCAATTGAGTAGTGAGGTGGGCTGAGCCGATGTTTCAATGGGCTCCAGTGGGCGTTTCGCAATGGCTTCATCTGAAGTCGGGAGCTCGGAGCAGGTACCGACGACCCACACGTGGGTAGGCACGCGGGGACGGACCACCACAGCAGAACAAGCTCGACGGCTCTCGGGGCTGGGTGGCGGTGCTGTCTGCCCAAGAATGTTCACTGCCGTCTGATGGAGGATGGCCTTGACTTCCCTCAGGTCCCTGGTTGACTCCTCCGGTCTCCAGATGAATTAATTGGGTAACTGTTGGGCAAAATCGTCAGCTTATATGGAGAGAAAGAAATAAGAGAGAAATCGTAGATGGACACAAGCACGGAAGCTCGGTCCAATTGCATCGTTCGCACTGATGAGAACCGTGACACAGGATTTCACCAAATTTAGTGTCGAAGTCAGTGACAAGAAAACTTCACGGCTCGAACGATAAATCGCAACAGTATGTGCCTTGTTTCTATGGTCATATGTACACGTGAAGTAAACAATACCAAACATGAGTAATTAAGGCGTGGCGCTGTGGGCAGTTATTCGCTCGTGCCGGCTCGACTCGGACATGCTATGATGCTCGCGCATCAACCGCATGCTCATCTTTACTTCTGGTCTTTTCTAACCGCAACATTTCCGGCCGCTCTGATTCCATGTTGTGTCTTGACATACTCTAACGTCTGGCCCTCTCCACGGCAGCGGCGCTCATATTGGTCATTGAGAGACCGGATGGCGGCGCAGGCGTGCCGGCGCGCGTTGGCGGTGCGGACCTGTTGTGTGCCATGTGTGCCTTAACCAGATGGCCAGCGGCCAAAGCGGCATTAAGCGACAGCTCGCCAGCCAGCACGATCGAGGCGATGACGCGCGCGAGGCGACGGGCATTCTCGCCTGGGGTGACCGGGTGGGCACCGCGCACACCCAACATGTCCAGCATGGCAGCCTGCGGTTCCAAAATGGTGCCACCGCCGAGTGTGCCAACTTCGATGGAGGGCATTGAGACAGAGATCTGGAGCGACCCTCGGAGGCTATTGACATCAGTTAGCAAATGTAGCAGAAATGTTTCGTTTCACACGACAGGGTATTTTACGCACTTCTTCATGATTGTGATACAGTTCGCACTCTCCACAACCTGCGCCGGGTCCTGGCCAGTGGCAATAAACACCGCGGCCACCAAGTTTGCGGCGTGGGCGTTGAAGCCTCCGACACTGGCAGCCATGGCGGACCCGATCAGGTTCTTGTTGATGTTAAGCTCGACGAGGGTGTCGACATCGGTCTTGAGCACCGATTTGACGACGTCACCGGGGATGATAGCCTCGGCAACCACGCTCTTGCCTCTTCCTTCGATCCAGTTGATAGCGGCGGGCTTCTTGTCGATACAGTAGTTCCCGGATAGAGACACAATTTGCATGTCCTGGAAGTCATGCTCGTTTGCCATGATATCGAGCGCATGCTCGACACCCTTGGAAATCATGTTCATTCCCATAGCGTCGCCTGTCCTGCTCTTGAAACGAATGTACAGGTTTGTTCCGGCGATTGTAGACGTCATTGATTGGAGTCGTGCAAAGCGGCTGGTCGAGTTGAAGGCGTTCTTCATTGCAGCCTGGCCGGCGTCGGAGTCCAGCCACAGCTTGGCAGCTCCGGTTCGTTCCAATGTCTCGAAGGTCACGCAAGGTCCGCGGGTCATGCCATCACCAGTCAGCACCGTCACAGCACCACCTCCAGCGTTGATGGCCTTGCAGCCACGACTGGCACTGGCAACCAAGACACCTTCTGTCGTAGCCATAGGGATGAAGAAGCTCTGTCCATCAACCACCAGGGGCCCCGCGACACCGACCGGCAGAGGCATGTAGCCGATGACATTCTCGCAGCATGCACCAAGGACCAGATCCCAGTTGTAGTTCTGATACGGGAGCTTGGATCGCTCCAGTACGTTGGTGAGATCTGAAGTAGCCTTGGTGCGAGAAATGATAGCGCGACGGATCTTGACAGCGCGAGTGCAGTCTTTCAGTGTTCTTTCCAGGCTGTGGCCAGGGACCTTGCCCTTGAGTGCGAGAGTAATGATTTCATCATCGTTCATCTCGGGAACACGCTTTTCAGCAAGTAGCTTGTGAAGCTCCTCCAATGGACGTTGAGGCCCGTCGTTGACAATAGAGACCGAGGAAGCGATGCGCTTAAAGGCCGACGAATCACTCTCGTCGTCGGTAGCAGCGGGCGTGGGTGGGTTGGCCTCGGTAGGCGACGGGCGAGCTGACCTTTCGTATGGGCCGGGTGTCGTGGGGTCCGAGTCGTTGAATCTCTGCGCTCTGGCAAGCTCCTTGACATTGATTGGGTGCTCGGGGACGTTGGGGTCTTTGATTCCCCATCTGGCGGCGTTGAAGAGGTATCCGTTCAGAGCAACGCTCATGGCCAGTGCAATGACGATCCACTTGGACAAGACAGGGTCCTCCAGACTTTTGAGGATGCTGCCAACCACTCTTCCGTAGCCCAGGTCGTCCACATCATCATCGTTCGTCTGAGGGATCTTGCCATAGTGGATTGAAGGGAATTCCAGCTCGTACTTGATCGGAGTCAAGATTGTCACCACGACACCCCGGTTGTTGGCGTTCGTCTGCGCCAGTATGGTATCGAGACCGTTGGAGGCGACCTTGAAAGGATCCACAGGTGGGTTGGCGACAAGGCCACCGAGACCACCAGCCCAGGACGAGATAGTGGATAGAGAGTCAGTGTCCCGGAAGGGAACAGTGCAGAGGTTGATTGCGTTGATCAGAACGAACCCGGAGACCATCAGAACCTTGAACTTGGGGACGCTGGTGCTCTTGATCTGCTTTCCAAAGAGAGACGCGCCAGCCTTCTTGCCGTCAGCCCGGGGCCAGTCATTGCTCTGTGCGACATTCTCAGCTACACGATGGCTGACACCATCGTCCTCGAGGGCTCGTCGCATCTCCACATGGCGCCTGATCCGGTTGATCTCGAGCTTAATGCAAAGAATTGCAGTGTAAAAGGTGAACAGCAGGATGCAGTCGAAGAAGAGGATCCAGGCGGCAAGGAAACAGAACTGCTGCAGCCCTCCCTGGACACCGGAAGCGGCTCCGAGGACAAGCACCACAATCTCGATGACATAATCCTTAACAATATCGTAGCCCTTTTCCTTGATGGCGACCTGAATCGCGGACTGGATGAAATTGGACGTGGTCTCCTTACTCTTGCCGTTCTTTTCTTGCGCAGCCTTGTGCTCGATGGAGTGGTTGAGAACAGCTCGGGTCAGAGTGATGTTTTTCTCGAATCCAATCGTGATGACCAGGAACGGCAAACCCTCGGACAGGAGAACCATGGAAACCGGAACGCCAAGCTTAGTGACGACAACCAAGCTGAACATGAAAGCGAAAGCCGAGGACAAGAGAGTGGTCGCAGCCAGCCAGAAGTTGGAACCCATGCGACGCATCGACAAGAACAAGGAGACAAAGGTCAGATGCATGGAGATGTACCCGAGGAACATGATAGTGATATCGAGCGCCTCAGCATTCTTGAGCAGATCAATGAAGTCGAACCAGGCGTTGTTGGCCCACTCCACGACGCTGTTTCGTGGGCTTACCTTGGCTGCCTTCATGATCCACATCTTCTTCTCCCTGCCATGTTCAGTCTCGCGTGTCTCCTCGCTCGGGATATCATTGGGAATCTCCTGCGCGGCAGCCAGGAACTGAGGCGCCTGCTTGTAGGGGACGCCGAGGGCCACGGAGGTCTCTTGCGCATAGGTGGTCAAGGAATTGGAGGTAGATGGCAGCGAGATGATAGATATGTTCTCCGGTAGAGGGATAGTTTCCAGCAGCGGCGCGGTCTTGGCGGCATCGTCGGAGAGCGAGTCGGGGAACACAAAGGTCAGGAGGGCCAAGTGGTCAACATCGCTCCCAAGACCGGCATCCGAGTCCCAAGTCTGCCATTTCCACGCCGAATCTGGGCCGGCGTGAAGACTACGGCTGCCCTCGGTCAGGGAGGACCAGTCGGCTGTCCTAACAGTTTGTGTAGCATCGAATAGACTCTCCTCCAGCAGGCCAAGATAACACGAGCTGGCCAACAGCGCAACTACAACGATGGTGTGGATAGGGTGGGAGGCCGTGATCGCGGAGACAGAGCGGAGGAAGGGCGTGATCTTGGTGTTGAGCCAAGATGGAGGTTTTGCCTGGGAGGCAGGCTGCTCGCCCCGGAACCGGGACGGGAGAAGGGAGGAGGCAATCATGTTGAATAGATCGAAGTCGGGCAGGTATTGGACGGAACGATTCTACATGGAATGCATTTGCAGCGACTGGCGGATGTTGGTATCGAGGATTACCAGAGTTTGGGTGTTGGGTACCTGGAGAGAGATATTGTGAGCCATGGTCCAGAACAGACGTGCGACATGATGGGCTTGGGGCTGTGGACACCGCCCGGGGAAAACACCCCGGACTGCAACAGAAGAGTCGGCCGCTGGACCGTATCGAGGAGATGCGTGTGCGATCGTTGGTTCAAATCCACATGTTCGAACCAATAGACCAACATCTAGGGCGGTGTGTTGGAGGACGGCGAAGACGATGATGAATGTGGCCTACCGTAAGTCGCGCCTGCTCTTGATGCTGGCGCGCGAAGTGCTCTGCGAAGCTTGTAGAGCAGCTGGGCTACTACAAATGAAGACGGTTGACTGGCAGGCAGAGCAGAGGAGAAATTGGCCCGGTGCGGACAGGATTCGAAGTCGAGGATGATGGGAGATGGAGAGGATGAGGAGGGAGCGATGAAGCCGGTGAAGAAGAAAGGCGGCCACAGCCTCGGGCCAAATACCAACAAGGCAAGCGGGTGCGATTGTGTAGGTCAGACACAAGGCGAACGCCGAAGGACTTATCAGGATGTAAGATTCTCTCGCCGTGGGTGCAGTGGGGGCGTAGGATCCGGCCGTCTGACGATAGACAGTCCTGATGGAGGGCTGGCGAGCAGGAGGGAGGGAGAGGAGGAGGTGTAGGTAAGGGCTCTGACTGCAGATTACATAGGAGGACGGTCAAAGTGAGACAAGGAGGCTATCTGCTGCGATGGGCCGATTCGACAAACCAATACCACACGGCGCAGGCAGATGAGCGAGAGAGTCCGGGGAGCGGAAAGGTGAGAAAGAATTTCGAGAAAGATCCCAGAGCTTCTTGGCAAGGACGAACCACGCAGTGCTCCACGCTCCTGCAGGCAGGCGAAGCCGCCCCGAAATGGCAATTGATGCCCCACACTACGCAATTTCCATGCTGGATGCGGGCTGCCATTGGCGAGTGGTTGGCCCAGGTTCCTGGTCTAGCTGTGGGGAGAGGAGGGAGGTCCCCTATCTGACCTCTGCACCAAATTCTGGCACATCGCCCGTGGATACCTGTTGGTGGGCGTGGGTACATCTGCGCCGGGGCAAACGCGGCCCTAGCCCCGGGTAACTCTGGGAGTGGACATGTATTCTCCCGAAGGTACGTACCATACCACTTCCAACTTTTTGATGGCCTGAGCTTCCCGCGAGCCTTTTTTTTACCCGGTACCTGCTAGTGTGCCAGGCATTTACGTGCTTTTGGTGCTATGTCAGTTATGTGCACGGTGTGATTGCGATTGACCCGACCGCGGCTTGATATTGTGCTGCCCGCCCTCCCCCTTTGTTTCTGCGTTTCCCTTAGACTCACAGTACCTACCTACCTTGGCCTCCTCGCAGAGTCAGTCGACAAGCGGGGAGAGCAGGGAACGGGGCCACCTGCCGTGTCTCATTATCCCACTGTTTTGCGTTTCCATGGCCCGCGGGCAACGCCAACAAACATGGCGCCAACCGCCTGCATCGACAAACCAACAACTCATCAGCTCTGCCCGACGGTCGCCCTGACTCGAATCGCGGTGAAGAGCTGGCGGTGCGCTGCGAGATTAGCTATCTTATCGCCTTATCCGCCCAACGGGGGCCGCCCTGGCTGTGGGGGCGCTGTGGGCCGGGCGGGCTGCTGTCTCTTAGCGAGGAGTGAGCAGCGGCAGGATTCGGGCAACTGTCGGGGCGGCGGCTTGGTGATCCCCTCTTCTTTGCTGCGGCCGTCTGCCGTTTGTTACGTGACAGTTACTGCCCTGTGCCTGCAGTCTGCGTGCGCCCAAAGGCCCTCGCCGCCGGAGCGGTGCGCCTGCGCGCAGAATTTGCACAGGGGTCGAAATGCTCGGAGTTAGTCCACGGCGCATCTGTGCGCCTGTCATTTGTGAGCTATGATCGGTGTCGAGCTGTGCTTAGCAGGCACGCGAGCAAGAAAGCAACGGCTGCATGCGCGATGCTTCCCAGACAGCCAAAACTGCCAATGCTTCAGCCGCAGCTTTGCTGACTCGACAGCCTGAACTGCGCTGACTGACAGCTGCAGAAGTTACAGCGCCCTACGTGGGGAATTTTCCAAGATGGTTACAATTTCCATGGATAGCATCTGGACCAGTACTACCTAGCACCGATGACATTCTATTACGTCGGGGGCCAAATGCTCCCCGCCACCATCTCTCAGAGGCCGGGATAGCCCCGCGGCACAATAGCCTCAGCCTCAGCACCTGGATCTGGCATCTCTGACTCTGTCGGCTGTTTCCTGCCGGCTGCCAGGTCAAGCAAGGATAGCTAAAACTTCTCCATCGGAGCTCCTGCCATCGAAGCTTGGTTCTCTGCTGCGTCTCATCGGACGAGTGAAACATCACAACTCCCCACAAGATCGAGATGACACTGTGAAACATGGGGAATACCTGCGTCTCATATCCCTCGCGTCGGCCTCCAACAAAACCTTCTGATGCGGTCCGCCTGGCCGGATGCCTGGGGAAAGCGGTTGCGCATCGCACTTGGTCAGGTGCTCTCGCGGGAGGCGAAGCAAAGCTCCAAGCCAAGGATGAATTGCGATCCGATCCAAATGCCCCGGACGCACCGTGTAAATGACAGCCAGCCGAGGCACAAACTAATGCTTGAAGCCAAGGGCTCGATCAGTCCCGCCATAGGCTGAAATTGATGGACATGAGCACAGACAGTAAGAACAAGGAAGCTGTATATATTGCGCCTGTGTTCTTCGATTGCCTGATGTGAAAATAAAAGAGTGCGTAGGTTAAACTGAAGCAAGCTGACTGTATTCTGGTCGCGATATGGGGACGTAGTGTGGGGTTTTAGCTTCGGGGCTTCTGGACCTTCCCAGCAGCTGAGTTCCCTGCCCGATGTCTTGACCATAGGAGCATAAGCCTCAAAACCTCGTAAGCTCGCCCTTGGTTTTTGCGCATGTTCACAACACAGATGTGCCGCCACTTCTGGGCCTGCTTGCTGCCTGTTTTCCCCATCTTCAAGACCGTTTCGCACATTGTCTGGACGCCCAAGGCTGCCGAGACAAGCCATCACAAGCAGTGACTGCGTCTCAGGGAGAAGCAGGCGGCCCCCATCCAGTATCAATGGTTTCGCGTGCTGGCTGTGGACGACCACAGCCTTTTGGTGGCTTTCGGACGGCAATGGCTAGATTTTTTCGTGCGAAAACGCATGTCTCCGACTCGTTCAACGAAGCGTCCAACATGTCCGGCAGTGCTGCGGGACAAACGGTCGGGGAAACAATCGGCGGTCACCGAGACAGGACGAGACGAAGCGGCACTCCTTTGAGACTGGAATGTCCATCAAGAGTCGGGTTGAAAGAGAAGCCATCCTTCGGGAACTCCCTGCCACATGATCGATACCTTGCGACGGGCCAATGATGGCAATTATCGAAAGTCACCCCAGAGAAAGGCCGATGGCAACTTTCTAAGCCACCCAGTCAACGCGGCCTAGAGGCTTCGTACTCGATCGACCTTGGCAGGAATCAACTTCAGCCGATCCAAGAGCTTTCCATCGAGGGATGCCTTCATGAACGGGGTGGGCTATGTTCTGACTTGCCGAATTAGACTCTCGTCTGCAGCCTCACCCTCTACCAGACCAGACCGTTGAGCTCCGGGTCCGTCAAGCTCATCTCGTGGGGGCCTTTGTGTCGTGGGGCCCGTCGTCGTGCTGGCAGGAAGAAGTTCTCATGGCGAGATACTTCAAACAAAGTCAAGGAGAGGACAGCAGGTCGTCACCACGACACCACGGGTTTGCGTCGACGACTCGAGAAGTTCATTCTGGGGCTGCATGCAGGCTCCGAGTTCCTTCTCAAGCTCGGGATGCCAGGTGGAAGATGACCATACCGCCTGGACATGCGGTGTGCACCACACCTTTGGACAAGTTTGGTGAAGAGTCACGGTGTGTGGGGATCTTTTTTGAACTGGCCCTACGAATCGTTCAAGTCGAGCACTTGAAGAAATGTATTACACAACTCGATCGCCTCGGAAGGTTTGGTTGGCTCCTATCTCCGACAAGACGGAGGCCAAGCTGCGACGTTTCGAGATTCCCTTACTCAGATCCGACTTTCAGCTCCGCATGCAGAGTCATTCTCGGCTGGGGCGACGTGGGCAGTGTGCTTGACATCGCTCACATGATATTTGAGACCGGAGGGCCCATCTGCAGACAGCTCCGATAAATACGGTACAAGCCGAACTGTCATTGTTCTGGGCCTTCGGAGCTGCAGGGTTCTAGTATCGATTCCGAGGATCAACCCGTGTTCGGATGGCCGAGGTCGAAATCTTCGAGACGCCCAGTTGCGCCGGATAATCAAGCAGGAGGCTCTGCGTGCAGCTCCTCTTCACCATGCAAACCATGGCAGGATCATATTTGCTCGCGCACAAACCGAACTGCAACGTGGTCTTCAGATAGGCTTTTCCGATGATGATGATGATGGTGACGGCGACACTGCCAGGCTCGTAGCGTCAGGCAAGTACAGTTGATCGGCCAAGACAATGCAAGCCGCAGATTTCCCAATGGATGGGCTCTGCACAACCCAGGGAATTATTAGATAATTCTCCAGGGGGGTCTGGTGCGGTCTTAGCGGCCATAGGCGGGTATTCGGCACTCGCTCTTCAACAGGCCCGCCCACCGGCATCGCGTGCCCGCTCCGTTGTCAGTCAGGCATTGTGTGCTTTTTTGCTGGTCAAGGAGGTCTCCACTTTTAGGTGTAATTGACTCTCGCCTCACAGATCAATTCCCTCCAACGTCCGCCGCTTCGGGAGATCTTAACTCGAGGGACGCATAATCGTCTACTTTGTTCGCTTTGTTCTCATTTTGCAGCACACTCCTACTCATCACTTCCACCACCCATAGCCTATACTTGCCATTCAGGAGCTGCCATCTTCTTATACGCGTAGAAGCGCAGGCTTTACCGACACTTCGGCAATCTCCGCCCTGCTCGGCGATCTCGAGCTTAAGCTTAACTCTGTCCTGACGGGCAGCACGCCTGGGATAACGCCGCACGGAGGCTGTCTAAAAACCGTAACACAGCATTGCTATGGCTATCAGCCCAGCCGCTGGCGGCGAGATAATCGACGACGAAAAGGTGCACCACGCCTCAGGGAGCAGCGTGTCCACAACAACGCTAGGCTCCGCAAGCCTCCAGAACGTAGACGCCGCAGCCGTACCGGGCGGCCACAAAGGCCCGAGTGAAGTCGAAGGAAACGCCAACGCCAGGCCACACTCGGATCACACTGCAGATGATGTCGGGACACCTGCGCAACCACAACAGGCCGCTCCAGCCAGTGGCGATGCGGCGTCAACCCCGGGGCAGGACGCCGGTGGCGCAAGATCGCCCGAGGACCAGCGCACCACCCTCCAGACGACCCTCATCATGATCTCGCTCTGCCTGGGAGTTTTCCTGGCCGCTCTGGATGTGACGATCGTCACTGTGGCCGTCCCGAAAATCTCTTCTGATTTCGACTCCACCGCCGGCTACACCTGGGTTGGCTCTGCCTACCTGCTCGCGAACGCGGCGGCGGCGCCCAGCTGGGGCAAGATATCTGATATCTGGGGCCGCAAGCCTGTTTTGTTGACCGCGGTGGGCGTCTTCTGGGTCGGCTCGCTGCTGGCGGGAGTGAGCGTCAGCATGGGGATGCTCATAGTCGGCCGAGCGATCCAAGGCATTGGCGGCGGCGGGATCCTGATCTTGGTCAATATCTGCATCAGCGACTTGTTCTCAATGCGGAGGAGAGGGCAGTTCCTGGGAATCGTGAGCTTAGTATGGGCCCTGGCTGGTGGGTTCGGGCCGGGTAAGTTGACTCACTCATCCCCGCGGCGCTGGGCTGAGACATGGCTGGAAACTGACCTCATCGCAGTGCTTGGCGGCGTCTTCACGCAACAGACCACCTGGAGGTGGTGCTTTTACATCAACCTGCCGATCTCAGGCTGTGCCATGGTCATCCTCTTCTTCGCCCTGCATCTTCACAACCCGCGCACGGGGGTCAAGGAAGGCCTCGTAGCGATCGACTGGCTTGGCTCGCTCACCATCGTGGGTGGCACACTGATGATCCTGCTCGGCCTCGAGTTCGGCGGTGTGACGTTCCCATGGGACTCTCCCACCGTTATTTGCCTGATCGTGTTTGGCGCTGTGCTAGTGGGCTTGTTCTTCCTCGTCGAGCTCAGGGTGGCCAAGTTCCCGGTCATCCCGCTCCGCATCTTCAAGCAGCCCTCCAACCTTGCCGTCGTCGGTCTCAGCGCCTGCCACGGTTTCGTGTTCATCTCGGCGAGCTACTATCTACCGCTGTACTTCCAAGGTGTTTTGGGCGCAGACCCGCTGCTGTCTGGTGTCTATGTCCTGCCCTATACGTTTGTCATGGGCGCGGCGGCAGCAGTGACGGGCTTCGTCATCAAGAAAACAGGAAAATACGTTCCTGCTATTATCTTTGGCTTCGTGTTCATGACGCTGGGCTACGGCCTGTTCATTGACCTCGATCCATACGAGAACTGGGCGAAGATCGTTGTTTACCAGATTATCCTCGGCCTCGGGGTGGGACCCAACTTTCAGTCGCCCCTCATCGCGCTCCAGACGACCGTCCAGCCAAAGGACATAGCAAGCGCAACAGCGACCTACGGATTCATGCGTCAGGTCGCGACATCCATGAGTGTCGTCATCGGAGGCGTCATCTTCCAGAACGAGATGCAGAAGCAGTACCCTACCCTCATCGACCAGCTCGGCCCGGACATCGCGAACCTGCTCAGCGGCGCCAACGCGGCGTCGAGCGTGGAGGCGGTGGCTGAGCTCCCACAGCCCCAGAGGGGCGTCGCCCAGCGGGCGTACTTCAGCGCCATCCGGATCATGTTCATCTTCTACGTGGCATTCGCGGGCCTGGGCGTTATCCTCAGCTTCTTCGTGGGTAGCCGCAAGCTGAGCAAGGAGCACACCGAGCACAAGACGGGGCTGCAGACGCTGCAGCCTGCTCGGGGCCCGGTCGGGGACGAGGAGAAGAGGCCCGGCGGGGATGGGGCTGCTGCTGCTGGCGGCGTGACGGGGGAGTCCGAGGCTCGTGAGGCCGGAGCTCAGGAGGCCGCTGGTGCTGCCCGCGACTCGCGTCCATGATTTGGAAATCACCGGACGAGGGCAAAGGGGGGTTTACAATCTTCGATTTACGGGCATTTACGGAGTTCCTTAGCATCTGTGCCCTTGGGCGAGCATTTACATCGAGTTTGGAAAAACCCGGGCCAAGAGCACATCTGGGGCATGATGGCAGTGGAATGCACATATCGGCCGGACCAAGAATGTAAATAGCATACAGCTAGATGATATATATATTTTTTAATAAAGCTGGCCTCATGGTCATCAATAAGGCTGGTGTTGTTTGGCAGCTGACTGGCCGGATGAATTCACCTGAACTGACGGCGGAGAGCAACGTGAACGGCCCAAGACGCCTAGGCGTCTGTGTGTAAGCGGATACAGTTGCTAAGCATTTCACGGCTCGAACCTTATTTTGACAGCATGGATGTTCTGTGTAGTGCCGTCCTCAGGCTTTGTACAAACCAGCTAGTTCGTTTCTGCATCGCGAGCCTGACGGCCATCTTTCGGCCAGAGTGCCATGAGAAGGAAAGACAACAGAATGGGCGTGGTTATTTGTTCCGAGTCCCCCTCCCCCATTATTTTCACCGCTGTATATCCGGGGCCCCGGATTCCCTCCATGCTCACAGTAGGTTGCTCCGCAAGCGGAGCCCCTCGTCGTGCAGCGGGGAATGGCCCGCGGGGGAAATGGTCAGCAAACAACATCCTCTTGCGGGGGATTCCGCCGAACTTGGAAATAGTCTAGATGGGGTTCCCAACCTGCCGGGCAAGTGTGTGCGGGCCGAATCGATTGGACATTACCCCGGATGAGCCCATGCCTTCTCCAGTATTACTGCGACAACGGTGACCGAACAGACTGCCGGTCGTTTCTTCCTCGGCAGCTAGATTCGCACCCAAGAGACGACCACCCTCTCGTACCTACCGCGCATGCTGACCAGAAACTTCACGTCTTCCAAGCACGTACGACTGAAGGGCTTCATCTCTGCGCATTTTCCTGGTAGCCTAAACAGTACCCATGGATGCATCACAGTCAAAGGCCGCCGAGGCTCAGCCCGGTGGTCAGATGGACGTCGTAGAAGATGTAGAATACGGGGGCAAAGAGGTCGGTAACACACCAGCACTCAACCCCGGATGTGACTGCCAGTGGTTCTGACCGACTGACCCGACCGCCCTCCCTACAGGCTTATGCAACAGACGACACGCCCATCTCGCCCGAGGCGGAGAAGGCTCTGCTTTGGAAGCAGGACAAGCGCATCGTGCCGCTGTCGGCCGCCATCTACTTCCTGTGCTACCTGGACAGGTCCAACATCGGCAACGCCAAGATCCTCAACGCGTCGACCCACCACGACCTCATGTCCGAGACTGGCATGTCCAACTATCAGTACACGATCGCGCTGATGATCTTCCTGGTGGCTTACGGGCTGTTCGAGGTGCCTTCAAATGGTTCGCATGGCCACTTGTTCCACAGGGTCTGGTCGCTGACAAAGGATGAGGAGATGCTGATTCGTCTCATCTAGTGTTGCTCAAGAAACTCCGCCCTTCGCGTTGGATCGCCATCCTCATGTTTGGTTGGGGCGCCTGCTCTACAGGTCTGGCGGGCGCTCATAACTACGGCACTGTCACTGGTGTCCGCTTCCTCCTCGGGGTCTTCGAGGCCGGTCTTTTCGTACGTGAAAAGTGTTCCCTCTACGGTCACCTAACTCATTGCCGAGGAACTTCTTATCAACTTTCACATTGTGCTTCGGTTTTAGTGATTAACATATTATAGCCGGGTCTGGTCTACTATCTTACCTTCTGGTATAAAACGGACGAACGAAGCATACGTGTCGCTTTTATCCTCGCCAGCGCTACCCTCGCTGGCGCCTTCGGTGGAGCGATCGCCTATGGAGTAGGACACATGAACCAGGTCCATGGTCTTTCAGGATGGCGTTGGCTGTTTATCATCGAAGGGGTGCCTTCGTGCTTGTCCGCATTCTTTGTGCTATTCTTCCTGCCGGATTTCCCCGAGACCGTCAGCTGGCTCTCTGTGGAAGAGAGGGCACTCGCCCTGCGCCGCCTCCACGTTGAAGGCAGCAAGGGACTGCACCAGTCGGACTGGTGGCACGATACGAAGGCGACGCTCCTGGACTGGAGGCTCTGGGGCCACTACGCCGTCTACTTTGGGATCTCGACGCCGTTCAGCAGCCTGTCTCTGTTCACGCCTTCCATCACGGCTGGTCTCGGCTACAAGGATCTTCGGGCCCAACTGATGAGCGTTCCACCTTACGCTGTCGCATATGTGGTCCAGATCTTGGTGTCGTGGTCCGCCGATCGCTTCAACTCGAGAGGCCTCCACTCAGCTGTGAGTGCCACAGTTGGCGCGTGCGGATTCATAGCCTCGGCAGCTCTACCGGCGGATGCGTATTCCCATCGCTATGGATGTCTAATAGTCGCGGCTGCCGGGGCGTTCGCCTGCATACCTCCACTGTTGGGGTGGTTATCGTCCAACATCTTCAGCACCGCGTCCGTGGGCCTTGCGATTGCTCTGAACATAGGACTTGGAGGCGCACCAGGACAGATCGCAGGTGTGTGGATCTACAAGGCTGATGAGGCGAAGAAGGGATACCCCACCGGACATTGGGTCAATGCCGGTTTGCTCCTCTTTGTTGCTGCCGGTTGTATGCTGCTCAGGGTATACTATGGCCTGCAGAACCGAAGACTATTCAGAGAGTCTGGAGGACGAGACGATGTTCGAATGTATAAATACTGAGCACAGCCACTCTTGGTCGTGGCAAGAAACCCCATACTTGTATAAGGCGTGGCCTTGGGCTCCTCAAAGGTGCTGCGGGGTAAACCTGGACACTCGAGGCAGGCATCCCGAAAAAGAATAATCTCATCACGTACGATACGAGTACCAGCATGCATCTGAGGTCTGACAAAAAAACAGGCGTTTGTTAAGGTGGAGTCACTGGTCATACTTCGGGTGGTTGCCTGGCCGTCGCTTCTGCTCTCTCATTGGGCGGCGACTAAAGTGCCACTCCAGGTTGGAAAGTGCCAAGTGGGTTTGGCCTGACAACAGACATATAAATTGGACGTGCCTCCCTCAACTCCTTGGAAAGCAAATCTAAGTTCTTTCTCAGATGCAATCATAACACATTTCCATTAATAACCCAGTCTCTTCTATCGACACGAGTCGTATCCGAACATCATGAGCGGCAGCGTCTTCTCCGAGACTCTGCAGCAGATCACGGACACAAAGCTCGACGAGCTCTCCAAGAAACGTGCCGCCTTTGAGGCAGACAAGGCTTCCACGCTCTCGTCCATAGAGTCTCAAGCAGACCCCATCGAGCGACTGGTCCTTCTCAGTAAGGGTGTCAAGAGGTCCTTCGGCATCAAGCTGGACAAGCATGGCAAGGTCACCACACACCTCACCAGGCACCCTCGCCTCGAGGTGCAACTGAAGAACCTCGACCGCTTCCTGGCACAGGCCCGCCAAGACCCCTCAGTCTCGACCAAGACCCTCTCAGACTGGGAGAAGGGTCTGCTACGGCATCTTGAGGTCCAGTCGCTCAAGTTCCAGTATGCCTCTCTCTACGGGCAGCTGGTGACCGAGTGGCTCTCGGGCGACCAGAAAGGTGGGGCCGGCAAAGGTGAGGATACTGAGATGGGCGATGCCTTTGAGGATGTCGGCAGCTCGGCGAAGCTCAAGTCCAAGGAGGAATGGGAAAGAAAGGCATTCGAGCCGGCGCACGTCGACGTGGAGTTACTCAATCGCTATCTCGAGTCTGTGTTCGGCCTTTCCACCTCTGTTCAGGGAGAAGACAGCAAGAAAAAGTGGCAGGCTGTCCAAGATCTCCGGGAAGCGGTCCATGATCTTGAGGTTGACCTTTCTCGTCCTGACCAGCTGGACCACTACAATCTAGGTTGGACCATCCGGGGCCTAATGTCTTCGGACCTGTTGACAAATGAGAAACGAGAGGTTCTCAAGGACTTCCTGGGAAACCCTGTTATCCTGTCTGAGATCGCCGATGTCCTCAACCTGCGCCTGGCAGCGCTCGGTTCTTGGAAATGGGGGCCCGACAGTGTCCCCGTCGAGCAGCGCCGCAAGATCAGCGGAGTATTTTCCATCAACATGCACGAAGATGTTCTCCAGGCCATATTCCTTCAATACATCGGCGTCAAATGGTCTGTCTTCTTCAGAGAAGCGTTCGTTTCATTTCGGAAGGCGGACGGCGCCTGGACCTCGCTCTACAAAGATGTACCAGAGCTGGAGAAGAGACGTCTTGAATACTATCTTGGACATGTGCCCCGCCGTCGAAGTCTTCAAAAGGAGCGTCAAAAGATCCACAGCAGTGATTACTTCGTCGCCAAGTTGCTGAAGCGCGTTGATGAGGTTACGGAGGCGGCGGACGGAGAGGTGGAAGCCGATTTTGAAATGTTCGCAGCTTCATCGCCGGTCAGGGAGAGGAAGCGAGCTAGGATGACGACTCATGGTATGGCCCCCAGAAAGCAGCTCGCTTCCAAGGCCGCCAGAAAATCGGCTCCTACGCCTGTCGAACCAGAGTCCGATGAGGACGAAGACGACGAAAGTGACGCTGATGGGCCGGTAAAAACGCTCATGCAGCTCAAGCAGCAGCTTGTTCATCTCCTGTCAACCGAGACCGCCATCAACACGAGGCTGCACGGTGAGATCACTGCCTTCCACGCCGTTTTTGAGGACTGGGAGTCGCTTCTACCGCACGAAACCATCTGCACCATTTTAAGCTTCCTCGGAGTCTCAAAGCACTGGCTCGGCTTTTTCAAACAATACCTTCAGGCTCCGCTTCGATTCATGGATGAGGACCATGCGTCGTCCAAGGTTCGGCGCCGCGGTGTTCCCACCTCACACGCGCTCAGTGACGTCTTGGGCGAGACGCTTCTCTTCTGCTTGGACTTGGCGGTCAACCAAGCCGGATCTGGCCAGCCATTGTGGCGCTACGGTGATGATTTGTGGTTCTGGACCCCTAGTCACCCTACAGCAGTTGCAGCATGGAAGGCCGTGAAGGACTTTGTGGAAGCGACGGGTACCTCGATCAACCACAGGAAGACTGGCACTGTCCGTATCTCGAATGATAAGGTATCCCAACTCGGCATCGACCAAGTTCTTCCTGAAGGAGAGATCCGCTGGGGTTTTCTCGTCCTTTCGCCTCAGACGGGGCGATTCGAAATCGACCAAAAGATGGTCAACGCGCACATCGACGAGCTCAGAAAGCAGCTCAGCGACAAGAGCAGCGTATTCAGCTTCATCCAGACTTGGAACGCGTTCGCAGCGAAGTTCTTCTCCTCGAACTTTGGTAAATCTGCGAACTGCTTCGGGCGCCAACACGTCGACGACATGCTCGCGACGCACAAGCGCATTCAGCAACAAATCTTCGCCTCTGGGACCGGCAGCGGGGGGATGGGGACATCCTCCAGCATCATCGGCCATCTAAGAAAGACGATCGAGCAGCGGTTCGGCATCGCAGATGTCCCCGACGGCTACTTTTATTTCCCCGTCGAGCTGGGCGGGCTCGAGCTCCAGTCGTCGTTCATATCGCTGCTGCAGATCCGGGACTCGGTCCTCGAGTCCCACGACAGCCTCTTCGACGACATGTTCGACGCCGAGCGCCGGTTCTACGCCCGCTACAAGCACAGCTTCGACCACGGCAACGTCTACCGGCCCCAGTACGGCGCGCAGCCGCCGTGGCAGCCGGAGGGGCAGCACGACCGGGACAACTTCCTCAGCGCCGCCGAGTTCGTCGCGCACCGCGAGGACATCTGCGTCTTCAAGGACCAGTTCACGCCCACGGACATCCTGGGGGTCTTCCAGCAGCTCATGGCGCAGCCGGAGGAGGAGAGCATCGACGAGGTCCCCGAGCTCTGGACGGCGCTGGCGCAGCTCAAGCCTGACGGCCGGTCGATCAAGTCCGGGTGGCACGGCATGGACGCCTCGTGGCGCTGGGTGACGGCTATGTATGGGCCCGAAATCATCGAGCGGTTTGGGGGGCTGAGCATTGTTGATCCGGGCCTGTTGCCCATGGGGATGGTGGGTCTGCTGAGGGAGAAGAGGGTAACATGGCAGGGGTGAACTGGTTGTGTGGTGAAAGGAAGACCATGCATAGTCTGTACGGAATTTCGATGAGGGTGCCAGACACGATAATGATTTCAGTTTTCTGCGAGGACTTTCCGGATGGATCTGCCTGGTATCTTCACTGAGAGTGAAGAGGCATGGTGAATAACGTTAGCCGAGTCCTTAGTAGAACATGAGCTTGTGGGGATAATCTCTGTCCTTCCCTTTTTTTTCTTCTTCCACGATGGGTGGATCTCCCTGTCGAATTCTACAATTGTAGGGAAATGTGACACATCAAAGCCGTGGAGATGAATTTCATATTTTTACAAAGTTGGTTTTGCGGCTCTGGTGGCCGTTTCTGCTTTCACAACCGATTTGGCTTCCCTGCAGGGTTATTCTTCTTTCAAAAGCCGAATCTGAAACCTGCAATTCTGCCACACGTAAACTGACAAATGAGTTGCACATAGCTCTACCCATGTGCACAAAGTACTATGTATCACAAGACCAGGTGAGACTTTCACTTTCAATGAGCAACAGAACAGAATTACTTGGGAGTTTAATTGACAACAGTTTTATTATTTACTGTCTATATGAACGCGTGGCCTCCAACGCATAGTGCTCTAGCTCTCTATACGTTGAGTGACCTAGTCTACCCAGTCGGAATAGGTTGGAAACAGGCCAAAGCAGTTCGCATAGTACGTAGCCGTAGCAGACCAGTCCGAGAAGACAGCCATCACCCCGACCTCCCTGGCGAGGACGTCCAGCAGGTTGTAGACATCCCCGTCGTTGTTGGTCACATTCGCGATCGAGGTGTAATAATAATCATCGTCCTCCTTGACCTGGCCCAGCGGGCCGGACCGGTCAAACGACCAGGTGACGAGCTTCAGCCCGAGCCTCTTCGCCTCGGCGGCGTACTCGGACGGCACGATGGACCTGCCGTCCTCGCCGACCGCGACGAGGAACGGCAGCGGCGGCGCCATGATCTTGACGCCCGCCGCGGCGTACGAGGACAGGTTGGCGATGTCGCCCTCGGTCTCGGTCAGGAACATGACCTGGCTGGCGATCTCGGGCACGCTCCCGATCCAGTACAGGATGTCGTCGTACAGGAAGCTCTGCGGCCACAGCCGCCTCAGGTCGACGCCGGCCTCCACGTACTCGTCGACCATCTGCTGCGCGAACGCCTCCTGCGTGTAGTTGGAGCCGTTGCCGCCGAAGGGCATGGGCACCTGCGGCGTCTTGAGCTCGGGCGTGAACTGCACCTCGGGCCCGCCGAACTCGTCGACCAGCGAGATGAACTCGCGGTGGGTCAGGACCGTGCCGCAGGTGGCGTACAGGTCGGTCCGCCAGCTGGGCGTGCCGTGCAGGAAGTCCGCGGGCGTCTCGGCGGTGGCGTTGAAGCCGTCCATCTTGCCGCAGAGGCTCTTGAACTCGTCGAGCGTGATGTCGCTCGTGCAGCACTTTGCGCTCGCGGGCGTCCCCGTGGCCGGGTCCGCCGGCGAGAAGGGCTTGGTGCACTTGGCGTTGAGCTCGGGCACGTCGACGATGTTGGTGGTCGAGTGCAGGTCGCACTGGTCGTGGCGGCAGACGAGGCGGCGGTCCGAGGTGAAGACGACGTCGCACTCGAGCACCTCGGAGCCCATGCGCAGGCCGGCGAGCTCGGACTCGCGCGTCTCCTCCGGGATCAGCAGGGTTCCGCCACCACGGTGGCCGATGGAGAAGCGGGAGGGCCGCATTTCCATCTCCGAGCAGGCCGCGAGCTCGTCCTTGAGAGGGCCCGGGTCCATGTCGTTGACGAGGAAGTACGGCCGCGGGCCCAGTTGGACCTGCTTGATCAGCTGCTGCTGCGTGCCCTCATGCTGGTCGGTCCGCGAGTGAGGCACGATGGGGGTTGCCAGGCCAATTGAGGCCAGTAGACCGGCGACGGCGATCTTTCCGAGCGTCATCGTGGCGGCTGACAGCAGAGCTATTACCGAGGGTATCCCAATTGCTCCGAGAGAAGCACTTTAGTAGCGGGCTTCCAGAGTGAGCACCTCGATGGACCCGGGGTGCAAGGCCACTGATGTTCTGGAGTAGACCTCGAGGCAAATCAATCAATTCTCCTGACCATCTCTTCCCCGTGGTTTATATACCTGATCTAACCCCCGTACGCCCGCCTCTCTTTGCATTGAAAGCCTGGTCAAGCTCCTGGTCAAGCCCCATGTCCATCGATAGCTAGCGAGGCACGTGTGGGCGACCGAGGATGCTATCTGGCTCCAACCGGCAAACGGATCCAATCCATCGGGGAAGCCAAGCCAATGCCAAGTCTAGCGGCGGTTCGTCGGATGTTTGCCTTGCAGGGGTACCGCATGCTGAGCATCAAAGTTAATTGACAACCTGAGTCGCGATGTGAGGAGTTGAAATTACAGTATGAAAATAGAAGCAGATCGTCGCTGCACTTTGTATGGAAACGCAGCCAGCTGGTAAACACTTTACCAGCAGCTTCCCCACACATACTCTGACATCCACGACGGTGCCAAGCTTCTACTTTGGGTGCTCGCCGAGGCATTGAGTGAGTCGCGTTCGATGTGTGTCGTAGACTAAAAGGATGGAAAATATCTGTCATTATGAGCTCGAGAGCCACATAAGTGTTGTTCAAGGCAAAGATGTGAAGTAGATTTATATGTGGTATCTTCAGGGTATAAGAAATGACTGGAAGTCAGAGCCCCGCTACGTAATCCATACAACGCCAAGGGTATTGTCCTTTCCGATATAAGTTCGTCCCGTGCTGCGATGTTTCCCGTCCAATTAACACGGTCAGACGGCGCACATACTATAAATTACCAGGGATATTTTGACACCCTTTCGAACAGAGGAGAAACACGGCCACCTAATGGGCGTGCTTAGGCGCCAGCGTAGGGCTTGGTGTGGCTGTGGTGGCCGGTGCCCGTTGAATGGCGGCGGGACCGCATGGCCTCGATACCATCAAGGACCACGAGGAAGAGGAAGATTGCCCTATGAAGATGAATCAGTACTGGTTCGGGGAGATCGCAGTTGTCTTTGGCAGGAATCCAACTCACCACAAGAAGAAGCCAAACGCGACAGCGGCCTGGGTCGACCCGCACCAGCTGTTCCCGTGGCACCTGGGCACACCGATGAAGACAGCCAGGGCGATGGAGCCGGCGAACCAGAAGATCATGGTGATGACCTCGAGCGCCAGAGCAGCGAGGCGGTGGAAGATGCTGGTCAGATAGAGGGGGGTGAGGCCGATGTATGCGAGGACGAGCAGCGACCAGATGGAGTTGAAGAGCATGAAGTTGACGCGGTCAGGCGAGTTGTTCCCGTAGTAGGCGTAGCCGTAGTCGTTGCCGTATGCGCCATCGTAGAGGCTGACGACGTAACCTGTCAGGCCGAGCTCTACTATGGAGAAGACGACAGCCACGATGTGGGCGATGGCGACGAAGCCGAGGGCCATCTTGGAGTATTTGATCTGGCTGTAGGGGAGAAGAGAGGTTGGCGATCAAAGGTGGGTCTGGAAGTCAACAAGATGATTGACTACTGTGGACTTGATCTTGAGGCAGGCTGGTGTCGATGATGTTTGAACTTGAAAGTCCAGGGCTGTGTGACCGGATGCAACGATATTTACGGATAAGAGGAGAATAACAACCTTCACCAAGCAGAGGGGATGGAACGGTGGCTGGGCTGTTCATATACGACGGCAAAAACACGTAGAGAACATTCCGGCAGCGCATTCAAGCGCCAGGGTGGGCTCAGCAAGATGACGTGGGTATACAGCAAGCCAGTGGGCGAGAGGCGGCGCTTGCCAAGTGAGACTGACTGCGCCTAGGTAGAGAGGGAGTGGGAGAGGGAGAGGGAGACTGGCCTGCCGTCATCGTGTTCCCTACACCCCAGCAGCTATGTGACTGGCCTTGAATCTGGATTCTGGTGGCTTAACGAAGCCGTCTTAACCACCCCATGACTTCATTCCACCCAAAAGTCGAGTGCTGCTTTGTCGGTCGAGGTCTGAGGGCGCAGGAAGGCACACGTCATTTGGCGCACGCTGGGCTCGCGCTATTGGCCAGGGCGGAGGGAAGGAACCCCACCGTGGACAGACGTGACAGGACCTGCAGGGATGGTAGCTGTGAAGAGCTCTCTCGCGGCCTTCTGGGCCTCTCCCTGGCCTCCCACAGGCTTTCCGCGCCCTCCCTTGAACCTTCCCGCCTAGAACGGCACGTGAACGGCACACTTCCTGCCGGCAGCTCGTGGTCTTCTCGACCGCAGGTGTGCGTACCATCGTTAAGATTACTCCACATATGCAAAATCGTGGGCTGGTTTCAGATCTCTGCTCCATCACATCGCGTACAGACTGATTGGCATTCGACGCTTGACGCGCCGTTTCATTGTCCACGGAGCCACAACCAACAACGCTACTGTGCTGCGCCACTCACGATGGGCTGCAAGTCGGTTCACGTTGCCGTCCTAACTTCGTCTGAACGGCTTTCCAATGCTGCTTGGCCACGGAAGTTCCCGCGCGCCCATAGACTTTCCCTGATCATACCCACAACCACGCATGCCCTTGTTTCGTTTCGCAAGGCACGTCCTGCACCCAGCCAACTGGTTCAAATAGCGACATGTTGCAACAGTCGAGCTATTTTCAATCCAATCGTCAACTCAACCCGCGGCCCGCTACTTCCGTTCCCCGCTGTGGACATCTTTATGGAGCTCCGAGGCGAATGCACCGAGCTCCGGACCCCGTGTCGAGCAAAGTGACCCGACATTGGGACCGCGAATGGTGATAGTAGTTGCTCCGGCCGTTTATGTTCGGAGCAATCGTGTCTGTGTGACTCGACATGTTGTACTCCCTAATCAAGTTCATGCGATGACGACGCTCATCCCAGCGTCTCGTTCTACCTTGAATCCGTCGTGTCAATTCGACAGCATTCAACGGACGGTGCTTCCTCTTGGAATAATTTGGTCTGCGCTGGACTATATGGAGAGACCTGTCACCCATCATTAACCCAGCAGCCCCTTCTGCTTGAGTACATATCCGAACGACTCATCCAGAATCCTCAAACCCTCCTCGATCTCATCCGCCGACACAGTTACCGGAGGTGCCAGCCTGAAAACACCCCCCATGCCAGGGAGGTTGACTATGTTGCATGACAGCCCGTTCTCCATTGCTCTGTCACCGACAGCCTGTCCAATCTCTGGCCCTGGGGTCTTTGCCTCCTTGTCCGAGATGATCTCAATGCCCTGCATCAGTCCTATACCTCGCACGTCACCAATGCACCAGTATTTCTCTTGCAGCTTCAGCAGCCCCCTGTGAAGCTGCTCTCCCCTCTCGGCGGCCCGTTCCGCAATATTGTCCCTCTCCACAATCTCCAGAACCTTACACCCCACTGCTGCAGTCAGCGGGTCGTTCAGGTGGGTTGTCAGCCAGAGGAACCCAGCGTCCCTGAGCCCCCTCTCGATTTCAGCAGTCGTGCTCACAGATGCCAATGGCAAGCCGCATCCTAGTGTTTTTGACAGACACAAGATGTCCGGCACGACGCCCTCCTCATGCTCAAAGCAGAACATCTTCCCCGTCCGGCCTACCCCTGTTTGCGCTTCGTCCATGATGAGAAGCATCCCGCGCTTCTGGCACTCGGCGGCCATGCGTGCGAGATAGCCCTTTGGCAAGACCAAGATACCGCCAGTGGATAGGATCGGCTCCAAGATGAAGGCCGCTAGGGATCCCACTGACTGCCGGTCGATCATCGCCCAGCCGAAATCCAGCTCCTTCTCCCAGTCATAACTCCCGTCGGCCTTGCGGAACATCGAGCGGTAGGCATATGGTGCCGGAAAAGCAAGCTGCCCTGGCATCGTAGGGCCACCGTTCCTCCGGCCGGTGGAATAGGTCGCGCTGCCAGAACCCGAGGTCAAGCCGTGGTAGGACGCGCTGAACGCCACAATCTCGAACTTGCCCGTGTACAGCTTGGCCATCTTGATAGCAGCCTCAGTCGTCTCGGACCCCGTGTTGAGGAAGACTTTTCGAGCGGACGGGGCAGGAACCTCGCGAGCCGTTCTGCGAGGTCGACCACCGGCTGCGTGACCATGTTCGAGAGGAGGTGGTCCAGCTCGCCCACGGATTGCCGAACCACCTCGACGATCTCAGGGTGCGAGTGGCCCAGCAGCGAGCTCATCTGGCCCGATGTGAAGTCAAGGATGGACCGGCCGGACGCGTCGTATAGGCGAGTGCCCTTGGCCCTACTGATGACGACTGGGCAGGCAGGGACGCCTGTTGACATGACATATTTGTCGTGCTTGGCCCAGAAGGTCTCATTGGGACTGACGGAACCCATGATGAACTCTGTTTGTCGACAACTGGGTGAAGGCTCAAGGTGATTTGAATAAAATGTAATGATAAGTTTTTATATCAAAGTGAGTAGTAGTGTGAAGTTTGCAGAACTTGGCTCTGTGGCACATCGAGAAACTGAGTTGCTACTCTATGAGAGTGAGAGCTACTCGATTTATACTCCTCCATCCCCACACCACAAATGCTATCGGCTTGTGAATTGGTCGGTCCCCTATGCTTGGTATTGATAGCGCTCTGGCGATGGTAATTGGCTGGAGAGTTCCCCGCGGCATCGTCGACTCGCTGCAGTTCCCCGCGGGAAACGGACGGCAGCGTCCACGGGTGGTTCCATGAGCATCTTCCGATCTTCGTCGTCGGTAAGACCCAATGGCTTGGATTGACTTGGTTAGGATTTGTTTGGATTATCATTGCTTAATTATTACGCGACTTCAATCACTGCCGGGTCTCCTGTCTTGGCTAGAGGTGAGTAATGTCCTGTTTGATCAGAGGCACGTCTCGTCGGTCCATTCAATATTGCCATTGATAGTATCTAACAGCGGCCTCAAGCAGGTCCATTCATGGGTCATAGCACTGGACTCTGTCAGATTCAGCCCCTCGCGGCACTGGACTTCACCCTAGCATTGCTGCCTTCGAAAGCCGGTATACATCCCGCGTCTGATGCTTGAGCCTCTTTTCTTGCTCCCGTCTCTACGCTGTATCTTCACCGGTACCTTGCCGGCCGGATGCGACACGCCACTCCCAAATCCCATGAGTGTGAAGTCTTCCTTCACATCCATGCCTTCCTCAAGTATCTCGCAGTCAAACAGGCGTACCATCAAGGCGGTAGTAAGTAGTATCTGGCGTTTTGCGAAGTGCCGGCCAGGACATTGCCGCGGGCCCCCTCCGTAGGGTATCCAGGACCCCTCGAGCCCTTTTGTCGAGAATTCTGGAGTAGAAGCAGTGCTTTGCGCTTTTACGTTGCCTTTATCACTTTCTGGCGGATATTTGAGGAACCTCCCGATCCAGAACTGGTCTATGGGCTGCTCATTATGCGAGCCCGTGTCCCATGCCTCAACGTCCATGTGTGCGACTGTCGTCGAAGCCACAACAACCTTTTGCCTTGGTATGATCCAATCCCGGATGCTCATGTCGACCCTATCTGGCATCCTGATGATGTAGAAGTGCATTCTCAGGCGCAGGGTCTCTGCATAGACGGCTTGGAGGAGCGGCAGCCGGAGCAACTGGTCGACATCGAAGCGGATCCTCCCGTCTTCACGTTTGAGCGCGCAGGTATCGACCTCGGCCCTCACACTAGCGAGCAGCTCGGGATCACGGTATATTTCGAAGATGGCCCACGATGCAGCAGTGATGGAATTCCTTACTCTATTTCAGAGGTTAGCTCAGCGCAGTCCCAGTTTCCAAGAAGGAGGACAGTAAAGCTCACGCCCATATTGCTCCGAAGTCCTGTGATGCGATACCAGCGTGGTCATAACCGTCCATCTGGAGGAATATCTCCTGCCTCTCCCGGAAGAAGCTACTCCCCCAGAACGGATCATCACCGTCAGCACCGACGGCCAAGCCATCGAAGTGGGCTCTAGCGTGCTCCTGCCAGATCTTGACGGCGTCCAACACTCTCCTACGAATTGCGTAGGCCCTGGGAGCAAGAAACCAGAGAATCCCTTGCAAAGATGTTAGCTAGGCACGCTGCCGTGCTCTTTCAGACGACATGCATACCTTGAAGATAGGTCTGCAAGTTGCGGTCAAAGTCCCAAAAGTCCTGTAAGAAGTTTGGGTTCAGGCTTAAAAGGTAAGGACCGCACAGGGCATTGAGGATCGAGGCCGTGGCCTCGTCCCCAACAAATTTCATCAGGTCGGCGTGATCTTCTGCTCCGCTCCCGATGCGATCATGCAGCCCATGTAACTGCTGCGTGATGCTGTCCACGAACCTGGCCCAGAAGGGCAAAAGCCCCCTGCCCTCCAGAAATCGGTTCACGGACTCGTACACGAGGTAGTCGGTACGATTGCGAGCCTCCACATTGCTGCCCGGGAGAGGCACACGGCCGCCGCCGGAGTCGTCCTTGTCGCACAACGTCAGGGCCTTGGCTGGCAAGCCAAAGGCGTATCCGAGGGCGAACTTGACGAAGGGGACTGACGTGCACGCCCACGAGTTTTTGAAAAGCGCCTTGATGTTCTCCGGCCCTCGGATCACGTAGAACTCGCGGTGTGAGGATCTTGACTCGGACTGGCTGATCACTCTGGAAGAAACTGCTGTTCAAATATCAGTCGCGGCAGTGGATGGGCCATTTTGTAAATGGTGTGACTGACTTTGGGTCCGAGACAAAGTCTCTCGGCTTCCACAGATACAAGTGGTCTCGTTTTTAATCTGTATACATATGCTTCTTAAGCACCATAGATATAAGATTGAGAGGTTGCCCAACAGGGGAAAGGCGCAAGGGAACTTCGAGGGCACACCCTTTGCATCACCGCTCCCGCTGTGTGAGACAAAAGTGCCCCGTCTGCTGGCGCACCGAAGCCAGAGTACAGCGATTAGAAGCAGAGAGAGCGCACCCAAGTTGGCCATTGGCCATGAGATGAGATCAATGAAAATTTCCCGAATACTTCATCTGCGGTCTCTCAATTGGATCAGTTGCAAATATGACTAGATACCGTTGGTCTCTGGCAGAGTGAGGGAAAAATGGGTTGAGTCTGTACATGTGTGGGCTGATTTTTGCATTCAAAGGATGCTTACTTAGGCATAACAAACGACAAATTATCCAAGTACGATGCCACAACAAACTCACAGAGAGGGGGGCTGACACCGTGGGTAGCCTGGTTCATCCAATTCGACACAGTCAAAGGTGTAGCTGAGGCCTAGCCTGTGCTGTGGACCAGGAGACTTCCTGGTTTTTTTATATTTTGAGTAGGAAAACTGCAGGAGTGCATACGTGGGAAGTCGATTTGCTGTGAATGCCGTTTTCGTGGTGATTGTGGATCTCATATGATAACATAAGATTAAGTATGATGGAGACGATGTAAATGAAGAAAGAAATTTTCTCAACGGAAGAAGTTGAGATATGATCTTTATACTATTCATCCTGTAGTCTGTCTTATTTTCGCTGTCTTCTTTGTTCATTTGTTGAGCTGCTGTTCTATAGCTTTTGCTAACTTGAGAGCTGTTCAATTGGACACACCACGACTGTGGATATTCTGGCAATCCATGCAAACGTAAATCCCCCCATTCACTGTGGAGATGGTCAAGGCCGACGATGGCTCTGATGTTGCGCGCATCACCTACACCACCGTGGATGTCGATCACCCCGACAAGCTCGCTGCCCCGGTCTCCCGCCTCTGCTGGAGCATTGGCCGTGAGTGTCAGCCTTCAAGGAACCCTGAGGAGGGTGATAAATCCTCTATATAGGAAAGACCCCAGTGCTGACAGCGCATCGCAGCATGCATCGCCGCTCTTTCCCCCGCTCTGGTTGCTTGTGTTACTGCGGCCGCCTCCTTTGGAACCAGTAAGTAACAGATCCTTAACATTGTCACTTACGCCCCGGACGGAGAAAACAAACACCTGTTTGTTTATCGCTGACTCTGCTTCGCCACCAGACCTTGCCGCGGACGCCGCTTGCGCTGCGGCTGCTGCGAACGCCGGTGTCAACATTGTAAGTCTCGCCCTCTTCCTCGATGGTGGCGTTTGGCTGAATGCTGACCCGCTTGACGTAGCCCAAGGCTTGTGACGGCTGCCTCTAAGCAGTATCCAAGAACATACTCTCGCACGAGGCGAATCTATCCAGATGTGGTGAGGCATTTGGAATCCTGATGAGGTCAGAGCTGGACAATGGTGGCTGCCCAAGTAGTTGTAGCCTGCAATGAAGCTACATGATGACTCGTTGACTTAATTACTACTTGTCGAATGGCCAGAGTCAAGTGTATCAGCATGTGATGTCCTAATGATGTGTTCACTATCTCGGTAGCTGACCATAAGGTTGTCACCAATACTGGCTATCCTCGATCACCACCTCAAGTTCCACACCAGCATTTACCCTCGCCGCCTCCCTCCAAAGCCGCAGGACCTCCTCGTTGGGAGAGCTTGCGGAGAGCGACACTTAGCTTGTCTCCGTGCTGGTCGGTTTCGTCTAGTATACTGGGGGGTCGATGAGAATGGTTCATTGGTGGGCGCCTGTCGTAGAGGAGGTAGAAACTCAGTAGTGAGGATGGTAGCGTTTCCAGAGCTTCCGCAAAGTCTGTTTTCTCTGTCAGTGCCTTGATTGATGGGTTGCGGGTAGTTGGCCAGATGCTGGAGGTGGGTGGAGTCAGGTTCATGAATGAGGGTGCAAGGAAAGAAGAGAAAGGAACACAAGAAAAGAAAAAAATCAGCTTACCTGCTCTCAAACCTTTCCTCAGTGCCAAGTCCCTCTTCTCGTTGTCGCAAAGCTCCCAGTTTACACTCCGCAGGCCTGGCATTCTTGAAGCCACGAGGCACAGCACCCCGGGTGCAAAAAGCCGACCGCCAGGGACTTGAGTGGCTTGGAAGTCAAATTCCGAGACACATAGAAGTTCCGGTAGAGCTCCCACTTCATCTCGTACAGTCTTCCCAGCTGCGGGGCTGAGATCAAGACACGAGCTTTCGTAGCGGGCTTCAAAGATATCTCCGGTGCTTATGGCGTTTACGCTTTGCCTAGATCGCCGTTCTGCCAAGTCTTCCGTGTCACTCACGCACAGAGCCGTCATGTACAGCTTGATCTTGGCACGATAGGCCGCCGGTCTAACGCCCTCCCCGAGCTGCTGTTCCTGCTGCTGAGCGTTGCCTGCATCATGACCGCCGAGGTTGCCCATAGGCTGTTGCGCCCCAGGAGAAGGAGATGAAAGTAAGGAGAAGACCTTCCGGATAACATGCGTAAAGACCCTGTCGTTCGTGAGCCTCTCCTCGCCATCCTCGCGCCGCGTCCGAGCATCCTCGCCGTACGGCGGCAGCAACACGTCGACCTTGACCGAGCGGACGAAACGGTGCACCCGGCTGGGACTCAGTGCCTGCGCCGCGAGGGGTGAAGCGAGACGCGCCGGGGTGAGCGTGATGTGTGCAAAGGTTTTGGCCTCGATGCGCGCTTGCCAGCTGCGTGATACGGCGGCGTACTGTGTGAGGCTGCGGGAGTGAGAGAGTCTCCGCTGCCTTGGTCATCGCCGCCGTCAGTCTGTTGTTCTGAGAGGTGGGAGATGATGTTTGCAGTGATCTCTGATAGCTTGACCATGTTGTCTACGACCCTGCGGTCAGCTCCGATCTCGTGCAAAAGAAACGGTGCTCGGTTGTGGGTACGCGTTGTAATGTTGTCTAACGCCCGGCTTGTCACAACAATTGGGCAAATGAAAAGCTCTACACCTACAGAAAGCTCAAAGATTTCGGAGATGCTTCCCGATTCTGCAAGGATGGCGCCCAACTTGATGTATCTAGTTCAAAATGCAGTGCCTATCATCCACTCATTGGCCTGCCTCCCTCAGGCATCTTTGCGTATCGATCCAAGTGCCATCCTGTCAGCCTGTTGGCAAGATTTAGTGAAGGAGACCGCAGTACAGAAGGGCATTGGCTTACAACATCCGAGTCTGGCCCGCTACACCCGAGACCCGTACAACTTCTCGGCCCTGTCCCATCCGGAGAGAAGGTCCCCAAAGCCTCCCGGGATCGAAACACCATTGCATCATCAGTCCGTGGTGGACTATGTACGTCGACCCGGTCGTTTGCCAAGCAGTTTGGAGTGCGGGGAATTAAGAACCAGGGCTAAGCTTTTGTGGCGGAAGCGTCCCCAGAGCCGCGGCTGACAGCGAGTAACAATCCAGGACTGCCTCCCCGAATACCGAGTATCTGGGCCGTCCGCCCCCATGTTGGGGATAGTTATGGGGAAACAGACGGCCTTTGCGGGGGGGAGACATCACCTGGGCACTGGGATTTGAGGATTGGTCATGTCCAGCCACCACCACGAACTTCCTAGGGACTATCACTCCTTTTCTCGGACAACTGAGCCCCTTCTGTATGCAGAGCATTCCGATCTTCGATACAGCTTCGTAGGGAGCACGGAAATTCAAGATGGCCTCATCAGACAGATCTCAGTACGAGAAAGCCGATGTCGCCCAGAACGAGTTCAGCGTCGGCTCCGTCTCGGCCCTCCCTCCGCCCAGCCGGCACGGTCACTCCAGAGGCAAGGACGAGATCGACCGCATCGACGCCCTGGCCACGGCGGAGGGGACGACGCTCGACTCGTTCAGGCACCTGGACGAGAAGGCGATCCTCCGCAAGATGGACCTGCGCCTGATCCCCATGCTCTCCCTGCTGTACCTGCTCTCCTTCCTCGACCGGGGCAACATCGGCAACGCGAAGATCGAGGGCCTGCAGGAGGACCTCGGCATGCGCAGCTACGAGTACAACTGGTGCCTGACCGCCTTCTTCTTCACCTACGCCGCCTTCGAGGTCCCCAGCAACCTCCTGCTCAAGAAGCTCCGCCCCAGCAGGGTGGCTGCCCATTATCATGGTCGCCTGGGGCACGGTGATGACGCTGATGGGGATTGTCCGGAACTACCAGGGCCTTTTGGCTGCGCGCTTATTCCTCGGGGTCACTGAGGCGGGTCTGTATCGTAAGTGATGGTTGCGGCCCAAATGCTGTTGTCTCTTGTACATTTTACCCCCAGCCGCAAGGCGCCTAGGAGTGTGCTATTTGGATACGACATCACGCTTAAGGGCTCCTTAGGTCTTCACCAGTCATCAGTGAACAATAATTAACATTCATTTCCCACGCAGCTGGTGTAGCATATTACCTTACGATGTGGTATTGCAGACACGAGATCCAGTTCCGTCAGGCCCTGTTCTTTTCTGCCGCGTCAGTTGCTGGTGCGTTCAGCGGCCTCCTGGCCTTCGGCATCTCCAAGATGGATGGCGTTGGAAACTTGGAAGGATGGCGGTGGATCTTCATATTGGAAGGGATCGCGACGGTGATCGCTGCTTTCGCTGCTTTCTTTCTGCTTCATGACTTTCCCGAGACGGCCAAGTTCCTGACCGAGGAAGAGAGGGCGTTTGTGGTCTTCCGCTTGAAGTACCAAGGGCAGTCTGCCAAGCTGGACGGTACGAGTGGGAGAGCGGCCCAGGTCGCTGAGGCCGATGAATTCCAGTGGAAGTATGTGAGGCAAGCATTCATGGACTGGCAGATCTGGGTGAACATCTTTGTGTACTGGGGCGTGAGTATTTGCCCTCGCTGCCCAGAATCGGACGCACGCGCTGACTCTGCCCGCTAGATCGTCTGTCCGCTGTACGGGACAAGCCTTTTCCTACCAACGATCATCAAGAATCTGGGCTACACCTCGAGCACCGCTCAGCTTATGACGGTTCCGATATACGTCACTGCCGCGATATTAGCCGTCATTTTCGCGTACCTGTCTGACCGCGCGGGAAAGAGGAGCCCGTTCATAATCCCCTTCCTGTGCGTGATGATTATCGGATTTTCAATGTACGTCACCTGCTGTCTCCAATCTCCTGGACGCCGCCCAGAGACTGACTCTTCTTCCAGGTGCATTTCGACAGACCCAACAAAGCACCCTCGCGTGGTCTACGGCGGAGTCTTCATAATCGTGTGTGCTATCTACCCAAGCTTCCCGGGCAACATCGCATGGCTGTCCAACAACCTCGCCGGGGGCTACAAGCGCAGCGCAGGGATGGCAATTCAGATCGGTGTGGGAAACCTCGGGGGAGCCATGGCCTCGAATTTCTACCGCCAGCCGGACTCTCCACGCTACATTCTCGGGCATGGGTTGGAACTGGGTTTCGTGTGTCTGGGAATACTTGCCGCGGTCATACTCAACGTCAGCTATGCCGCTATCAACAAGCGGCGCGAGAAGAAGCTGGCTGAGGGTGGAGAGGGTGGATTTGATAGCCGAGAGCTGTCTGAGCTGGGTGACAAGGCCTACACATTCAGATACATGCACTGAGGCAAGAGATAGCGAGTGAGTAGGAAGAGGACCTATGTTTCGAGGCGAAATGCTTCACAAGGAATGTATGGGTCAAGTCTCAGAGCAGTATTTCGGACCAGTAAGTTGTAGAGTGATTTAAGACAACTAGAAGTGGCTCCAAGGCCAAGGTATACAGTACTCTCTATCGGGAATTATCGCTTTACTATTAAGGAGCATCCCATGTCTGGGGTACACCCTCCCGGCCGGCTCTCCAGGTCATCTAGAAACCGAACACTTGCATTGACGGAGGCACATCAACCTGAGGTGTTGGTTGCAATGACCCTCAGATCACACTCGCGGGGACCTCCGTGCCCGTGTCCTCCCACCCATAAAGTACCACCGTACCACCGCCGTTCCTGAGCCGAAAGATTGGACTCACATAATTTACTCACTTGAACTTACCACTGGGATCTCGTTCAAAGGGATCAGAAGCCCCTTCACTTAAGCGTGGACTGAGAGCCCAATACGGGGACCTGTCCCGGATCCTTTTTCGCCCTACCTGGAAGCACTTACCAACGACACAGCATCCTATCAAGGTCGAATGCAACTTACAAGGAATCCCAAAATCAGACATGCGATTCGGCGCGGGAACACTGTCACTGTCGAGTGTCACTTGTGCTTCAGCCTGGTTTGAGCACAAGCATATGATTTGAGCCTTCTATAAGCCGTCATGTTAGCCAACACGTACGTCATCAAGAGCCTGAACACTTTAAACACCAAGAATGACGAGCAAGAGACACGCCGAAAAGAGTGATGGAAACTTCGGGCGGCAAGGCATGAGATGAGGCCGAAGCGGTACTCATTGTTGCTCTGCCCAAAAACTGTCTCCGCGAGAGTGGTAGTTGTCCCGTCCGTCACCAACAGGAAAAAACGTCAAAAGAGTGTTTAGAATAATTTGTTCGTTAGTGCATTTCTGCAAAAGTCATTACAGTATTTACAACGGCAACCCCATGCATATGTGCATGGCTTTGGGTACCTTGGTCACAACCATGGACCTTGCAACGGCCCATCCACCATTGACCAACAACGGCCACCATCACCACCTGACAAGCCAGAGCTAGGCACCAATGTGTCTCCTGCCTCGCTGACGGAAAGCTCGTAGCTCAACCGCAGACTTCTGAACCCGACTAGACCTTCCGCGTGGTTCGTACCTCTGTCGTTGACGATCGAGGCTTGTATCCCTCCGTCGCAACTGTCGGGTGGTCGAATGCTGTCTTCGAAAATCTTCATTGGCGGCGGGATGGGCGTGGTGAGGGTGTACACGGCTGGAGGATAGACTACGAGCCCGCAACGGCGATAACTTCGTATCGAAGAAGGGTGCCGCGGGTGAGCGAGTATGTTCGGGTTTAGGTGTCGGAGTTTCAGATTCCATCGAATCCATCGGATGGCGTGGAGCATGAGATATCGAGAGGTATTCACTATGCGCATCATCATCGACAATCGCGGTTATCAGAGTGTCCTTCCCTTGAGACTCGTCAACATCTGATAAGTCAGAAATTGATGTAGATGGGGTCTCTGGGTCATCGGACTGCGATGTAACCTCGTCATCGTGAAGAGTAGGCATTGAATCGTGCAGAGCCGCGGGTATGTGATCAGGCTCTGATCCTGAGAAGGACATTGCCCGCTGGGAGACACGGGTGTTGTTTTGATGTTTGTGTTGGACACGTTCTGAGACCGAGACGCCAGAATCCTCGGACCGCACGGTCATAGAACGTGTAGGTTGGTCAAGCGAGAGGTCGGTGATGTCGAAGGACTGGGAGTGCTCGTTAGTGTAGTAGGTGTCGTCCTCGGGCTCGTCGAAGAACATAGGCCCATCACAGTCGAAAATCGCAGGATGCGAGCTGTCAGTGCTACTGATAGGCGAGCCGGACTCGTTGTGCCAAGGGTGTTCTTGAGGCAGGTAGGACGAGAAGTAGCGGACTAGAGAGTCCAGTGACTTGGTACGAAAGAGCTGGATGGCATACTGCCACTGCTCGGTGCCGATGAGGGATGGGTTGCCGATGATCTCAAAACTTGCATCCTCCAACATGCCTGTCAAGCTAATTGTCAACGGGGGCCACCTCCTTGCCTCACTTATCGTCAACCCTTACCATTCAATTCCTCCAAGCGCAACTTCTTGCGGTCCTCCATCAACCGCTCGAACTCATCGAGGGTGCAGGCTCGGGTGGAGAGTTCATAGACATCATGGTGGAATGCCTCTGGGTCCTGAATGGCGGATGGAATGGTGTTGTACCGGTCATGTAGAGTAGTGGTGAGGTCGTCCTTTTGCAAGCCAAACTTCCAAAAGGGCCAAGCGCAGCCAGGATCGTCCATGGTATGCGAGGTCGTGTGTTCCGATGACGCCAGAAAGTAAACCGAAAGTGGGTATCAAAAGGGGGTATCACGTAGAAGCGCTGTTTGATCAGAGGAAATGCGACAAGGTCGTATGTGGGCTGAATGGAAAACCGAAAAAGAAGGAACCGAGAAGAAAGGGCCGCGTGCTTTGGTTGCTGTTGGTTGATTGTAGGCTTGTGTGGTCATTGAAAGCCATTTAGACGAAGATGATGGGACAACAAGTCATTTTGATGGGTGGTTTGATTTTGACTGTTTGTTCGTTTTTCTGGGGGGAGAAACACGAGCAAAGCGTCAAGTGGTGGGTGGTGAGGGGATCGTAGACTGCTGTTCCTTGCCTTCCCGAGCGGATTGAAATCGGTGAGGGAGTATTGTCGAAAACGGGCGGTCTCGGTGTGCTCTGGTGTCGAACGTGGGCAGAGGCTTGGTGGAGAGAGGGAAAGGGAGCAGCGTAGGCGGGCTGGACGGGGGTCTGTGGTGGTTTTCTGACGGTGACGAGACCAAGAGTCAAGCCGGACTCACAATGATGGACTGACGGTGGGCGACGGCCAGAACACCCACAAAAAGCCCGTGGCCCGCCTGGAAGGAGTGGTCCCACAATGTCTGCATCCGGACCAACCAGAACCACTCAAGAGCGGGCGGTCCAGGCGCTAGCGGTGGCACATGCCGCCCTCATGCAGGCGAGGTTGCAGTGCAACCTGCAGGAGCAGTGTGGCACCACTGGAGCTAGTCCCAGATAGGAATGGGCCTTCCTCCAAGATCGATTTCTTTCTCCGGGCAACGGGTACCCAACCCCTGCCCATCTGGGTCTCTGGTCCTTTGGCCCTTTCCCAGACGTGTTCCTCTCCTGCCGTCTGCCTTCGCAACCGATGATGAAACCCCGACCTGGACTGCGGACGTACCCGAAGGCTGGAGCATTGAAGCCTGGAGAACATGGAGCACGAACACAGTCTATACATAACGCATCATTTATCATTCATCATACTAGATTTGGCCACTCAAAAGAGTACGCAATACTCAGGATGACTCCTGGTCAAGCCCTGTCCGCTCGGGACTGGCTGCTCAAGGCTATCTGTCCCGCCCCAACATGACGGGCGAACAGTGGGCTGTTGCCCAAGGACCGCCCCTCCGCCGTCGGTCGTTACTCAGGATGCATCTCAAGAGGGGCGCGGCGCAACGCGAGTGGCGCAAGCCACCCAATGAACAGCCTCCACAAGCAAGCCAACCAGCCCAGCCCCGGCCTGCAATCACGAAGCCGGAGGCGGTCATGGCCATGCAGCCATGTGCGGGTACACGGGTCTGATTTGATCTAGTTGGCTGGCTGATGTTGGCTGACGCCCGTCTCATCAATACAGCTGATTGATGAGGATTCTCGCGTTGTCGCTTCGAAAACGGCCCCCAACGGGCAGAATGGCAGACTGGTCGGCTGTGTGCCGCCAGCTGCAGAGCTCAAACGGCCAGCCGGCAGACAGCTGTTCATGTCATCCTCCTTCCTATTCTTCTGAGGTCGGGTCATGCAGGCTGGCAGGCAGGCAGTCCGGCTTACTGCTCCTGATTGTCCAGTCCAGGTGAGACTTGGTGTCAGCTGCTCCGGTCTCCATGTCTGCCTGCTCCATCTACATTCATTCTCGCGCCTCACCAGGGCTCATCACGCCGTTGAGTTTTGTCCCCGGGCGGTCACACTACGGTCCTTGTTGTGTCATGCTGGCCTTGCTGGTCCTGCTTGTCTTCCCGGCCTCCCTGCCCTTCTGGATATCGTGCTCGAGATCTGGAGCCTGCATCCCGGCGTGTCAAGCCTGACTGCCACCAGACAACCCACCAAAACCATCAGCCACTCCGGGGGACACTTGGGCTGCTCATCTCAGATCCACCGGACCAGCCAAGCACACTGGCACCCAGGAAAAGGCTTCATTTCTGGCGAGCAATTGCACCCTCTGCATCTTGATGCCATAGGACGAAGAATCCAAGCTCACTGTTGGCCTACTCCGTGAGCCTTCTCTCGTCCACATCGTGTTGACTCAGGCGACTCCCTCACAAGGACTAGGCAGCTGCAGCTCTCCTCGTTCCTGCGAGTCCAACCCCAGGTGCTCTTGGTCCTCGTCTTTTTCCGGGGCACTCCAGACCCACCCCTGCATCCAACGAACCCTCCCACCTACCTACCTACCTACTGCACCTCATAGTAGGCAGTGTAGCCAGCTGGAGGACCCTAGGACTTGCGATTCACCTGTTCCTCTGCTAGGGTCAGTTGAGGCTGAATTGCTAAGCACCCCAAGACCCCGGTCAGCAGGGCTCATCGCCCCGTCCTGTTCTTGCTCAACTGCTCTTCCATAATCCGCATCTGACTCTTTTTTTGAATCGCATCTTCAACATCATTCGCATTGCCAGCGAGCCAGCAAGCCAGGTGGCCTTTGTCTTGGTCTTTCCAGTCCCTGTTGGATTTTCTAGGAATTTCCCCTTTTCTCTCTGCAACCACATTTAAGTACTCGTCCGCCCACTTCAAGCGGCCGCCCATCGACTGGAACCGATCCTCGGGAGCATCCGTTGCTAGGACCTGACCTTATCTGGAGCCTGTGCCTGTGCCGACGAGACCCAAGGGAAAGTGTTTTATGTGTCATAACGACCATCTCTCTGCTCGCCGCTGTCTTCCATGCCCTAGGACTAGACACCTGAGCCGCACATACCCGCGTACATATCTCCTGGTCTCTAGCTTCCTTGTGTGACTCCTCTCCGGATCGGCTTGGTTGCTTCGTCCACAGCATCATCAGCAGCGCCGGTGCTTAGCTAGGCTGCCGTGGCGAAGTCGGCGAGACCGGGTCGCCTTCGCCATGAGAAGCCTACACGTCGAGCCACCCTCGGAGGTGGCGACCGAGGAGAAGACTGAGCCGTACTCCCAGAGCGAGATCGATGCCCGCCTCAGGAGCTTCCAAGAGCAGAAGGAGATCGATGAGGCGATCGCGGCCGAGAACCACGCAATCCACCTGGATGACCTAGCTGTTCCCAAGGATAGAGACATTCGCATCCTCGTACGACCTCTTACCCGGGCACGGTCTGTGAGCCCCGGCAATCTCGATAGCTGTGAGTGGTTGCAGTTGACAGCCGAAGTTGCGGAACCGAAACAACCTGAGCAGAAAGTCCTCGCGGTCACGCAAACGAGCAGAGACATCAAATTCTCCGTGCGCATTCCTGGAGAGAAGCTAGAAAATGACACAAGGCCTCCTCTATGGTGCGAACTCTACTACGACCCAGCCAGCGACAACCAAATATTCCTCAACCGTTCCGGAATTCCATTGTTCTTGTCTAGGGTATCCCAGCTCCCAGCTGCCAGTCCGAGCATCGAGTATACCATCAATCCCCACACCACCAAGGCTCTGATTCCAGGAACATGGAGAATCAAGGTCAGAAATATCAACGTTCTTGATTTCAGGATCGTTGAGAAGCGTCCTGCGATTTTGAGGTCGTCACTGAGCTTGTCGGCATCAAATGAGTCCCTCATCAGCTTGCTCAACTCATCAGGAAAACGGACCCTCACCGCCGAAGACACTGCGTCCTCCCCTGACAAGCGACTTCGCGCCGATGAGTCCATGGTTCGAAGTGATGCACGAAGTGATGATGGCGTGGTGATGTTTATGAGACCAGGAAGCGCCACGAACCCACTCGTCTTCCCACTCCCTTCGGGAGAGAAGGGCAAGGAGCTCATGACAACCAACGGAAATCCTCTGCTGGAGCTCGAAGACGGCGATGTTGCCGAGATACCTGGCGCCGAGGTTGACGTTGACGAGTATACAATCAAGAAGATCGGTCCCATCGCATCAACAAGCCTAAGTGCCGTGGCCATGGGCGAGTTCTCCCGGGAACCCGACAGCATCATCACCGTCAAGGTTCTCAAAACCCGTCTGAACCAAAAAACACTGGCCACAGCAAAACCACAAGACGCAGAGCGGAACGTCATTCGCCAAGCTGATATCTGGCTGCGCGAGTTTCTCAACCACGAGGTACTGGACCATAAGTCGATCCCACGCTTATTCGGTGGCGACGCGAGATATCTGTCCTTGTACATGGAGTACATTGACGCCAGAGATCTTTCGGCAAGAGGCGCCTGGCAGGATCCTCAGACCACGTTCTTTCTCGGCAACCAACAGGATTCTGAGCGTATCCTCCGGGATGTTGCCGGTGCGCTGGACTACATGCACAGCCGCAACATGGTTCACAACGATATCAAACCGGGAAACATACTCTTCAACCGGGATCGGGGAGCTGTTCTATGCGATTACGGCATGATCACCGATGTTCACGCAAACCAGGAGAGGATAGGTGGCACACCATTCTACATCTGCCCCGAGTTTATCGGCCAGAAGCTCCGCGGCCAGCCCGCGGACGTGTGGGCTTTGGGTGTAACAATGCTGTACGTCCTCGGAAAAATCGGTCTACCGGATGCTCGAGGACAGAAGAACCATCCGCGTCATCTCTACTGGATGATTGCATACATCAACACGGCACCGCAACATCAAAGACAACTACCAAACTTCGACGGACGTACTGCCGCCCAAAAAATGCAAGTCTGGCTCAACGACATCCACGAAGCAAAGATGCGCCTGGATCAGAACAACAAAGTTGAGAGACTCGTCGCGGCCATGTTGGTCTTGAACCCGAAACAGAGGATCACGATGCGCCAAGTCATGCTGGAACTGTCGCGAGTTTCGGCGGAGAAGGAAGAACAAGCAGTGCCTTTACTGCACGAATAGAAGGAATATTTACGGAACGAACATATCAGCAGCATGAATCAAGGAAAAGGTTCTCATTTAACAATTTTGCTTGCTTTGGGCACTGAGTCTTGAAGGCAGCTGAAATTATCAGGAACTAATGGTGGGTCATCTTGGTTAAACTCCAATCTTGCCGTCCATAGCAACGAATACATGTTTATGTTGCTCAATTTGGATCCCCGTCCTCACTTCTCTATCACATGTTTTTACTCATCGCTCCTCTTATTTTCCTACAAATGGTTCTCTACTAAGCACGTAACTGACAGCATAGCAGATGTCGAGATCATGCAACACCGAAAACTACTCTGGCGTCGAAGATCGGTTCAGAAATCTAGGCAAGGCACGCCATTATGGCCGTCCGACGCGCAAAGACGAACGGGTAGTGATCTCAAGCCAAGTGATCTGCCCTCTCCGGTATCACTGCCAGCGGTACTAGATCCCATCCTCCGGTGCAAATTGGCATCCATGATATCGGAACAGAAGGCCAGCTGAGCAAGCTCGCTACTGAGACAACATTTCTGCACTGGTCATTCACGAGCTCTAGAGGTGAAGCAAGACTGCCCAAGGCTTTTTGTGATCAGAATTTCAACGACAGACTCGATTTGATGCTATGCCATGAGGAAAATAGCACTTTGGCACTGGCACGCCCAAAGATGAGGATTGCATAGAGGAGGATAACCAACATATATCATTTGATGTTTAAGGAGAAGGGGGAGACTGTTCATACAGAATTCATAAATATCACGCATGGCCATTCTAGCTCTTGCGAATTTCTAGCTAAACAATGATACCCATCAGGCTAGCTCCTGCTCGACTCCTGCTCGAACACCGTGCCTTTTTATTTGAAGGCCCCAATTGCCCATATTGTGAAGCTTACGAGTCACGAAAGCTCTGTTCAGAGATACGAGACTGAAGAAAGGACCCGACAAACGTCTGCCCGAGAAAATGGAACATGGAAAGTGGCCTTGCTCATATTGTATACGACCGAAGTACATAAAATGGAAAGGCGACCCTACTGTCGGTCAGAGCCTCATGCCTAGCTGCTCAAATACCAGGAGATCACGGTAGTTCAACCCTTTCCCTCGAGGAAGCCACCATATCAAGATGTCTGAATCCACTGGTCCAGCCTGATATTCTTGATAATAGTGGAGAACCCATGCTGCTTCCCCCTCATACACTTATCCCTCTTCTTCCCAGTCACCTCCTTCCTGTCATTGTGCCTGTCACTATCAGGGTCCTCCCCCTTGGGGTACTCGACGTGGAACACGGGCTTGCCCTGCCTCACAAACGGCAGGAACTGCTCCTCATCCCCGTACTGCACCGCCTGCTCGTTGACGCACCACTGCATCTGGTCGACCACGCGCGGGACAATGTCCCCGCCGTTCTTCAGCCCGATAGACAGGCCCCTCGCGTGCGCCTCGCCCGCCAGCCAGAGGACGTAGTCCTCCGCGTCGCGCCTCGTGAGCTTCAGCCCGTTCTTGTTGTCCCAGGCGTCGATGTTGTCCGGGTCGACGCCGTCGAACCCCTTGGACACGGCGAGGTCCATGCGCGCCTGCATGACCTCGCGCACGCTGGCCGAGTTGGTCTGCACCCACTTCTCGCCCTCCCAGTCGTCCATCTTGCGGCCCAGGTCGGACGGGCGGAAGCGCGCCGCGTCGGGCCGCCAGTCCTCGAAGGTCCCGGCCGAGAAGTAGGCGACGACCTTGCGCCCGCGCTGGTGCAGGGCGGCGACCTCGGCGGCGGTGTTGTCGAAGAGATCGATTATCCAGACCTCCTGGTGCTCGACGGTGTGGTCGAGCTGGACCTTGTGGTGGAGCACGTAGTTCCATGAGGTGTGGACCGCGGGCTGCCAGAGCGGCCGGTGGAACCCTGGGGGCCGAGGTGGGAGGGGTGGCGCGTTCATCTTTTGTGGTGAGTGGACTCAGGAGTGGAGGTCTGCTGTGGAATTCATCGATGGATCAGGTCTCGGATGAGACGGACGATGAAGTGTGTTGTGGTGTGGTGAGGGCGAGGTCTAAGCCATGGTGGCTGTGCTATACGAAGTTACTCCGTCTGTGCGGGCTGAGCCGGACAAAGAGTCGCCGTTGGGGAAGCTTATAGCTGAGAAACGGCACTAGCAGAAACCCTAGCATTTGCAATATGCGAGAACTCTCCGGGAACATGCCTTCTACTGCATGTGAGACACGGAGTCAAAGCCTCCAGCAATGCTTGTGAGCATGGGAGCCGTGTCTTTTGTTTTGGCATAACAAATCAGAACGAGTTCGACTTAAAGGACAACACGACTGTCTCAGTGTACAAAAGCTCTTCAACGTCTCTACCACTTCCTTGCAACATGATCCTCATCTCCTGGAACCACAGGCCCCAAAATGATGTTAATTGAAGGGTATTTGACATCAGTCTCATCTCACTAGCGCACGGCTTAAGAAAGCGTCCTCTTTGGACCCACCATTAGGCAAAATGGGATGCTAGATGAGGGAAACTTTCGTCGTGAAACTTTTATGGAAGCACTAAACGTGCCCTAATTTTCTTTCTCTCCCTCTGTCAGGATATGGCGTCCCTTGGCGGCTGAAGTCAAATGACGACGAACGTTAACGGGACTCTTCTGTCCCATGCCACAGACCAACTTGTGTACAGAATCTTGAACCTGCCATCCTGCATAGTTGAGATAACCGAAATTCAAGATATCCCACAAGGACAGAACAAGAGTACTCTTTTCAGAAAGATCTGGAACAATCCGCGACAGCCCAATACCAGGTAGCACACACTACCTTAGAAAGACTGGCCCCTCCCCTCTTAACGTTTCCCTGCTCAGTGCTTCACCTGGCCAGTTGGACCATTCAGGGTGATCAAACGCTCAGTCATCATCCTCCATCTTCACATCCTGACTCTCAACTGACTCAGACTCATCATCCTCCATCTTCACATCTTGACTTTTGGCCAGGTCAGACTCATCGTATTCCATCCCCTCATCTTCGCTTTCAACTGACACAGGCTCGGACTCGACAGTGGCATCGTTCTGGTCCTGCTGTCTATCAACGGGAATCCTGCAAGCGCTCCGATAGGACCATCTGCGCGAGACGGTGGGGTGTTGAGCCCGGCCAGGCTCCAAGGCGTACTCAAAGAGCCATCCACCAGAGAAAGGAAGGTCGGGCCCAGGCAGTGACAGAAGCAGCGATTTGGCTATGGTGTTGTTCCCAGGCGAACTGTTTGCGCACTTGGTTGCCAGATTGTAGAGCTTGGGCTGTAGGGAGCAATGGTTAGCTGTTCTTAATCAGGGCAGGTGAAGCACAAGCCACGCAAATCATTACTCACGTATTGCTGCTTCCAGGTTCTTGCGATACCCGTGTGACCAATTGTCCGAGGCTCAGGATTGGCGAGAGGCCAGAACTCCACCACGTACTCGGTGCGCCCCATGGCCTTGACTGTGGTGGCCTCACAACGGAAGTTGCAACTTCCCAGCGGCATCTCCGCCGACTGCAAAAGGAGCTCGAGCTCAGGGTCCCACTGGATGTAGGAGCCGTTGTGGTTCTCAAAGCAGTTGACAGACCAGCCTCCTCGGTTGCCAAACTTGGGCTCCAGCGACTCGCAGAACGCCTCGTACTCCTTCCAAAGGTCGTTGCGGATTCCAGACGCACCGCGAGCTTTAGAGAAGGCCGCGCGTGCTTTTCGGACGATCTCGTCGGCCCTGTCCCTTCGCGCCCTGACCTCTTCAAGCTCAGCCTCGATGTACCGCTTCTTCTCTTCCAGCTCGGCCGCCCTTCCCTCCTCGTGCTCAAGCACCTTCTCGACGTTGTAAAGTCCCCGGCCGGGAGCGTTGTGAGAGGAAAGTAGGTCGTTGAGTGTCGCGAAGGATTGTTGGTCTGGAGCGGAAAGGTGCTGAACGATGATTTGGCTTGTCTGAGGGTAGACGAAGCTCTTGATGGAACCGAAGCCAAACCCGATGTCTTCCTCAATTTTGTTGTCTTCCTCGTAGATCGACCTCGCTTCGTCGTCGTCCACATCAGCGTCTTCGTCAAAGTCAACAAAGATGCTCCTCTCCTTGTCATGCACGTCGTCGTAAGCGAGTTCATGAAGATTGGGCATGATAAATTGGTGCGGGCTTCCCGATGTCTCATCATTAGCTTCCATTGCGCTGAGAAATGGAAGATTGTTGCTTGTAGGATCACAGTCGTTCTGGGGCCCGCTGGCAAGGTTGCTACTGCACTGCATGGGCGACTTGTCTCCCTCGTCTGACTCCTGCATTTCTCCCTCGCTATCACTCTCGCTCGAATCCCAATTGAACTCGGAGTTCTGGACTCCAGCGAAAAAGTCGACTGTGTTGTTTGGGGTCTGATACACGTGAACGTCTTCGGCCTCGCCATCGCAGTCGGCCGCCACGTGGTAAACAACGAGTGGCTGTTGGTCCTCCATGACGCCATCCATGGTGCCAGAAAGCTCGTCCTCTATTTTTAGGTGACTCGTCTGCCCTTGACCGTTGTCGACAGCAGTTGGTGGTGGATTGTCATTGGAATTCGGCAGCTGGGCGACTGAAAGGGAGCTCGGCAGCTCTGTTGCATTGATGTGCGGAGACTCCTCCATCTTGGCATGGATGGGCGACTACTTCATAGCTTTCAAGTTGTGTACTTGGATTCAAGTCGGGTTTGCCTTGAAACCTGCAGCAGGGTACAGAGTTGGGGTTGGGTTTGTGAGAGCTGACGCGCGTGGTTAAGGGGAGGTGAGAGGGGGTTTTGAATCAGCTTTGCAGTGTTGCGAGGCTGAAAACCTGAATGTTCAAGAGCCTGACCTGCATAAAATCACAAGCTGCTAACTAAGCCTGTCTTGGATTTTCATCCCATGTTTGATTGACCTCAGGTCAGTATCTCAGAGCAGCAAAGTTGCCCTGCGCAAAAATCAGATGATTTTGATAACAATTGGGCAAGGAACACATCGTCGCCTTCAAAGTCACTAATGTAAACTTTGAATGGATCTAGAGATCTTTTCATCATTGCATAAGCCTTCTTTCTTTTGGCGCTTACCACCTTAACATTCAAAATTTGACTGAATGTTTACTGTTGACTTGAAGGAAAGTATCGTATATAGTAGCCGACAAACTAGTTTGCGAAAAGAAAAAAAAAAAAAAAAAAAAAAAAAAAAAAAACTGTGTGCTTATTGAGAAACCCGAAAGATTTTAAAACCTAAACATAAGCTAGACGAAAGTAAAAAGGAAGAAGCTATCTTCCCTGATCGTCAGTGTTTAAGAACCCGCGACCAGCTTTCTGGGAGCCTGATCGTCAAAACTCTTCGAGGGCCCAGCAGAGAAGTAGAAAATGCTGCTTGGGAGGGATTTTATGCCACCCGGCCTTATTCAATGTCCAATTTGAAACCTATCTGCTTAAATTTTGCAATAAATCCGTGTCACAAGTAAGCGGTAAGTGCCGTGGCTCGTCAGGATGACACATCGAGCCCAATTATTCTGGGTGGGCGAAAGTTCGGCACCCGACAAAGGCCAGTTGGGAAAGAAAAAACCAGTAAAGCAATAGAGCCGGAGATTCTTCTTGAACAGAGTTTCATGAAAGCTTGTTTGATATTGCCATCTAAAGTATATACAATCGTAATTCTGTGCTCAACAAACAGCACCAGTAACCTTTTATCTTGATTGCTTTTGCTTAACGCTTGGCCACAAAGTAGAATCCCACACACCACGCGACCGCCGTTACTCCCAAAATTGAATTTTACAGAGTTAAGCGAACCTCGCCTGCTGGATTTGATATGTTACCGTCGTACTCGTGGTCTTCGTAATTCCCTTGAAATGTACATCCGTCGGTGTTCTGATATCGTCTTCGAAACTCCTCTTGGCCTCGACATGTGTCTTCACACTCGGTTTCCTGCTCACTCTGACGGAGTCCCGAATCGGCGCATATGAAACCAACTCAAAAGATTCCTTGGAGATGGGGGTCCCATTCGGCCCGTGCAGGGCATTCTGGCTGCTCGAGTCGTCGAACACTTCCTCAATACCCATCGGCCGCGCGTATGCACTGCTCCTCTTGTCCGTGTTCCTTCCAGACAGACTCTGCCAATTCTTCTTGCTTCGGCCCAACGACCCCCCTGCGTAATAACCTTTCGCTTTATTAGTTCCTGCTCCATACGTACTGCCAAGGAACTTCTTGAATAGCGGCCGTAGACTCGGTAGACTGGCCGCGATGATGCCGACGTTCATCTCAAGGACACTCCACGTGGTCAGATACTGAGAGTCCCAAAGCCAGTCGCCGTACTTTCCGTAGGTGCTTAGGTATGTAATGCGTGTAATGGCGCAGGCGCAGGCAAAACAGCCGAGGCCGAGGACACCGAAAAGAGATATGCGTGTGCGGCGCGTAACATTGATGTTCCACAGCATCGGGACCGGGATGAAAATAGCGAAAATCAAGTCGGTGATGATATTGAGAGAGAAGTTTGTATAGGACAGTGCCAACAGAGTACTCGGTGCCCAGCATGTGGCCTTTGTTGAATAATCCCACAGTATGCGAATGTCGGTGCATTGAACCAGGAGGGTCTGCCTGAAAGTCAGGGTCTGTAGTTGAACGACTTGCTCGGTATGAGACAAGGTTCTAGGGGTGAACCGAAAAGCTCTGGAATTTTACTCACGACAAAGCCGGCGGTGGTATAAGCGAAAACAAAAATCATCACACCAAGAACCAAGTGTTTCCAGAACTTGGTTGATGCTATACGGAGCAGAGACGCGCCGACTGCAAGCTTGCAGAAGCAGATACCGTACAAATACGTGAGCTGGCTCATGTAATTGAGCATGAGCCCCATGGGTAGGTCTTGAGGTGGAATATCGCCGTTATGTCGTCCCGCCCCGTGTTGAACTTGTGCGACTGGTGTTCTGTTAGCAAATGTTTGTTTGGTACATCCGTAGAATTGCAGGAGGAGATACAGGGCAGAAAGCGCACTCACTGACTTCACCCATTCCCACAATGGAGATCATTGCCGTAAGACAAATGACCCAGTCCTGTTGCCAGCTCGTCAGCAAAGATGTCCGGATAGTACAGCCATTTGTTTTCTACTAACGTCCCATCCAACTTTACCAACCATCGTGGCTCTGACCCAAAGTCGTGCCGCAACGGTGATTATCGCTAAGCTTGTGAATAACACAGCGATTCCCATCAAAGCACGACCTGTGTTCTCCGAAGGATTCGATATCAGCGTCGTTGTGGAAGACATCTTGGCCTTTGCCAGGTTCGGTTCCGCTCACGCAGTTATTCAAGGGTCGCCGTGGGGGCTAAAGTGGTGTTGGCTCGACGTAGAATAGAGTCGAGAGGCTTCCCTGGGTCGCCCCCAAGATATTTCTGACTTGAAAAGCAAAGTTGCCCATCTTGCAGCTCGCCATTGGGCCGCTGTGACTATGTCTCTGCACACCTCCACGTTGACCACCGGGGTGTAAAGCCATTTTTGGATGCGCCGTGTCAGCAGCCCCTTTGCGGAGCGGGCGGAGCAAGCAGCCGGATCTGCTCGCCCGTCCTGTAACCTTGTTTGCGACAAAGCTCAAGGCAGAATAGACCCACCTGCGATCGGGTGGAGGAAAAGCTTAGGACCACTCTCGAGGCTTGCATAACTTTGATTTGGGTTGCTGCTACGTGACCAACGGCACTTGCTTGGCGAATCACGTCTCGACACCAGCGCAAAGCCCTCATGATTGTGATGAAGACAAAATCTTTGCACTCAGCAAGATTACCGTACAAGCCGGCACCACTACGACAATAAAGAACACTTTCTGGGACACAGAGAACGGGCGAGTCAGATGGGCATGCGCCATCCGGTATTAGCCGCCAGACGCACCACCACTGCGGCCGAGAGGTACTTCATCGGACGGGCCCCTATTAATACAGCCCACAAACCGGATGGCAGAGCATCCCGGTATCTGATCGGCCGCCTCATCTGGAATCTACAGAGCACTGTGCGGCAGGTGTATGAATCGCCAACCCGGATTCCGTCTGAGCCAGTAGGTGTGGAGTTGTCGTCCGAACGCGAGGCATACCGAGGTGCCAAGTCGGCAGCTGGCGTTGCAGTATTGCAAATAAAGGGAGATGAACCTGTATGCGAGACGGCTCTAGCTTGGCCGGAGGACCTCTGTCTCCCTGGATCCCATACTCATTTGGACAGAAAGTAGATGGGACAGTGATGACAATGTCACAACTAGGAGTAACTATGAGATTGTTCAAACCAATTGATAGGAACCTAATGATGAAGCAGCAGCGGTAGGAACAGTCGAAGGCGACGGCAGGGCATTATATTGCCCAAACATGGGAAGATTGATAGACACATGGTCAAGCCCTCGGTCAGCTCTAGAGGAGATACGAGAATTTGAATGTTGCCACATTCCAGTTCGCTTGTGGCAGCCTCCACCAGACGTCGTATCTAAGCTTCACAAGATCATCGTGTCGGATGCTACCTGTTGCAGTCTGTGAGGCTGATCCTTTTGAGCTCGGCCTCGGGGTGCAAATTTACAGGCCGTCCTCACGTTAAAATGAAAGCATCTGGTCGGGGACAATTTCCTCTATCAGCTCTCCTGGGAGACTGTGCATCGTCGCTGCGAAACCTATCTTGTATGCTGCTGGCTGTCGATCCTCCCCGAGCCGGGAGCTCCCAGCGGCACAAAGCCGATCTGCAGAGATCATGCGGGTCGGTGAACTCAATTTCTCGCCAGTTGCTTGTCTACCAGATCAACTCTCAATTTCGTCCCAAACACCGGTTGACATGCGCTTGTCGAGCTTGCCGCACTTCTTAGCAAGGCTCAGGAAGCCCCTCTCTCCAGGCTTCAAGCAGTGATGTGTGTGATATAGTTGAGCTCGCTGCAAATAAAAATTAAGGAAGAACCCTTGTTGTTCGATACCTGCGTGAAGCTGGGCTGCGGTGGTATTTTGTCTCAAATCTGAGCGGGAATGAATATCGAGGTATCCGGGCAAATTTTGGGTTTAATCCCTGCTCTGGGACGGTGTTTGTGTCCTGCAAAAGAGTGACATAATTGTTTGGTCTCGGAACTGATCGGTTGAGGCTCAAATATGCTTCCAGAATATCAAATTTCCTTCAACTGCAACTCGACACGCTCCCCAGTGCTCGACATGCGCTCGACATGTGCAGAGAAAATTGGTAGACTGACACGGCCACAACACGGCCCAATAGAAATCACGAGCTCTTGTGTTGCAATGTGATAATCATACGATGATGCTCAGCTGAATGAGAGCATCAATCTGCGACGTAGGGTTACGTTGGGAAACAAGGCATGTTGGGTACGCCGATGTGGACACGAATGCTCCGAGTCAGCCTTCATGGCACGGCCACTGTCGCTTTTGAATTGCCTCGTCCACATTACTACAATTAGAGCCAAAGCCGGCCGGCTCGACGGGCGAGTTCTTTATCGACTCGGGGATTTTGCACGCAGCCAGCTACGAGTCAGCAATGAGGGAGGATGTCAGTACCTAGGCACTACGAAGAATACCTAGTCCTAGGGACATGTAGTACTGAGTAGAGGGTCTTGCTCCTATATATTGGCAAACCCTCAGTTTTATATATGATTCGATGGGGCCTCGACTAGAAATTGCAACGTCCACCATTTTCCTCTTTACCATTCCCAGACGCACACCAACAATGCTGGCCCAATAAGGAATCGTGCAGATTGTGAGACCCGAGCAAAGATGCTCAAGTGGGACAGCAACCTGTGTGATACGATACTGGACTATATGTACACTTTCTACTGGAGCCACAGGTACCAGTATGAAGTCTAATGGTCGATCCTCTGTGACGGTGGGGCCGCTGTGGCTCGATCGATGTGGTCCTCAGATCAACAAATCTCATGATACCCACTACGACCCATTAATCCAGGGATCTGCCTCAGCTTCAAACCGAACGAGAGTTCCTTGTCACGGCATCACGGTATTGTGGCTCATGCATTTGGCCTTTGTCCTCGTTTTCAGTGCCGAAACATTCAGCCAGCTGCGGGAAGAATTCAACGTTGTTCCAGATAAGAGACATGACTTGTCCCACTGAACCATACTGTAGCACATGAAGAGAGTTTGAAAAGATGGCGACAAGGCAGATTTTAAAAATCGAAAGACGCATTTGCCGCAGTCACTCAAATCCAAAAGTAAACTCAAAGAAACATTATTTCTAGCAGCGTTTGACTAAGACACGCTTCACATTGCATACTCCCTAGGCACACCAAACCATGACGGCGGTCTTAAGCTACACACCTTCATGGGCGTTATGTTATCAGGCCCGGGTTACTCCCCTAAGATGGTGCAGCAGGCTATCTAGCGTTGCCAGGGTTAGCTGTTCGGCAGGTCCTAAACCCCCAAAGCTTTCGAAGACCCCGCCTACGTCACCTATCGCAAACGCAAAGCACACATCGTCTGGACAGCCCACTTCGGTTTGGATTACAGGGTCTTTGCATTGCCGATCGACCGACCAGAACAGCTTAACTTTCAGCTACCGTATCGGCGACCATGGCTTCCTCGTCGCCGCCGTTTGTTCCTGCACTCATCGTGGTCGACTTCCAGGAGGACTTCTGCCCGCCCTCCGGCTCACTCGCTATCCCGCAGGGCCGCGACATCGCGCCGACCGTCAACGAGCTGCTGTCCCTGCCGTCGTTCGCCGTCCGGATAGCGACGCAGGACTGGCACCCGGCGGACCACATCTCCTTCGCGGCAAACCATCATGGGCCGCCCAAGCAGCCGTTCGTCGACAGCGCCACCATCGTCAACCCTCACGACGCGTCCGAGAGCTACGAGACGCGGCTGTGGCCCGTCCACTGCGTCCAGGGGACCAAGGGTGCGGAGCTGGTGCCCGAGCTGGCGGCGGACAGGGTCGACGTCGTGGTCAAGAAGGGCACCGACGCCCGCGTCGAGATGTACAGCGCCTTCTACGACCCGTTTGACAGCCCGCGGGTGAGCGACTCGGGCCTGGCGCGCACGCTCAGGGACAGGGGCGTCACGCATGTGTACGTCGTCGGGCTGGCGTTCGACTACTGCGTGAGCGCCACGGCTGCGGACGCGGCCAAGGAGGGCTTCGTCACGTACGTGGTCCAGGAGGGTACGCGGGCTGTCGACGCCTCTGGATGGGACAAGTGCAGGGAGGGGCTGGCCAGCAAGGGCGTCAAGGTTGTCAGCCTGGAGGGGGAAGAGGTTCAGAGGCTGAAGGCTGCGGCCTGATAGACGTGACGCTCTTGTATCGGTGCCTTGGTTGCTCATGATTTACATGATGCATCTGGTGGACTGGACCGGATCACATTTCATCTTTGAGTTGGGCTTGTACTTCGCCCCCCAGTAGTCAGCGATTCGATCTCAGTTTGATATTCGTGGTTTGGGCGGTTTTGGCGTTGGACAACTTAGTGTATCTCGGTCTGACAGCAGCTACCCCTCGAGAGCATAAACCCCCATGTTCTCCCTGTTGACGTTCTCGTCATCGTACGATAAAGAGCCGTCATCATGCACACCAATCCCCTGGGACTAAGGCAAATTCAGTTCGAGGCTGTGCCGCCAGGTCTGCCACTACGGACAGCAATACTCGGCAGGACGCCAAATTTGCCTGCCGCAAAGATTTCAGCAATGCAGCCAGTATCACGAAGACCATGAAGCCGAGAAATTCGAGCATTGGTCCTAGCAGCCACTGACTGCATCAGCCTGCGAAGCATCCAAGTCCCTGGCAGAAAGATAGACATCAATTTTAACGCCGGATATAACACATGGACCTCTGGGAATTAGTTATCATCAGCACCAGTCAGTCATGGGCAGCAAATTGAAAAATGATTTCAATTGCAATGAATCATAGACAGAAGTCACCTGAATGGGCGACGGCCATTCTCCAGGATGAGGTCAAATCTTGTCCGTAATAAGTCGCTAAAAGAATTTTGACACCAAACCATTTGCCCCTATGGCCAAGTGGTAAGGCGTCGCACTTGTAATGCGAAGATCCATCGTTCGAATCGGTGTGGTTCGTGTTCCCAATGTCTTGGATGTTTAACAACATTTTCTAACTATAAAGTAGGGGGCATCTCAAAAACTTATCCTTTTTTTCTTACTGCCCTCCTTTTTATAACATGGTTTTTCTTCTACATAATATTAATTAACTTAACTATTTTTATTTTACTTAATCTTTTAACATTTTTGCTTTTGTTAATTAATCCCTTTAATGTTATAAGCATTATAAAACTATGAAAAGGAGGATTATTTCTTAGTTTAATTGTCTTTTATTTTTGGGAATGTTATAGGAAGCAGACCTCTTGAAATGTTTAAGGCATGGGGAGATTTAAGTAGGGATAGTTACATTAGGGAATCATTGGCCCTGTTCCTGCTCTCCACAGCAAGGAATTATAGTATTCAGTTGTGAAGTCTGCTTGGGAATAGACTGCTCTGTATAACTACGAACACCCTGTTGTACCTCATCTGTAGCCTCTATTGATATCATCAGCCTAATGTTATATCGTTGTCTTGGGAATACAACGCCTGGTGCAGTCCAACTGAGGGAATAATAACACTTGCTCAAAAGCCCAACGCCACAATCTTGTAGTACACACAGCAACTTTGTGCAACATAATTCAGCGGTATAATGACAGGATGATTCAGTCACAAGAAGCTTGAACTCCATGTGCTGATGCATGCACGGAATCAATTGATTGGATGTGTACAAAACGGGTCAAGGGTATATGCAAATAAGCAACCAGATTATTCAGACCCAGTATGACCTGTCACTACCTAGCCTTGTGCTACCAATCTCATAATTCAGAGCGCCCTGAGAATGCATTTATTAGTCCTCTCTTTGACCAAACATGAAAGATGTCCCTGATCCATTAATTTCGTTCTCAAAGACACCTCTGGAGACTGTGGTCCTAGCAGCTTGCAAGATAGGCGAGATGACATCCGGTGACATAGAGAGGGATGCATATCCTGATTACACAACCACCCGGCGCACAGAGGTGTCTGCCAAACGACTCCGCAGTCTGAGTCGGAGAAGGAGGGCAAGATATGGAGATGAAGCAGCAGCAGCTCACGGGGCACGGAGGCGTTACAACTCACGAAGCAGGTCACGAGAAAGAGAGGTAACCACGAGAAAGATATTGTCAACTGCAGACCTGGTTCGGAGCAAAGGTTTTCTCGAAACGGCGCGGAGAGGCTATAAAACGAGTCTCATTAAGTCACACAGCGACCAGGTCACGATCCATTTATCAGAACTACAGCAGCTGAATTTGGAGCTCTTCAGGAGGAAGTTGGTGGTTCACGCTTTCAATGCGCGATATGAAATCGAGAACTATGACCTGGATGAATCCATTCGTGACTTTAACACATATGGTAATGTGAAACCCCTCACCCCTCCGCCTTCATTTTCCTGATATCCGCCTCTACATATCCATCGCTGGCTTCCCTCTCAGTGGAACGTGTCCATATGTTCTAACAGGGATTGCTCTCAGCTGAGGCACTCAGAGACTTCGAGTACATGACAGAACTGCGAAGACGGCACCCAAAAAACGACCCTTTCTTTGTTTCGACAGAATGGGCGCTTCAGCGGGAGGTGATCCAGGATATATTTGACGCAGAGCTGGAGTTGATGGACACGAAACATGTTACTCGAATGACAAAGCACCTGAAACCTCTGCAAGACCAGGAACTAGGTGGGCTCTTTGACGAACATGACGTGAGGCGGTTTTGGAATACCAGGACAGAAATGATCCGAACGCTAGAGCAGGGAGAATATGTCCAGAAAGTGGGCATGGCGGTCTTGGGAGGGGCATTTCTCATTGGGCCGATGCTGGTCATGGTCCTCCACCCGGGCTTGGTGACCTCATTAGTCACGACATCTGTATGTGTTTTTGCCTTCGGTCTGGGTATCGCGCGCTTTTTGGAGAAACCCTTTGATGTGTTGTCCGGGACAGCTGCCTATGCCGCGGTGCTGGTTGTCTTCGTCGGGACCAGCGGGACCAGTGCGTAAAGACATCTTACTTCCGGGGGAACATCGTTGAAACTTTTTCGTGTTAGTATTATCGTCTCATCAACACTAGAAATGTAGTCGGGCACAAGACAGAGACTTGTATAGATACTATGCGTTTCAATCTCTCCAGAGGGCCTCTGGTATCGAGACACTGAACTACTTAACATAATGGCCATGTTTCATTCCTTCAACACGGTTCAAGGTCGTCCTGAACCAACGTCTGTAACATGTCATACGAATTCTCAGCCATATATGCTACCAATATGACTGTATATTCGGAAAAGACTACATTAACTGAAAGGCCCTTAGATCCACTCCCCTCTCCCACAGCGCCGATAGCCCTAAACGCGGTTCAAATTCTTGCTAGTCCCGAGTACCAATGTTTTGAGACTTTCCCTCGAAATATTCCCATTCTGACCCCAGAAAACCCGGACGCCGGTCTTCGTCCAACGCAGTCCCGTTGTATCTCTTTAGAACGATCGCGCCGTGGGTCTCTTATCTATAGATCGTCAAAACGAAACCTTAAGCTCCACCGTGGCTCAACACGGCCCAATAGAGCCCCGGCTGCTCCAACCCTGTGAATGCAACAGCCGCTTGCTTAGATTGCCGGGTTGCGCATGGAATGGTTGGGCATGAAGCAGCCGTTTGAAGACTATCATTAACAAGCTGTGTAGGAGCTGAACCTATTTCGTTAAACGCGCGGGAGTCCTGCGCGGCTCCAGTTGACCATGCCGTCTCCTCGTAATCCCAAGGCTGCCCAAGGCTGGCAATTGTCGCTGCACCCGCGCGGAAGTGACGAATTCGTCGGCGCTGAACCTCCACCCCTCGGACAATCCGGCGGATGAGATCTATTAGAACGCGCGAGAACACTCCAATGCTGGGTTCTTCTTCATGTGAATGTCCATATAAAGCTTTTAGAACATTAGTATTTCATGGTCAACGAAGACTTCAAGCGGCGACCGACTTGATCCAGTCGCAGAAGTAGCTCTAGCGAGGAAATTTTCCCAAATGTTCAGAAACTTTCAGAAACTCGACCGTCAATTTGTCATAGAAGTGAGCGAACCTTGACCTCGCCTACGAGCTGTCTCTAATACAAGATGGCCCACCAGCAGATTATTCAGCATCTTCGCTCAAATGTCTCCCCCAGCATCCGCGCCAACATTACTCTCCACTCCTCCGATTCCAGACACCACACCGAAATTGGTTGGCTAAGTTCTTACCAAAGTTTCACAAGGCCCTCAGCGTACTTGCCTTTTGGCTCCCTCAAAGCTCTAGGCGAGGACCGTGTTCAACCGCTGTCGGGTTTCCCAGCGCACCACCATGAAAATTTCGAGATCTTCACTCTTGTCCTGAGCGGCGAACTTACGCATCGAGACTCGATGCTCGCAGCCGCGGATGCTGAGGAGGAGGGCGACAGATCTACCAGATTTTACCGCATACGGCGCAAAGATATACAGTTCACAACAGCGGGGACGGGCACCGACCACTCTGAAATGAACGAACATGCTTCGGAGACTGTCCACTTGCTCCAAATCTGGGTGGTTCCATGGAAGACCGGTCTGCCCCTGAGATACCATATAGTACCCTCAGCTATGAAGAAGAAGAGAAGAAGAAGAGGTTTCTACTTCTGATCACTCCTCTCCGCGTAGGCCGACAGGCTACTGCCCAACAGGAGCGCGAGGCTGTGCCGGTCAAGGATGGTACCATTCCTATTCATGCCGACTCAGTCGTTGCATCCGGCATTATCGACCCGCAGCACAAATTTTCATGGGTCATCGGCGGTAATGCCACAAAGACAGAGGCACGAAAGGTCTATGTCCATCTCCCTATGGCAAAGAATGGCCAAGGGAGGGTCAAAATTGACGTCAATGGCCAAGGACATTCTGAACTGAACGAAGGAGATGGTGCCTTTGTTGAAGGCACTGTTCTTGGGGATACATTCAATGTCGAAAGCATTGGCTCGGCGGCGGCGGAGGTCATTGTGCTGGACGGCGCATCTAAAGACCGATAAGGGGTTTCCATGATGAACTCTTGAGGCATTATAACCACCAGTATGCCTATTGGCTGCCCATATATAGCTACACTTTGTACAAAAGCTGAGGCAAAAGAATTGTGTACGATAATACTGTGTTAAAAATAGTACAAAGCCATTGTAATGTCCTCATTCCTCCTGCTCATCTTCCAGGTCCATGTCCTTGGTCCGCGTGTCCAACTCCTGAACCCACCGCTTGTACACCCTTGTCAATTCTCCCCACTGCGTAATGCCAGAGCTCGCCTTCAGCGTGGCGATAAGTTCAGACATCTGCTTGATTGCTTCCTTCATTCTGCTCTCGTCTTGCGGGTCCCAGGTTGCCAGCACGAGCTTTTCGCGAGCGCTGAGAGTCCGGGGATGATCTGGTCCGTAGAGCAGATCGCAAAGTTCGAAGATCTCCCGAAGGTGTTCAGGAGCTTCTCCAGAATCATTGTTCGTTTTCGCTGAAGTCTCGACCTTGGTGCGAAGCTCCTGCAACCTCGCTTTGTAATTTGGGTGCCTCTGAGCCTCTCGCATAGTCTCAAGAATGTTTTGATCAGTGACCTGTCGAAGTTGCTCCAGTGTCTCAGCGAATAACGGATTTTGGATGAGAGGAGTTGCCTTCATTTCCCCGGATATCTGGTGTAGGATACGTGCGGCCTGACGAAGATGGCCACTGTAAAGTAGTGCCAACGCCATTTGATGTCTGATCCGCACCGAATCGACGAAACGTTGGCGGAAAAGTCTCGGCTCACGCAATACAGAGAGCAGATCTCTAGTGCAGGTCTGTGTCTCCACCTCCCGTCCAAGCTGGACCTGCAACTCGAAGAGCCACAGATGTGACTTTAGGGTCTCGGGATGTGTTCCGCCTAGCAGCATCTTATGCATTGAAAATATCCTCTGCGACTCGCTCTCAGCCACAGCCCATGCCTCGTCGTCCATGGTCTTGCCTGCAAGTGCCATGTCGGTGAGAATGGAACCGTCGTCACCACTCTTTTCTCCCCCGTACACATCGAACCTGGCCTCGGCAGTGGTTGGCAAGTCCCTCCACACGCCCAGTGTGCAATTGATGATGATCAGCTCTCTTTTGGTAGTGAGGACATCTGGATGTGTGTCCTCCAGCATTTCGATCCTGCGTAAGTATATATGTCGTATGTGTTGTTGGCGCTGCCATGTCTCCTCATTATCGTCATCTTCATCCTCAAAGGTCATCGCGAACTCATATTCGGCGGCAAGGGTGAAGGCATGGTCCTTGCCCAGAAGTCGTGACTTCCATCTCCAACAGCAGCCCAAGATCTCCCTTGCCGAGGCGCGGTCTGGATCTGTCTTGCTGAGCTCAATGTGCGCGATGGTTTCCAGTGTGGAAAGAAACAAAGGATGGATCCTCAAATCGTCCCCCTTTCGATCCATGGCTTCGCGTCTGTCCCTGATCAATCGTTGTGAAGACAGACATATTTCTCGTGTGTTGGTCTCTACGCCGTTCGGGAGCGAAAAAAATCTTCTTTGCTTTCGTAAAGTCATCTTAGCAACTTCTTCAGCCTCCTTGAGGGCTCCAGCGTGGTAAAGCGCACTAGCGTATATTGAGTCATGGGTGAGGGTGATCAGATTTTCTTCTCCATAGAAGGATTGGGATGCCTTGACAAGTTCCTGGAGCCTTGCAAAGGCGTCAATATAGTCTCCAGTTGCGAGTTCGACTTGCGACGACAGTAAGCGCGAGTTGATTGTCTGGGGATGTTCGTCTCCGAAGGTCTTCTTCGCACACATCTGGAGCGAGACAGCCGTGGCCGTCGCCTCCGCCAGTCGGTACTGCGATATGAAGATATGGACCAGGCGTCCAGTTGCTTCCAGTGTGTGAGGATGGCGCGGACCTAGCTCTTTTCTCATAGTATGCAAAGTCTGGCTACAACAGTTTTCTGCTGCAGACAAGTGATAGTTCTTGGCCAGCAACAAAGCCCTGAGACTTGCACATTCAAGTGTCTTCATATGCCTTCCTCCGAGCCTTTCCTCAAGCCCACGCGTGGCCTCCTCGCATCTCTCCAGAGCTTTGTCGTAAAATCCCCACAGGTAGTAAATCATTGCTTGCACAAAACGTAGGCACTCGCGTTTTACCGCTAGCTTTCTCTGCAGACCCCTGCTAGATTTGTCTTCGGCGGAGGCTTGAGTGTTGGACTTGATGCCGACAACTCCCGAGGCAGCCGTTTCTGTATTGGCCTCTGCTGGAGTCTGAACAGTCATGCTTTGTAATACACTCTCTTGGTTTTGGATGTACTTTTCGAGCTCTTCCTCCGCAGACTTGAAATGTTCTTGAGCTTGAGAGTAAGGTCCCAGATGGGCCAAGGCCAAGCTGAGGTCTCTATGGACGTGGATCCTGAGCATCCTCGATACTCCCGGGGTAGCCCAATAGTCGTCCACCTGCTCATCCTGAAGCACAGCTTTGAATCCGAGAGATGCGCCCTGGTACTGGCCCTGATGCAGCATCACAACAGCTATCCATCGCTTGAGGTCCTGGACGAGTTCCTTTTTCTGGATGGTGGGAATTTGCTCCAGACGATGCGCATTTTTCAAAAGTATTTCAAAGTCGCCTTTGGCTTTGGAATAATGCCCTTGGTACAATGATATAGCAGCCAACTGCTCGTCTATCGCAATGAACTCGTATGACTGCCGAACGCTCGGGCCCAGTGCACCTTCTAAGAGCTCCTTGCTTCTCTGGAAAGCAGTTTGCCGGTTGACGAATTCAGCTCGCTGATAATAGGAATTCGCAAGTCGGATGGTCTTTCTATACGCATTCCCGTACGCGGGATCGTAGGCAAATGCATTCGAAGCCACAGGCTGCGTGATATCTGACCTTTCTGACCTCCCTAAGGAAATTGAAACGTCGTCCCCCGAGGAATCCCTCCTGCTCTGTCTCAGTCGATGTCCTAGATTCGGCGAGGTTTGTCCAGCCAGCTTCATCCAGTTACCCACGGGACCCGGTGATTCTGACCTGCTCGTTGATTTGGATTCCTCCAACGAGGCTTGCCGTGATATTCTTGTAAGTGGGGCCGTGACAGCCTCAACCTCCTCCGGGATAGCTTCTGGGAGCAGCACTCGTCTACCTGAAAACAAAACTGAGTGGCTCTCGGGCAGAGCTACCGAATCATTCTGTGAAGAAGGCTGTGTCCCGGTATGATGCTCGTACAGTCGACGGTGGACACGAAGAATATCATCCAAGAGTGAATCAAGTCTTGAAATGTGCCTGCTTTGGCCTGACGCCGTCTTTTCCACCTGTACTCCCCGGGTATCTATTCGTAGCATGCTGCGTAGTCTGCTTAACCCGATCTTCTTGTTATTGCTGAGCCTCTGATGCACTCATTGTTAGCATACAGAAATGCTCTCTTTCTGAGGCAAAGAGTTATCTACCTCTTGGAATGTCATGGCACCAAAGTCTGATGCTGTCATCCAGATATCATTGAAGCGTATTGTGATGGCTGGAGCCCCCAGCACATGCGATTTCTTGTTTTGGACGAACACGGAAGTCTGTAGGCGCTCAAATGCATCATCGATAACAGTGAGCTCCTTGGCTAGTGTTTCCGTAGAAGATTGTGTGTCCGTTTGTCCTCGCAGGAAAGAGCTCAGACCTGTCAAATACTCCTCCAAATTCTCTGCTTTGGGTAACGTTACAAAACTTTCGTGGGGCGTGTCGAGGAATACCACCCCTTGAGTGGCAAACATGATGCGTGAGTTGTCATATTGCCTTCCCGACAGCAAGTGTCGAATGACCCAGGAGGCTAAGCTGTGGGCAATGAAAACGATAGGAAAGCGTGGGCGGTCTTCGGTATCGGACTCTGAAGTTACTTTGTTGGTCTCCTCGTCGACTGACCTCGAGCTCGGTTTTCCATATTCCACGTGGGCATCATCTCTGACGGCTGCTAGACTCGCAGCAAGTTTCTTCGACAAGCTGTGAATTGATGCGCCTTTCATTAATCCCCTTGGGGAAAACAACTCAGACCCATCGAAATGAAAGAAGCAGAACAATGCATTTTTAGCGTGTTCTGAGCTTTTTAGATCTCGGAAGTCCCTTGTCAAGACGTTTCGATAGTAGGTTGCATCTTCCCTTTTCGCCCAAAAGGGTGTCACCATAGCAACGCTATTCAAAGAGTCAATTTCCTATCCTCTACCTACTGAGAAGTGTGCCTGAGCAACGGAGGTTTGAGTTTTACATGTAATTTGCAGCTTTGGTAGGCGGCCGTGGTTGAATGACTTCGAATTTGAACTGCGAACATTGGTAAGTCTGTCACTTCAAAACCCAACGGAGAGGGTGCTGCTACCTTCATCACGGGCTATGGTTGGCCACGCGTACGTGGGGAAGATTGGTCAGAATCGGAGAATGAAAAGGCCCAGCCGAAAAGAAGAACCTGGCCTGCTGTGCTGTATATACCTCCGCCCTTTGCTGAGCTTTCAGCTACAAGGCAGTCTACGTGGTACCATACACCTGTGAGGTTTTGGGGCGCAGCCTGAGAGGTACTTTTTCTACTTCTGTTCCACTGACACAAAGTCTTCCACATCTCAGCCCAATTGCTCTGCAAGGGTCGGTACACATGGTGCATAAAGTGGCGCTTGAGACGAGGACGGGCGGCAAATGAAACCTCGCCATTCCGCGCATCTCACCGCCATCGAGACTTGCTTGTCCGACGCTTGTGAGGGGCGCAGTAGTATGGCTGCGCTGACCACTTTACAGCAATCTACCTAGGTAGTGCTGCAGGATTAGGCACCGCCCTGATGTGGAACGCCTGACCGTTTTTCAGGTAGTACGGCCCTTCGATGACTGGGATATGGAGCATGATCAGTCATTTTTTGCGTTCGTAAGGCTCACATAAGATCCAGAACTCCGCACCAGGAACCATACTTGTTGGGGTGAGAGAGCGTGGCAAATCGGCTGGGTATCGGACATGAAACAAGCACTCCAACGGAACACGCGATTCACTGCCCAGGAACGCTCAATGTCAGGAGGCTCACTCACAACGAATAACGAACACTACACCCAGGATGCAGCATCTCTCGAAGGACTACGGAATAAGAAAACCACTAGTGAATAATGTCACCGACGACGGAATTGGACCACCAAAGACGATCGAGGAATTTTACCATTTCCCAGAACGAAAAGGATGGTATGTCGACGACAACAACTTCAAGCTCCGTGTTCTCTCCACCCCCCAAGAAGCCTATTATGATGGCATCTCTCAGAAAGAGTTTGAGCCCAACCTGAGGCGGTTTCTTCAAGCATGGCTTCTTTTCGGCTTGATATTCACTGTTGTTCAAAAGGACAACCGACCTCTGATGAAGTACGACGACCTGGTAAAGGAGACGTACATCACGACCAAAGGTCTCCGAAGGAACCCGGAGGAGTGGGCTGCATGGGAGAATACCCGCCCACCAGGCCAGCGTCTGAGGATGATACGTCTGGAGGCAGTCCTACAATTTGCCAGGCGGGTTGTTCGAGCGAACCTCGCGTGCTTTGACACCAAGACGCCGCCTCCCGGCTATTCCACTCATGCCAATGATGCTCTGTACGTCCCTGACTCGGAAATCTTGTCCATAATGATACTGGGTGAAACACTTCACGACGTCAAATCGAGAATCGCACAGAAGGCAGGAATAGAAATGCGTGGATGGGAAAATGAGGACGATAGTGGGTGGGGCCCCCCAAGGTGGGTGTTGAAGGAGATGGCGGACATGCGGGTCTGCCCGAGAACCATCGGCGTCCTTCGTGGGCAATTACGGTCAAATGCAACCCTCTTGTTGGTAGCATGGCAGAGCACGTGGAGGGTAGCCTTCAGCATCAACGATGCGGCAGACCACGACAAGTGTTCAGCTACCACTTGCCTCGTCACTCCGGAAACCGAAGCCGGCGCCTACTCCCAGAAACACTGCGAAAAATTCTGTCCAAACCAATACTCTTCGGGAAAGTGCGTTCAATCTTCGGAAGCATTAATCCGGCGTGCCATGGGCATGATCACTCGTGATGAGAACAAACGACCACTGCTTCAGTTCAAGAACCCCCGCGACGAATCTCTCGACTTGCTCGACCTCGACGTGGTCGAATGGCAACCATCAATGGAATACGCAGCAATCTCGCATGTATGGTCAGACGGATTTGGAAATCCCGAGGCCAATACAATGCTGGTTTGCCAACTGAGGCTCATCCGGGATCTACTTCGCAAGCTCAAGCCGAAATCCAAAAGTACAACAATCCCCTTCTGGATGGACACGCTCATGATTCCTGTGGGCAGGGATGCAGAGACCAGAGATATGAGACGCAAAAGTATCCGACAGATACCCAAGATTTTCAAGGGCGCTTCGCACACGATTGTGCTCGACTGGGGCCTGCATAGTATCGATCCCGAAGTCCAAAACCCTGCTCAGACAGCTATGAGAATCATTGCTAGCAGCTGGATGAGGCGCCTTTGGACGCTTCAGGAGGCATTTGTGAGCAAGAGGCTTTATATTTCGATGGGAGAAGATTCTGAGACTTTGCATGACTTGGATGACCTGTACAAGAAACTCGAAGAAAAAACAGAGGGGCTCACGCTAACTCTTATCACAACATTGAAGAACCAGCTTCAGAGCCACTTCATGCACGGGCAAACAAGTTCCAGTAAGCACATGAAGTCAGACTCAAAGGTCGAAAAGGTCATCGGAGAGACTCAGTGGTCCCCCAGAGATGCTTCTGTGGTTGTCATTAATGCTTGGAAGGCAGTGCGCTGGAGGGTAAGTCACAATTTGATGATTCTCCTCGACTTTGCTACCAACACTTTGGCAAATATGAAATTCTGCTTTAAAATAAAATGAGCTAAAATTATTCGTATTATCAATCAACTGCCAACGATCTACACGAGACATTAGCACTCGCATCTCTTCTTGACGTTGAGTTTAAAGAGACATCGATAGAGGAGGCTGGGCTGACACAACCTGAAGAAATCAGCATTGAGGAAAAGGCGGCCATCAAGGTTAGAAATCAACAGAAGGATCAGGCAATGAAGCAATTGTGGATATCATTCGATCGCCAATGGCGTGATGCAATACCACCAGGAATCATCTTCCTTCCCGGGGATCGAGTCCGAATTCCAGGCTTTGGTTGGGCACCGAGGACATGGCTTTCAGCTCACGAAGTCGACTTTCCGGATCCCTTAAGCTTTTGCGATTCGACAGCCGAACTTCATGATCCAAATAATCCATCACCAGAAAGTGCGACTACTAGGGGATTAAGGGTTTGCCTGCCCGGTATCCTCTTATTTGGGGAGCGTCGGGACATTCTTCTGACGACCGCACACTACAAAACATTGCAATTTCCCGTTGACCGAGGCCTACAGGAGTGGTACAAAGTTGAAGCCGCGGGTAATGAAGTGCCTGCCTTATTTCCGGAAAATGGAAGCGGCGAAGATAAGCCACTCGCTATCATCCTTTCCCGCTCACGCCCGCAAGAGTTCCCTCTAGAGATTGGCCTTCTTGTACAAATCTACAAGAAATCCAACGAAACCATCCACAGGCAAACTGTCTACAGGGGAAGAGAACGAGATCCACCAAAAGCAGTTGGAATTCCAATCAATGAATACACAAAGCCAGCATTTCATTGCGAGATACTACACCGCGTCAAGGTCTCTAGGGACATGAAGCTCTCAAGGGGTTACAGATACCACACAGGTGGCCTATTGGAAGGCAAGGGAAATACCTCCGTCGTTGAGAGAGATGATCAAGCCGAACCTGATAGAGCTCCAGGCATTCTACTTCCAAGCGAAAACGATGGCGAAATCTGCATAGGCGAAACATTGAAATCTGACCAAATTTGGTACGTCGATGGCTTGCTGGCGGATTGGACTAAGCCAACCAATATGAGGTATGCGGTTAAGTGACCTTAATCCCTGTACCTTACTTGATATCTAAATATAATATTTGGATGTTAACTAACCTTGTTTTATATTTGGATGTTAACTAACCTCGTTTTATATTTAAATATTAAAAAAAGAATTGTTATTAAATTATTGCGGTTAATTTTTAATTTATATTAATAAATTTATTTTAATATTTTTATGCAGCTACTTTAAGCTATATAAGAATCCTAGCATTTATATTAATATTAAGCATAACCCATCTCCTTTATATTAAAAACCTTAATGCATTCATAAATTAAATTTCTTTCATACTTATAACTTTTATAATAATAATATTTCTTATTAACCTTTATTTTATATAAGGTAATTAAAACTCTATATAACATTATTAAATTTTCTTAAATAATCTTTATTAAATTAATTCCGCTTATAAACTTATTATAAAGGTAAACATAAATATTATTGCTATTTATTTTAGCAAGCTTTTTAAGGATGGCTTTTTATCTTTTATTAAAATTATATTATTAATAAATTAAAATTATATTTATATGCTTTTTATTAATTATATTGGTTATATTGGTTATAAGATTTTAAATAATAATTACATTACTTATCTTTATCTTATATTTTTAAATAATTAGGTTATCCTTAATTAAATTAAAATTAATGAGGTATATAACCTTGGGTTTAAGCAATATTTTAGAATTCTCTTTTTTTTAAATTTATTTATTAATAAGTTAAACTTAAAGCCCTGGAAATATAAGTGCTGCTAATTACTACTTATGCTAAGTTATTCATTAAGTTAGTTTTAAATAAATATATTAAAGTTAGCTTCTTTATAAATATAGCTTAAGGAGTAAAATTCTTTTTATTTTTTAATTTTTTTACTTTTTTACTTTTTTAATCTTTTTAATGCATATTGTATTATAATATATTATATATATAATTAAATGTAATAAAGTTTTAATTATTAATATAAATATTATTTTATTATTAAGGATTTATTATCTTTATTTAAATATTAATATAAAATTGAAATATAAATATAAATATAAATATAAATATAAGAAGAATATAAAATATAAATATAAATATAAATATAATATTTTATATCTTTATTTCTATTTATATTTATATTTATATTTATATTTAAATATAAGTAATTTATATTCTTATAATTAAAATAATTAAAAAGAATATAAAATATAAATAGATAAATAAATAAATAAATAAAATAATAAATATTATATTAAATATTTAATATAATATTTTATTAGTTACTTTATTAAGTATCTTATTAGGTATCTTATTAATTATTTTAAATTTATAAATAAATAATAAATTACTTATTTTTATTATATATACTTATATTTTTTATTAAGTTTTATGTAAAAAGGAAAATAAAGATTTAAAAGGGTTTATCTTTCTTTATATATATATTGTTTTATATTTATATTTATATATATATATAAATATAATATAAATATAAATATAAATATAAATATAAATATAAATATAAATATAAATATAAATATAAATATAAATATAATATTTCATATTTTTAAAGATATAAATATAAGTATAATATATATAGTTACTAGGCATAATGGGCACTAAGGGGCAGACGAAAGTAGTGCTATTTATAGGTATTAATTGCTATTAAGACTAATTCTTAGCCCTTTTAATGGTTCTTTAAGGGCTAAGTCCTTTCCTTTTATACCCTAAGCCTTTAATTACTAGCCGCTAGGCCTTAAATTATTATAATAAAATATAAAAATATAGTTATAACTTTAAGTAATATATAGAAAGTATTTTATAAGATAATAATTTAATTTAAATAAACTACCTTGCACTTATAACATCTTAATAATCTTTAAAGCTAAGCTAAATATTATAATAATTAACCTTTTATTTTAATAAGCATATTATTTATATTTAAATATTAGCGTATATAATATAAATACTTTAAGATATAAATACTTATAACGAAGGGTAGCTTTTAAGCTAAGAATTTAAATATAGCTAAAATAAGCTTTATATATAAAAAGCCTAATATATAGAGTTTACATTGCTTCTTAATTACTATACCTTATATCCTATATAATAATTAATTTAATATATTAAATATAAAAGTTTATAATATACCTTTGTTAATTATAAAATCCTTTATTTATTTATATAATATAATTAAGATAAATAATTTTGTAAAAAAGTAAGATAAGAATTTTTCCTTTTCCTCTTATAAGAATTAGTTATAAGGATAATAATTTTATCCCTAACTTTATTTCTTAACCTAAATATATAATTATTAATATTTAAGCTTTTATTTTTAAAAGAATACTTATTATAAGGATGGTTTTTTAGCCTTTTAGCTGCTTTATTTAATAGACTTATATTTAAATATTAATATATTTAAATATAGTATTTAAATATATAAACTTACTTATCTTGGGCGGCTAGCTCTTCCTTTATATCATTATCCTCTTTATTTAATTTAAACTTATATTTAAATATTAGTATATTTAAATATAGTATTTAAATATATAAACTTACTTATCTTAAGCAGCTAGCTCTTCCTTTATATTATTATCTTCCTTATTTAATTTAAACTTATATTTAAATATTAGTATATTTAAATATAGTATTTAAATATATAAACTTACTTATCTTAGGCGGCTAGCTCTTTCTTTACATTATCCTCTTCCTTATTTAATTTAAACTTATATTTAAATATAGTATTTAAATATATAAACTTATTTATTTTGGGCGGCTAGCTCTTTCTTTATATTATCCTCCTCCTTATTTAATTTAAATTTATATTTAAATATTAGTATATTTAAATATAATATTTAAATATATAAACTTATATATTACTAAATATATTAATATAATCCATAGCTTTCTCCTTTTTAAGCCTATTATTAAATATTAATATTAATAATTATACCTTTATATTAATATATATTTTACTTATTGCTCTTTATTAAAGCGCTTTTATTAGAGTTTGCATAATAAGAATGTCTTATTAAAGATATTACTTTTATTTAAAATATACCTAAAAGATTGCTTTTCTATAGCCTTTCTTATTTCTTAAATTTAAGTATTAAGACTAGTTAGTAATTATTTTAAGGGTTAATGAATTAAAGCTAAGAAGGAAGCCTTATTAAGGCTGCTATAATAATATTAGCTTATAAGTATATATATATATACATAAAAATATATATAAAAATACTTATTTATTATTCTTTTTATTAATAAAGTTTTTATTAATTTTTAAGTTAAAATACTTATAAAATATTAGTTTTTATACTTTATATAATACAAAAATAATATATATATTTTAAGCAGAAAATTTAACTTATTCTCTTCTTTATTAATAAAAGTATTATTAAGAATAATACTTTCTTTATTAAATAAAAGAAATATTTTAAGAATAAGGTTATATAAATAATTAAATATAATATATTTAATTTATATAATAAAGAAAAATATTAATATACCTTAAACTTAAATTACTTTCTTATTAACTTTAAATCTCTTTTAACCTTATTTATCTTTAAAACTATTCTTAATTTAATAAAGAAATTTCTTTAAGTTTTTGCTAAAGTCTTATAATAAAAGATTTTATAAGGCTTACTTTATTATTATTAAAGTTAGAAAATTTAAGTAGTGAAGTTTTAATAATAATATTTTAATTAAGGTTATAAATAAACCCTTTAAACTTAGTATTTAAAGAATTATTATTATTAATTAATATAAATCCTACTTTATAAGCAAGATTTATATATTTATTAAAAATAAAAAGATTAAGCTTTTTAAAATAATTAATATTAAGGATATAAATTTTAGCCTTTTTAAATTAAGATAGCTTTTAAATTGCTAAGTTTATATTAAAATAAAAGTTAGTAAAAATAAAATATAGTTAATAAATTATATATATAATATACTTAAAGTTCTTTAACTCTTAGGTTTAAGCTATACTTTTTTATATTTAATAATATAATATCTTTATGCTTTAGCTTAATATAATTTCACAAAGTATTTATTAATTTATATAAAGTTTTCTATAATAATAATTAATATTCATTTTATTATTAAGATTAAAAAAATATTTATTATTAAATAATTAAGATATAAATATTATAGCATATTTGCCTTTAAGATTATTAATTTTAATTCTATATTTTAAGAAGGAAAGATAGTTAATTAAGATAAATTAAACTTAATAAGAGTATAATATAGTGGCTATAAAAAAAGAATTAATTTATAATTTAATAAAAAATAATATTAAAATATATATACTTAATCTTTAGCAACTTATAACTTAGGTGTTATAATATTAAAAAGTAGCTTTATTACTTAATTTTAATAAATATAAAGATTAATGCTAAGAAAGGTAAAAATAATAATATAAAAAATTAAAGGAAAGTATATTTAAATATATATATTTAAATATCATATTTAAATATTTAATTAATATTATTTAAAAATTAATAAAAATGGTTTAATTTCTTTATTGATTTTAAATATAGAACCTATATTTTTGCGGTATTTAAATATGATATTTAAATATTTTGTTAATATTATTTAAGAGTTAATAAGAATGGTTTGATTTCTATTAATTTTAAATATGGAACTTATATTCTTATGGATCTTTTTATTAATTATAAATTAAAAACTCTATATTTTTACGGTATTTAAATATAATATTTAAATATTTTGTTAATATTATTTAAGAGTTGATAAGAATGGTTTGATTTTTATTAATTTTAGATATAAAACCTATATTTTTATGGATCTTTTTATTAATTATAAATTAAAAACTCTATATTTTTATGGTATTTAGATATAATATTTAAATATTTTGTTAATATTATTTAAGAGTTAATAAGAATGATTTGATTTCTATTAATTCTAGATATGGAATCC